CTTATGTATCTTCCTTATTTGTAGTGTTTTAATGTTACATTGTTTAAATAAAATGTTTTTGCAATTAACTCATGAAATGTTTATTAATAAATAATTTTTAAAATACAATTGTTTATAAGATGTTTTTACAAAATACTACTATTTGAGAGAAACTAACAAAATAGTTTTTCTAAAATCATTTCTTATTTGACCAGTAATGCTTTACATTTTATTTTTTTATTTGGAAACTGAAAGTTTTACGAAAAAAATGCAGAGACAAAGTTTCTAATAAACACTTCTATTGAAATTTATTTTGGGTCGGTTGTAGATGCATCGAACTTGCTAGCTTAAGCTGTCATTGAAGAGTATCGGTCGACAGTTAAATATCTGTTAACAATTCTGATAAATTTGTTATTCGTCAATGGCCATCATTTACTTTTGCGAGACCGAGGAATAATACAAACGTAATAAAGGAAACGAAAAATAAAATTTATTGAATTTGGTTGAAACGTCAAAAACGTGGCGATCCTTGAAGACATAAGCTTAGCGCGGATGTTTACAGGGAACAAATATTCATACACCAATAATTAACCGATGTAAACACGTGGGCCAAATTAACGCATAACAAAACATTGTTTAAGTGTAATGTTAAGTGTTTGCTGAATGTATTTGGAGTCAAACACACGCGTTGGGAAAATGATAAGAGAAAAGCAAAAAATAAACAAGTTCAGATATTTATATGTTTAAAATGTTTCTTGCTTTTGTTGTTATCGACTTTTTTATAGTACATTATGCAACAAGTGCAGTAAACGGCATTTGACTCACAAGTTTATTTGACACGCGCGATTCGAGTATTTAATAAACGAGTGACTTAAAAATTTACCGAACATGTTGCATACTATACTTTTTCTACGACCGTTAGTTTTTGGATTATTTTCGCAAAACACGAATACATTCACTGACATGACTGTCAGAATTGACAAACGTCAAAATTCAAAGCGTGGGAAATATCTCCGAAAACATCCGATTGCTCCCAAACCCGTGCGGTTAAATCCTGGAAATGTCCGAAGTGGTTCAGATTCGTGAGAAACGAAACTGACATGGTAAAGCGACGCTCCCCGCACGCTAGATCGGTGCGTAATTAGGTATTTTGCAGACGGGAGTAGAAAAAAATATAACAATATGATTTCAATAATAATAATTTTTGAATAATTTTACCTGGAAATAAGCTCTAATTTTCTATATAAATATATGTCGAGAAACTCCGCTAAGTCGGCCACATGCCTTATAAGGATGGACCCGAAATTGGTTTTATTAATATTTTTGGAGCAGGTTCAGAGAAAGTTTGGAAATTTTAGCATTTTTGTAATTTTGATATTTTGAACCTTATGTTAAAATTATAAATGTCAAAATTTTGGTCAGCGGCGGTACAGGTAACAATAAATGTAATAACTTTTTTGTGGATTGAGATTTACACTTTTTTCTTATTAAATCGCAAAATTTGTGTCCTCTTACAAGAAAACGGTATCTTGATTGATATAGGTAGGATGGTCTGTTTTCGAGGAAAATGGATTTCAAAAATATTTGGGTTCTCACTACTATAAAAATGGCCGTTGTGAGTATTAAAAGCTAGATATTTTGAAAATGTTGACCTTACAATTTGGTCCAAAATATCTTGATGCTTGAGAATCCACTGGCAAAATTGTAAAAGATTTGCAAAGTCTTGGGGTCTTAAATTCTGTACTTTTAGATAATGGTAAGAATGTAGAACATGCATAACGACAACACTTTTTGTTTTAATAATAATTTATAGAAAAATGTTTTCCTCAATTCTGCTTGGCTCTCCCTTAAAATCAGTATCCCATAGACCTTCCTTGCCCCTAAGAATATCTGCTAATTCTGTTTCCGAAAAACGCTCCATGCTTATAAAAAACCAAGTTAAAAAAAACTTCAGAGATAATGGAACACATAAAACCATAAATGTCAAACTGACGACAAAATAACAATCTTATCAATTTTGTTTCAACGCCTACTTTTCAATTTTTGAAATCAGGACACAAATTTTCCGATTTTATAAGAAAAATGTCTAAAAGTCAACCCACAAAAAGGTTATTACAGTTTTAGTTGCCTGTATCCCTCAAAAATTACGCCACAGATCAAAATTTGACATTTATGATTTTCAAATCAGCATGCCAAAATTACTAAAACATTAAAATTTCAAAACTTTCTCTCAACCTGTTTCGGGAATAGTAATTAAATATAATCACTAAAAAACAATGAAAATCGTTCAGGATCATTCCTTTTAGGGACTCTCTGGCTCCGTTAGGGTAGGCTTCTCGACATATATTTATTTAGAAAACTAGGGCATATTTTGGACGTAGAATGTGCTTATAATTTGACCTACTAATTTCGGTACACCCTGTATGCAATTTTATTAAGAGCACGATTGAATGTAATAGGATCTTGAGACACCACCATGCTTTGCGTTTTAATCGCTCTTTTTCTCCTCTCGTTTTGAATTTATTAAGAAAATTGTCTTCATTTTCCGCTAGAAGCACAGAATGTTGATTATAAGGGGTAATGTAGGTATCTGCTATTGATTATACTGTTTATAATTTTGGTTGTGTATGTTGACACCAACAAAAATTTGATTGGATTCGATATGCAAAAAACAAAAATACCTAATACTTAACATAATACTGTACTATCAATATGAAATGTCTTCCTACACAATTAGTAAAATGTGTGTCAGTTAATCTGCGTCTTCTTTTTACTTGAAATCATAATGCAATCGGACGCGGGCGCTAAGTTGTACAGATGAAATCCTTAATTACATTGTTTCTGGGTCAAACGGCACTTGCTTTGGAGGAAGCCATCGTAAAAATCATTTTAAAGAACAAGACATGTTCCGTTAGTCGATTTGTAGAAAGCATCGCCGTTAGGCATTGGTAGTCAAATTCGAAATTTTGCCACAGTTCGTTTATGTCGAAATTAAAAATTTCAAACAAAATTAATTTTATTATTACAAGACAGTGCAAAAGTTATAATTAGTTTACAGCTGATTACAAGAGCAAAAATCCGAACCAAAAAAAAATACAGAAACAAAAACAACATTCTCATCACTTCCTTCCTCCCTTCTTGATACGTTCCTTTACATAAATAAAACTATATGTATTTTCTTAAGCGATTCTTAAAACGATTTAAACTTAACTGGAAAATATCACAATTGCCATTGTGTTGACAAAAAACGTCATTATAACGTTTTACACAACGAGAATTTTTTAGGTAATTTCGAATTCAGGACTCTTTTCTGTTATAAAAATTCGTCAATCTTTTTTTTGCAATACTGCAATAAAACACAGAAAACTAACACAGAACGGCGACTTAACTTTGTCATTCATTAGGTTATATACAAAACAGATAAAGTCTGTTCATAGATATAAGAAAGTGACTGACTGATACCAATTAAGGAAAGACGTGGGCAAGCTGTAAGAATGAAATATGACCGAAAAGGTCCGCACTTTGCTTAGAATTTAATTATTTGGGGTTTTGTTAGAAAAGATACTAATCAATATTTATCTATTTATGCATATATTTATTTTTTCATCTAAAATAAAATTACAAATTATTTTTATTACCTACTTAAATTACTTAAAATTATTCACATAATATATCAGAATCACTATCGCTATCATCAGCTGTTCTAATTATTATTTGTTCTATATTATTTGCAATATATATATATATATATATATATATATATATATATATATATATATATATATATATATATATATATATATATATATATATATATATATATATATATTGATGTATGGCAGGACAGCGATCGATCTTCGTTGGGTCTCGTCCTGCACTCTCTGCTGCGGCTGTTGTTGTTTACTGATTGCCTTGCTGATGGTGCGCCTTTGGTATCCGTTTTGTCGAAGACAGGTACTAATTTTCTTCAGTTCTTTATCTCTGTTCCTCTCGTTTGTGAGCCTGAAGGACCGAGCAATTAATGTATTTGCCACTGCCTGTATCTGTGATGGGTGGTGATGAGATTTAGCGTTCAGATATCTATTAGTGTGTGTTGGTTTTCTATAGACAGTGTGTTCCAAGTGTCCATCTTCGGTCCTTGGGATGTGCACATCTAAAAAGGGCAGGCTGTTATCCTCTTCAAGTTCTATTGTAAATTGAATCCTTGGGTGAATGGAATTCAGATGATCTAGGAATTTCAAAAGCTCCTCCTTGCCAAAAGGCCATACAACAAATACGTCATCAACGTATCTTGTCCATAGTTTTGGCTTCAGATTTGCCTTCTCTATTGCTTTCTTTTCGAAGTAAATCATGAAGAGGTTGGCAATCACAGGTGAGAGAGATGATCCCATTGCTGCTCCATCTATTTGTCGGTAAATTACAATAGAACTTGGGTCACTTTCTTATATCTATGAATAGACCATATAAGCAAAACTTGGCGACTATTGAGATTCATAAGTTTATAGAATATTAAATTGAAATGATAAATAAGTAACGTCGTGATCTGTTGAACCTATTAATTTACTGCTCTGATAAATTCTAGCGTCATATTTAGCCTAATTACACAGAAGAAACTTTGATTTAATATTGGTGAAGCCCTTACCCATTCTTAGTAAAAATTCATTGATCTTTGTGTAATTGTAATTGTATTTATTGTATTGTATAACATGTTTTACTGATTCTTTCTTAATGATATTGCAACCATCAGTAGTAAAAAATCTATTCATATCTTCGTGTATCCCACTATAATCTCGAGTAGACTTAAATTCTTTTTTTTTTGAATCGTCTGCGTATACAGAGTTTTCTGAGGAATCTTGAGGGACTCCACTTGGAACTCCGATGGGCAATTTAGAACAATATTCACTCAATTCACAAAATTAGTGATCTGTCGCAATTATGTGCCTCTCTATGATTTTTAATAATATGTGTCTTAGATCCTTTTGTTCAGTTGTATTTTGTTAACAAAAGTATTTCCTTTGCAGAACAGATGGCGTCTCTAATGCACTCGGTAGTGGACAATTACCATGAACTTCTAGAAATTAAAAACGGTTCGTATAGTATACGAATGAATACTGTAGAGGAAATTCAATACCGCTTATTCCAGATCCGTTGGTGAATTCGTGGCTTTTCATGCAATCGCCGGCGCCAGTCGTCACCATACTAGTCGCCTACCTCTATTTCGTATTAATATTAGGACCTAAGTTGATGAAAAATAGAAAGGCTTGGGATTTGAAACGCGCCATGGTGGTATACAACGCGTACCAAGTGCTCTTCAGTGTGTGGTTGTGTAGCCACGCTTTGCACGTAAAAAATGCTATTCCTCACCTACTAAATCACACTTGCAAAAACCCTTCGCCTAACAAGGAATTTCAACAGGCCGTAAGTCTTGATTTTTTTGATGAAACTGAGATGACTTGAATTGTTCTGGTTGATGATGATGGGGGAAATGTGGATCATTTACATTAAGTTTTGTAATTTTGTTAACTTATTTCTCAATTTCTCAAATGAAATGTCTCGAGGAATCCAAATAATATAGAACGTGTTCTATTTAAAATAAGAGAGAGATGAACGAAACATCCTGGAAATATGAAAAATTAAAATATCTAGATGAAACTATGCAACTTTTGTAATCGAGTTTTTTTCTTATCGTTCGTAATTTGAGTGGAGGGGTAAGGAAATTTATTTTGGACACCCTGTAACAAGGAGTAATTTATATTATAATAAATGCAAATTCGGCGTCTTGAAATTCGAGCCGCTTAATATAGGCCAAACGTGCAATTTTTCTATACCATGAAGAGGACGGACGCACTCGAAGTTTGATCGGAAACGACGGAACTTTTGAATTTTAAAATTTTACAATTTCAAAATTCTAACCGGTTATTTCAACCAATGAAGACAAACAAAATTGTATGAGTGTAAAATAGATAAATTTATTGCACAAAATTGAAAAAGAATTCAAGCTTGTCTGACCATTTCCAAAAGATACACATTATTTTCCAAAAAAGTTTAAAATAAAAAAAAGAAAAATTGTTTGCCTAATTTTTGTAACTACACATAATATTACTTGATTAACAAAAGAAATCTCTTATAGCGAATTATTAAGTTTTACTAATTTCTCCTTTTTGTAGCTAGCTAGAGGAGCTTGGTGGTATTTCTTCTCAAAGATTGTGGAACTTCTGGACACGGTCTTCTTTGTTCTGAGAAAGAAACAGTCTCAAGTGACATTTCTGCACGTGTATCATCATGCAATTACTATGTTCTTTTCATGGGCGTATTTAAAGTTTTTGCCTGGTAAGTACGAAATTTAAAAATAATTGCCAGCGTTGTCTCTTGGCCGCTTTAGCTATAAATGTTTTCTCCCTAAATCTTTTTGACAATTACTTTTGGAGATATGTTATGTAATATATTTCATAATTCTAAATTATAAAAATAAAGCAGGAGCGATTTGATTGACGGTTGTATTTCTGTAAGATAGTTTTCTTGCTGGCAACCGATATGCAGGGTTACCCACCACATTCGCCTTGGTTTTTAAAAGAGTTGGGGAAATACTTTTATCACAGTATTATGTGGGCCCATATTTCTAAATTATTTTGAAATATTCAGGGTAACCCAAAAAAATGGTAGATCTTAGACCTATATTATGTTGATGGAACAGCCTGTATGTTTTATATCTTTGGTTGCTATAGACTAAATAAAGGTAAGTTACTGTTATATTTGCTAAACCTGAAGATTTTTGAGAAATTTTGAGAAATTAAAAAATATACTCCGTAATTTAAAAATTGTTTACATCCTGCAACATGAAACGAGCTGCTCATAATAAAATTTACTGTTTAGCTGAAAGATTAAAGTTAACTACCATATAAAAGTTTTCCTCAAAGTTTGAGAACACATTTTATTAAAAAACTTCTTAAAGTTAAATGGAACATCCCGTATTTACTGGTCTGTATTGACGCAGTATTAGATTCTCATTAAAACGATTAGGGTAAACGATTAGGGTTACCTACTCCCCTGCTTTTTATTATTTTTTCAATAACAGTAGGGTTTGACCTAAATAGCGTAAATTCTTATTTTGAAAAAAAAATTGACGGTGACATTTCTTGTTAATCAAACCATTATCATTGTTTAAAGTCATTATCATTGCAAAATATTGTTACACCATATTTAGCTATAATGCGAACCTACCTTCAGGAAGAACGAATTGATATGATTTTGGTAAACGGTGAGTGCCAAGAAAACTGTTTATTAGCGTCAAAAGTAACGCCCAAATGTATCGAAACAGACTTCATCCTAACAAGCGTTTAGAGGAAAAGTTGTTACAGGTTGTCCATAGCACAAGTAGTGGTGTCTTATAAAAAGTCAGAATGACAAAAACCGGTTACCGGAAATGAGGAAAATGAATATTATAGTGATTTAGTTGTAATACAACTTTTATCTAGAGTTAACTTTAACCTTTCAGAAGTTAGCTTTTTTATGAGTAGCTTGATACAGGGTGTAAACAATTTTAAAATTACAACGTTGGTACTTTTTAATTTTTCAAAATTTTCCAAAAACCGCAGATTGTGATATAGGAAATGTAATGTCTCTAGTAATTAAGGATATAAAAAATAAAGTGATACGCCCTTTTTTTGGATACCTGTATATTTCAAAACATTTTGCATTTCATGGGCCCACAAAATCCTGTAGACACGCTGTATTTAATATATTATGGGCAGGAAATGTGAATATAATTGAAAAACATTGAACGCATTAACAAAAAGGGCCAATTCAACAAATAGTTTTCAATCCAAAATGGCGTTGGATGCACGAGATAAACTTAGTTTATTTGTTGCAGGAGAACAGGGCGTTGTAATAGGTTTCCTAAACTCATTGGTTCACGTCGTTATGTACTTTTACTACTTCCTAGCTGCCCTGGGACCCAATTATCAAAAATACCTTTGGTGGAAAAAATACATGACTTGGATCCAGTTGGTAAGGCGATTTTCTGAAAAATAAATTAAGACTTGGCCTGAAAAACAAAAATAACTGGTGCTACTACTAACCTTTTCAGACGCAATTCTGCATCATGTTGGCCTACTTGACGTTCATCATTGCTATGGATTGCAAGCTGCCTAGAGCATTGACATTTTTCTTTTTGACGAACGTGGTCATTTTTCTGTACCTGTTTACCGATTTCTACAGAAAAGCGTATCGGAAACCGAACCCACAACAATCGAATTCTGGAACAAGTGTTTCGCAAATAATGGAGAACGCGGAAGGGGCATCCTGTAGCGGAACGGCGTCCTATAAAGCGACAGATGCGTCGAAAGTCAAATTTAGCTAAGACAACATGTATGACACGCTTTAAACTCTGCCAGGTTGTAAAATACTGTACATAAAGTAACGCTGTTTAAACATTTGTAGTTAGCGTTGTAATTATGACATGTGATTCGCGCAAAAGTGAAATTAAAAGTTAAGCAGATAGTTTTGTTCGATGAACATAATTTTTACACATTGTTGCTAGGATTTATATGCAAGTACATTATCCGACAGATAACTTTAGTTTTCGTTCATATATTTCATTACCAGAGGATTTTTTGACTCCCCACCCCCTTGAGATGTATACAATTAACTTCAGCTTCCCAATTACGTCTCTCGTAAAAAACGACACTGGAGCCGAAAAATCTATCCCTTTCGATTCTATCAAGCCCGGCGAAAAAGGAGAAAAAAATAAACACACATTATTTTATATAGTGTTTGTTCATGTATTTTTATTATAACCTAATTATAAATTTCATTTTAGAAAATGAGGATGTTCCAATTTTTTCAACTGTTTTACACATAAAACTACTACCGGTAATAGAGGAACTTATAAAGCAGCTATGAGAAATGTTTTGAGAGTGACCATTTAAATATAACATGCGCAAGTTAAAATCTCGCTTTAAATTAATGACCTTGCTTTCAACCATATTGGTAGCTCTTTGAAAGATCTTCAATAAGTTTGAAAGCAGCATTTTTAAGGCAATATTTTCTCAAAATATGACTAGATTCCAATAAATCTTCGGACAAAAAGGGTTAAGTGTGTAGATATCGCTGTTTAGAAAGAAAATCAGACAAATGCGGGTTAGTGGGTAAAATGGAGAGGCATACGCGGAAAATCATTCTCTCCTCTACAAAAATATCAATGCCGCTTGCAGCCCATCAATTTTTACCGTAAAGGGGCTACTATCCTCATAGATACTGTAATAGAGATATAGGGGCCCTGTCTGTGCTGATAATACAGAGACTTATGAAACAAGTTTGAAACAACTATGAAAAAAAAATTTCAACATGCGCATGCGCAATATTCAAAATTTCGTTGTGACGTTTAACAACCAACATGACCGCTGACAGATCGTCAATAAGATTGGATACGGTATTTTTACCGCAAAATATGCCTAGATCTGGTTAAATGTTCTCGGAAAACGAGTTACGTGTGTAGAAATCGATGTTTAGGAAGAAAATGGCACAAAGTGCAGGTTAGTGGGTGAAATATTGCGCCTGCGGTGCATCAGTTTATACCATAGTAGAGCCGCTCTATAATCCAATAGATATATGATTTTTTCTACTCCCGCCTGTAGTAGAATATTTTCTAATCCCGTCTGTAAAATACCTAATTATACACCGATCTAGCGTGCGGGAAGGGTCACTTTACCACATCAGTTTCGTTTCCCACGGATCCGAGCCACTTCGGACATTTGCGCACTGGGTTGGAAACAATCGGATGTTTTCGGAGATATTTCCCACGCCTCAAATTGTGACGTTTGTCAATTATGGCGGTCATATCAGTGAATTTATTCGTGTTGTTTTGCGAAAATGTACCCAAAAACTAACTGCCGTAAAAAAAGTATAGTATGCAGTGAACTTTTTAAGTCACTCGTTTATTAAACACTCGCTCTGATGGGCCCGCTCGAGTCAAATAAATTCGTGAGTCAAATGCCGTTTACCGCACTTGTTGCATAATATACTAAATTCTACATCTGAACTATAGAAAAACTGAAATCTTGCCAACGTAATTAAAGCCCAACTTATAAAAGCAAAACTCTGCTAAACCATATTTTTAATAAAATTATTTCTTGCGCACACCCTGTATACATTTCTTTTCAAATAATCGGTAGCTCTGAAATGAGCTTCTATCTAACTTTAAATTTCATCTAAAAAAATAATTTTTCTACATTAATTCTTTTGAACTATCTCGCCCATCCTGTACAGGGTGGGCCAATATAATTGTAAAATATCCAGTACCGGTTCAGAGTTCAATTTTTTTTATGTGTGTTTATTGGCACTTTTCTATGGACTCAATTGTCAACAATAGGCGAGTAACCCCAGAAAAATTAAATAAATTAACAAAAATTAGAAAGTAAAAGAAGAAGAAAGTAGAAGTGTTCTACACTTTTTTGTGTTCTGTTAATTGTGCTTTATGTGTTTGTTGTTATAGGTTATGTGAATTAAAAAAGGAGCAGGAATGGAGGCTTATGTAGATTATCTCATGTCTGGTCTTAAAGAAGATATTCTTCAAATCCTGAGAGACGAGGAAACAGAAAAATATTTTTCTATTAACATGAAGTAATGTTTACTTCACTTAATAATGATACTAATAGACAATAGGAAAACACCATTGTTCTTAGTTAAAATTCAGTAGCACTTTTAAACACGCTAGCTTTTTAGCTTTTTTCTTTAGGGAGATACGATTTGTTCTTGAAAGAGAAGTTCTCTTGACTAATTTGCATTTTTCCACAGCTTTATTGAGTTATTTGAAGCAAAACCAAACCTTGGCAATACTCTGTTAAGTGATCCTGAGGATTCTTTTAAAAGATGGAGTGAAGCAGTATTTGTTGTCCAGCATAAGCTAATAAATGAAAGAAATGAAAGTGAACATGAACATAATTATAAATTCAAAGTCAAAGTAACATGCAGAATACATAGTTTACCTCCATGGCCTCATGTTAATCGAGTGCGGTTTCCAAGGAGCGATGATGTTGACCAGTTTCTGCAAATTTCAGGTATTTATTAAATTATTAACAATAAAACCAAATTCAATATTAAAATTCTACTGTTTGTTTATGAATTAACATTAACTTTCAATTAAAATTTATTTGCCATTTATCTAATACTTGTAGTTTTGTTACACTCACCTTTTTGTTTAGGTACGGTCGTTAAGATATGGTCTAGAAAGCTATTAGAGTATCAAAGGTCATATATTTGCACCAAATGTAAATATGTGGTGATAGTGGAAGCCCTGCTAGAGAAACGAAATATGATTAAGCAACCAAAAAAGTGCACTAATCCCGAAGGGTGTTCGGGAAAAAGTTTAGTCAATTTTGGCGAATTAGATTCCACAAATTGCAAGGACTATCAAGAAATTAAGATTCAAGAAGATCTTTCCAAAGTTAGCCTTCGAAATATGCCTAATACTATAATTGTTACTTTAGACAACGACTTGGTTAATATTTGCAAACCAGGAGAGAATGTAACAATAACGTAAGTCATATTTTTATGACCCAAATGAATTATTTTTTATTTATTAATACATGAGTTGCCAAACTTCTCATTTGGCAGTTCGCCTACATAAAAAACTGGAACTGTTATATAAGTAGGGACAGAGATTTTCTTGATAATTTTGACACTGATTTCAACACTTTCACATGTCAAATGCTTTTAGTGGGATAGTGAAAAGGAGGTGGGGCGAATTTTCCAAAGGATCAAAAATCGAAGTTGACATCATTTTCAAAGCAAATCATGTACAGGTCAACAACCAAAATGATACATCATTATGTGTTTCTGAGGAACTGAAAATATTTTTTAGAAATTTTTGGGAGACTTATAAGAGTGAACCGCTACTAGGAAGAAACATTATTTTAAATTCCATTTCACCACAGGTAAATTTATATATACAGAGTCTTTTTAATTGAAGTTTAATAAATTTTTAACAAAACAAGTTATTGTTAACATATAACAATTTGGTATACAAGACTTTCAAAACGTTTTTCTTTTGGGATGTATGAAGTCCTACTTGCTTTTGTTCTATACAGCTTGACCCAAATGGACTCTTTGTATTACGGCATTTTTGGATTTTATGATCATATATCATATACACTGACGTTTTCAAGGCTTTCGACTGGGTTAACCGTAATTTGGTTTGGTACAAATGTGAGGGTTTGGTTGTCAGTAGTGCGCACTTTCGAATAAATGTTTCTTCAGGGGTGCTACAAAAAATGCCAATTTAACAAAAACATCATAACTCAAAAACTGCTGAAGATATCATAAAAAATCTCTAAAATTTTCTATTTTTAAGATAAACGCTTTAGCAAAGCAAGCAAATTATGAAAAAAACTTTTTATTTATTTTATTTATTTAAATTGGCTGGACGAATTTTCTAAAAGAAAATGGAGATAGAGGAACACCAATGTAGGTATCTGCAGTTTGATATAAAAAAATCATAGTGGAAATAATCACACATGGATATCTGTTCCAGTTCTAGAGTTATAGCGTGTTTTTCGGAAATGTGCATTTTTAGAAAATCGCTATGACTTTTTTGTTAAGTTTTGTTTTTCTATAATCTGACGACTTGAATATGATGCTTTTAATAGTTATTAGTCGTCTACTGAAAAATCGATTTTTATATGGAACACCCCGTATATTTTTGGATCGTTCAAATTACCACTTCAAAAATATAGAATACGTAATATTTGAGTTTTCTTGGAAAAAATAAAGGTTTGTTCAGTAATTCAGTAATTGAATTGATAAACTAACCAAATACTGGTTTTAGCTATAAAGACGCCAGGCTAGTACTTTGTTAAAGTAAACTGTGCTAAAAATATCGACTATTTTTTATGAAAAATATATTGACAAAAGTATTCAGAATGAAGAAAAAAAATTCCGTGAAAGTTTGAATCCTTAATATTATAGGTGTATCATTTGTATTTTCAATTATCGTGACCTGATCTCATTATTACGTCGAAACAGTCAAACGAGTTTTTTAAAAAAAGCTTTGATTAAAATTTTTCGTCAGCGGAACCGTTTCCAAGAAATTAAGCCATGAACATTAATAAGTTTTTTGAATTAACCTTTTTATTTCGGATGTCTTTTTTGTTTCGTTTTCACCCAGTCTTTCTCTGTATTATAACTTTATGAATTTTCGCCCTTGCCGATCTGTTTGATCGGCTGTTCTTGTTCTTAACTTATTAACCGCTATGACAACTGAAGACACTCTATCTTTTGAAAACGTCGACCGAGCAAAAATGACCTTGAAATTTTTCGTTTTTCCTAACTCATCCCCACCTAAGTAATTTTCCATTATTCACTGTTCTAAAAATAGAAAGGACAAGGGTGTCTATATTAACAAATATATTATTATACCAATCTGTAAAAGATTGAAAATAAATAATAAGAGTACTTTTAGTGGTTGAATTGATCGCATAATCATTTTCAATTATGTAGAATGCTAATTTGACCCATTGAGTGAAAAGAATTGGCCGAATAACGGAAAAAAACAACGATTTCATTTTCTGGTCAGGTTCAATTGTGAATAACCATATAAAAAAATTGTAGATCATTCCAAAATGAAACAGTTAAATCAAATAATTTATTAGTGTGTAAGGCTTGATTTCTTATAAAGGGCTCGTTTGATTAAAACTTACTTTGAACCAGAGCTTTTTTTTAGAGAATTCAATTTACTACAAGAATATATTCACATAGATATTTTTACCTCAGTCGTCTGTCTGTTTTGACCCAATAATTAGATCAGGATAAAAATAAGATAAAAATGATAGACCTCTTCCCAATTAAATTTAGGGCTCAAACATTTAATATATATTTTTCCATCAAAAATAATTCTCATTAATTTTTCTTAGTTTGATTTATGTTGATCATTGACCAGTGGTCGTTATACAGAGTGAAAAACCTTATCGTCTTATCGTTATATTGTTAAGTTAAGATAAATTACAATATTATATTACAATTATATATTATTCTACATGATTATAATTACTCTAAGATCAAGTGAAACATATATAAATAAGAATAATATGAAAATTAGATAAATATTATTCTATAAATCAACTATTTACAATACACCTTAATTTATAAATTTCAATCATCATGTTGCTAGTAGTCGGATGAACTGTAGTGATTGGAATCCAGAGAAATAATAAGGGCCTCTAGGGCGTTTTCTAGCATATTATCAGCTTCCCATATCCTTTCTTTTATTTAATCACATATTTGACACACTAACTCCGTTTTTCACAATCCACCGGAAACTAACTATAAAACTAAAGAAACACGGCATAGTAGTTTCTGTATGGTAAATTGAGTTAATTCTTCAGCTCTATGGACTACATACTGTCAAACTGGCACTGGCCGTAGTACTAGCCGGAGGCTCCCAAACTGAAAGGTACACAACTACCGGTGTTACTACCAGGAGCGAATCGCACTTACTTTTGGTCGGAGATCCAGGCACTGGAAAATCACAATTGCTCAGATTTGCTTCAAAAATAATACCCAGATCGATATTAACGACCGGAGTTGGGTCGACTGCAGCTGGTTTAACGGTTGCAGCCCTCATGGTTGGGGATTCACGGTACCTATTATCAAATGCCGGAAACAGCTATTTTCTGTTTTAAGGAAAATGGTGAATGGATCTTGGAAGCTGGAGCACTCGTTATGTCGGACGGTGGTATTTGTTGTATAGATGAGTTTAATTCTATGAAAGAGCACGATAGAACCAGTATTCACGAAGCCATGGAGCAGCAGACCATCAGCGTGGCAAAGGTATGAAGCGTTTGAAAAATGATGGATTGATTATACTGGACGTTCCATTATTGATTTGTGCACAAAAGTTTTACTTTAAAAGTATTATATTTATATGCATTGACGGTATTTGTATTTTCGTGGACAAGTAACAATTTTGATATGTTTAATAGAACACCGCGTATATTAACACAGTATAGAATTCCTTGGAACTTTCTGGACATAGATTAAAATTATTAAGTTTTTGACATTCTTAACATAAAGTAGACTACAACAAATGTTTTTTTTATTTTTTCGCTGGAACTGAAGCATTAAACTTGTTTCACTATTCTGAACATGGTATTAACACAATTTTTGACTATTTTATGATAATATGACGAAATATATTTGTTTAAAACTAAAACAGTTTATACCAATAACAAAATGGTGGAATTTTTTAAATTGCAGGCCGGGATTGTATGCAAGCTGAACACGAGATGTTCGGTTTTAGCGGCTTGCAATCCGAAAGGCAACGTGGACTTATCTCAGCCTTTATGCGTAAACATCGCAATGTCCAGTCCGTTATTAAGCAGATTTGACCTTATTTTATTATTAAAGGATTCCGTTAGGGAAGAAAGTGATTTGAAATTGGCTGACTTTACGCTTAATGGTTTGACAAAGAATGTGGACTATAAAATTTGGAACGTGGAAAAACTACGGGTACGCGTATTTCTGCTGGTACAAATTAAAAAATCTAAATTTCTTTTAATCTACTTTTTTTATATTGAGACTATCGAGCGTGGTTAATTCACAATTTACAATATACAATCTGATTACACAACAAGTTGTAATTAACTTAAAAACTAGTTTATTAGCTAACTTCTATTACTACATCAGAAAGTGGTAAAGGAAATCGGGCAGTTAATCAGTTAAAATAAATCAATTATGTTGGTAACATTCTGGAATAAATGTTGTAATAATTGTGAAAAGAATTTTATTGATTTAATTGAATTTTGCAAAGATTTGGTGATACATTTTCAGGCTTACTACGTGCTGATAAAAAAGCTTAATCCTCAGTTAAGTAAAGATGCGGAAACTATTTTGGGCGCATATTACCAACTTCAAAGGAGAATGACTTGTAGAAACAAATCCAGAAGCACTGTTAGACTCTTGGAAAGTCTCGTAAGGTAAAGACTTTTTAATGGTTGTTAAAAAAAAAAGTTAGTAGTAGTCGGGCAACTAGTGCATTTCTAATTAATTAATAGGGAATGCTTTTCAGGAAACGGGCGATCCTATAAATTAAAAATATTTTTTTTTAAGTAACCCGGCAAAGAGAAAGTGCTAGAAATTATTTTCGGGTTTCGATTAAAACCCGGTTTCTACAAAAAAAATTAATACCATGGTTAAAGCGTAAACTTTTTTAAAATTTAAATTATTTTTGTTTAGTGGTATTTGCTCTATCCCTTTTCCCTTTTAGTATCAGTCCATCCAGTCATTTTTTTTATTTTATGTAGTAGTGCTTGTAAATCTTGAAGAGTACTTGCTAACAATACAGTGTTGTCCGACTCCCCTTTCTCTCTTTAAAATTTGATTGGTATGTAAATTAGCAATAATTCTAATATCTTTGCTGTCTAAGTGTGATAAGGTGGTCATGTTTTATCCTGTGAGAAGAGACAATAATGCTTCGCTTGTGCAAAAACAGCGAAAACCAAACAGTTATGGATAATTTTTAGGAACTATTTGAGAGTATGGCTCATAAGACTTATTATTATCATCTGGTAAGATTTGTATATCATATTAAACAGGATTTTAACTGGTAATTCATCAGTGCCTAAAGATTTCCCACATTTCAATGTTTTTAGAGGATGTATTCGACGTTTTCCAAGTCTTGAGCTTTACCTTGCATACTAATTGAAACGTCATGTTTAACCTGTAGTAATACTATTTCCTTGCATTTATTTTTATGCCATTCCTCTTTACCTTATCTATTTGCTTAGGAATAAATTTTTTGAATATCCTTGTATGATTTTTTGTCATTCTTAAGTCCTCGTCGGGTTTCCATCAGTTGACGAATCTCAGGAATCATTGATTCTTATTTTTGGGATCGGCTTTTCGTTGCCAAAGTTGTCTTACTTGCATCAGTTAAAACAGATTTAAAAGCTTCCGCCATTTGTTGTTTGTATCAAAATCTCTGTTACTTGGAGGAACTATCTCTCTTTGGCTGATGATGACTTTCAAATTCTCATTGATTTTGTTTTTAAGTTCCTGTCGTGGTTTGTTATCGTTTAGGAAGATCATGTTTAAAGATGGTTTCATGATCACAGGTGTTTGTTTTTTCATTTTAATATTTAGACTGGCAACTACTGGATTATGGTCAGATGAAATATCCCTAATCTCCAACATATTTTTCTGCTCTGCCCTTTACGATTTGGGCATTGAAATTTTAAGTCGGCACATAGATTTAAATGATGTTAACTTGTGGTAGGTTTGAAGTTTTATTCAATTAAAAATTAAAATGTATTTAATAATTATTATGCGGGTGGATACCATTTATCTACAAAGCACTCAGTTTAAGCATGGTTAATATTAACAGTTACGCTCCGTGGTGGCTATTTATTTTTTTTTTAAATTCCTAGGACTCTAGGTTTCTCTAATACCATACCTATATACATACTACATACACTCAGTATAAATTTTTAAATTTTAGGTTATCTCAGGGTCACGCGAAGCTTATGTTTCACGACCGAGTTGAAATTTTAGACGCAATTTTTGCTGTTACTCTGGTAGACGGCGCTCTAGATGATACGTCGTCGCTTTTAAATTTAAAAAGTATCGTCGATTTGCTTTACGAAAATCCCCAAACCTACCACCAATTATCGGAAACAATTTTAAGAAAATTAAATATACTCGATATGCTAGAAAAGCGTGTGGGACAGGGAAGCGCTGACAATTGCTCGAACGAAGACACAGACAAGTTGATACAAAGTTCTTATTTTAAAAATTCCACGAAAATTAATCAGAATAAATCTGTTAGTAATAATGCAACTGATGGTCGGCAAGTCTCTGACGCATCTGCAAAGCCAGTAATTTCAAATTTGAGAAAGCAGTATCTGCGTAGTTTAGAAAGTATCGATACTTCTATTTTCGATTTTAAAACTGCTGCATCAGTACCAAGTACTAGCATTCAAACCAAAAGCAACTGCTCGATGCAAAGAAATGAATCGGCTAGTGCTGCCTCTAGCGGCAATGCCTCGACTTTTCTATTTGCAGAGGGTAAAATCAGTACGTGCACCGATGAAAGTGGTTACGGTAGTTTTAAGCGTACCAATGCTGGGTTAGGAGTCGAGGGTGCTAGCAAATTTAATAAAAAATCCAAATTAAATTCATCCTCGCTCGGGGACTTGATGCAGTTGCCGAGTGTCAATGACGATTTTTGCAAATTTAATGTCGATCTCAATTTAGAATTCATTACGAAAATCCGCAAGACAGGTAAAGTAATAAGCCAAAATAGTACCATAGCACATAAAACTTCCAGTGTCGCTAAAAGCATTGTAAGTGGGTCACAATATGACAAGTCGCCAAAAGAAAGAAATGAACGTATGATAACAAGATTAAAAGAAGACTGTGGCAACAATGGAGAAATAACTAAATTAAATATGGAAAAGAAATCCTATAGCGAAATCACAGATATTAAATGCGGCGCGGATAATAAATCAGCTGATAAAGAACGTTCTTCTTTACCCCCACATTCCACAACGAATAGAATCATTCGGCCAGACGAAGAAAGTTATCCCGCCTCTTCTTTTGTGGCTAACCACTCATACAGTTCGGAAAGCGTGTCGCAAATCGGTCGATTGAAAAATTCGAATTTAAATATTTTGACAGAAATCATGAATTTCGAATTAGACGATAAGGTGGTACAGAATTTTTCCCAAAAATGTTTGCTCAATAGAAAAAACTCTGACGTGAAGGACGGTTCTGCTTGAGAACTGCAAGGTGGGACTTGGAATGAAACAATGAAAGCGATTCTCCAAATAATAAACCTGTGAATAGGTGTGATTTGTTCAAAAATATTAACCCAATTAAATTAAATTTAGAAATAAAGAATAAAACTTTGTTTATAATTTATTGATGCCGCATTTGTTGTTTAAATTATTAAATAGTTATCTGAATAATTTAAAAGCGTAAGCTGGAACAAGCAATGCAAATGCAATCCAAGATAACCAAAGAAATGTTGAGTAAAAATAAGAGTTTCTTGAAGTCATCTAAAAAAAGTATTTTTCACTTCTCATTTATAATAACTTGCAAATTTATATATAGGCAGAACATTACTGTAAAAATAAACAAACGACGATTTTGGATACCTAATGTAATTGTTTATCTCGATTTAGAATTCAATAAGAAAGTCAGCAACGCAGGTTTGTATTGCTCGGAACTTTCATTTTCATTATTCACGCCGGTTGGAGGCGTCTCAGATGGTCTGCGGCGAAATTGAGGGGTAGCCGTTTCTTTTTAAGTCGGTCAAAGTCCAAGTTGGAACTAGGGATTAATTGTTTTTGATATCAAATCATAGTTTGTGTCGGCCTGTCACCAAAATCGTTAACCTTATTCTTATAAAGCTTTAATTATAGGGCTAATAGAATGAAAAAGAACAGTATTCTGTGACCCGCACAGAGCAGGGGTGATATCGGAATATTGCTATGCAGTGGGTTAGGATTTTGTAAATAAAATTCGATCGAATATACATGAGAAATACCAACTAGCTACATTTCTATCGGAAATCAGGTTGATGAATACAATGACTTCAAGCCAAGTTACTCAGATTAGTTTGGAAGCATTGCTTTGTAGGTGCTTGGAGAGAAACTGTGATTCAGTATTACTTCTTTCTCATTTTAGTACGAGCCACGAATCCTAATAATACAGTTATCGATAGTGCAGCAGTAGACGCATTTTGCGCGCTTGTTAATAAAGAAAAGGACGGGACACAGATCGGGGTAAAAGTTTTTGCTAGTAGGCTTCCAATTGGAAATGAAGCAGAAGTATTGTTCACTTTGAATGTATTGGATTTGTGTATGTCGAAATGTGGCACTCCGTTTCAAAACGAAGTAGGGAAATTCCGATTTTTAAACGAAATGATCAAGCTTGTATCTCCAAAATATTTAGGATCCAAAACGCCCTTATCGGTTAAAGTGAGAATACTTGAACTGCTCTATATATGGACTTTGGATTATCCGAAAGAGGTGAAAATTAAGGAAGCTTTTGATATGTTGAAGAAGCAGGGTGTTGTCAAAGATATTCCCAATCCAAACATTCCTCAAGAAGCTTTATTATATGAGAAGAAAAAAGTAAGTGGATCTGTTTTCCATGATGAGGAAAAGTCAAATATTTTAAGGAAGTTGTTACAAAGTAAAGATCCTGAAGATATCCAGGCGGCTAACTGGCTTATTAAAAGTATGGTAAAGGAGGTAATTTTGAGTCAATTTTCTACTTTTTTTTGTTTAAAGCATCTTTATGTAGCCATGTTTTTTAATTTTATTTTCACGTTTTTTGTCTCCAATCCTGCCAATGTTGCTTAATTGTAAGCATTAGATTGGACTAAAAGCAAGCACTTAGAATAACGGACAAAAATATCCTGAAAGTTTAAGCACTAAATTTTATTGAGAAGAGGTCTTATCATTTTTATTTTTAATTTTTTTGTCTTGACCTCATTATTCCATCGAAACAGCCAAACAATTGAAGTGAAAATAGTTATCTGAATATATTTTGCAGGAAATTAAATTTTCTATAAAAAAAAAACGCGGATCAATGAATTCTCATGCTCAGCAGTTTTTAAGGAATCAAGTCTTAATATTAATAAAGTTTGTTCATTTTCTAATTTTGTAATTAACCAACAACTCAATATTTAAAAAATAATAATATTGATTTTTTAAAGGGCTGTACAAAAAAGTAAAAAAAAAAAGTTATTTTTGATATATTATTCACGATTGAAATTAAAGAAATGAGATCCTCGTCTTTTTCCTCAGTCACCGAATTTTTTCCACTCATTGATTTAAATTTCTAATCTATATCATCTAAATTTATGTCATCAATAAAATCACCAAAATAATTTTAAAAATGTCAATGTTGTTTTTCTATTGAAAATTATTTATTTACAATATTTTACTCATTAGTATATTAATATGTTATATTTACTAATATAGACAAATTCATATCTATTTGTAACTTGTTTTAGATAGTTTATTGACTACTTTACAATAACATTGTAGCAAGTCATACTGGAATAAAAAAAAAGTTAACCCATCAAATGTATACATCACATAATATAGATTCATATGTATATATCACAGAACAAACATTAAATAACAATCAATGCACAAAGCCTCTCAACAAGTGATGATCTTTAAAAAAATCACTTACATCTGATAGCCCTTGTGTTATATAAATTTTATGTTGGGATAAATTTGTTTTGATGTTTGATAAATGTATTTCGGAATGCGTAGATTATTTGAACTCCATGTGTCATACCTATCAGAATTCAACCCCTTGCGAATATGTCATTATTTTATGTCTAATAAACAATGACTTACAGTATGCAATTGCAATAGACCATGCAATAGATATTAGGGTTAAGATGTTAGAAAACGACAAAGTGTTTTCATTCACTCGTCATAGTGCTTAGGAAGTTATAACTAACAAATATATTAACACACCTTTGTTGTAGAGCATTAATTTCTTTTAAAAATCAGTAGATGTGTGTGTCACTTAAAAAATTCCAAAATGAAAAATGTATTTACCTGTAAAGCTTAATTTCTTGGAAACGGGTCGTCCGATGATTTTTTTTTATAGAAAATTCAATTTTCAACAAAAATATATTTCGTTTCTTAATGCGCGAGAGTAATAAAATGTAAATGTGGAATGTTGAGGATTATTAAATTCCGTATTTTAGTTCTTAATTGAGCTACATACCTCAAATTGTTTCTAAACTAGGATCACACCGATTTGCATATAATAGAAAGAAGAGTTTGGTGAACGAAAGTAATTTGAAATTAAAATAAATTGCAATAAATATCATTATTGTCTACAATTTACAATACAACTTCATATTTAAATTTTAGTTATCATGTTCTGAGGAATGAGATGAACTATAGTTGTTGGAGTCCAGATAAATAATAAGGGTCCCTACAGTGTTTTCTAGCATGTTATTTTAATTATATGTTCGACGCGAAAAGTGGTGTTATACCTTGCTATAAACGCTTTTACTTGCGCCCATAACAGTTCAGTTGGGTATAATTCATAATTATATGACACAACGCGAACTATCGTAATATTTCGTATTAAAGCGATTTCGTTGATGACAAATTTCATACAAATAGGTTTAATAAAATTCACAATTCCCAGTAAAAAAGGGGGTTTTACAACATATCTTTCTGAATTTGCGCCCTATTTAAAGTAAGCCAATAAATGATGTTATTTTTTTCCAACAACTTCAGAAACACTAGCTATTTTCAAGGAAAAGCTTTGGCAACAATTGCCGGAGAGTAATTATAACTCTAATTAGCTAATCTGTTCAATCATCAGGTGCACGTTCAATCATCAGGTGCACTGGTACGCCTATGGAATGCGGCTAAGTCGAGTAAGTTTCACAGTTCAATAATTATTTATAACTCTCCTGTTAGGAAACAATAATTAGACCAGGACAAAGAAATTTAAATTTAAAATAACATTAAGGGCATTGATATTAAAGGCTCAAAATTTCACGATATTTTTTTCGTCATTTTGAATGATTTTATCGATATAATTTTCATAAAACAAAATTGTCGATTTTTGGGCCTAGTCTGGTAAGTATAAAAATAAAGCTTTATATAACACTAATATAAAAAAGTTGACTTACAGGAAGAAAAATTATCCGATTTAAAAAGCAGGGCGATATCGGAATTGGAATCGGTCCAAAATAATCTGAAATTACTCAACGAAATGTTGGGCTCGTACAAAAAAGGTATTACCACCACTAGTGAGTTAGACCTGATGAAGGAGCTCTATGATAATCTCGTCAGATTAAGACCTAATCTAACAGCCATCGCCTGCCATAATAATCAATGTCCATCTGATTTGTTTGGTAAGGATTTTTTATAAATTACGTATTCTCGATATGTGCGCGTGTGTGTGTGCTTAAATTTTCCTTTACTATTGCTCCATTTTCACTGCAGCACACAAAAACCTAAACTAGCAAATAAAAGTTAAATTTTTGAAATATTTTATATCTACTTATTTCCATTTTTGAGACATCAATTATGTTCCAAAAATGTATAATTATTTCTTGTGATTCTATATACGGGGAGTACTAAATTTATTATGTCATTTATGTTTCGCCATCCGTCTACAGCCGTAACTACAGATTTTAGAAAATAAAAGTTGAAATGAAAATTTGAAGGCTTATACAGGGTGTCTCAAAAAAACGTATTACAAAAGTTTTTTCTTAATGGAACAAATTAAATATTTATGAAACTCCTCAAGATTTTTGAAAAGTTTTGCTCATACTTTTTACAAAACTTCTGGATTTCTCCTGCGTCGGTTTTTTGTTGAGTCAAACATGTTAACGTTTCGCTAATCATCCTGTTGACTTCTTCAGAGCTTAACAGAAGATTAACAAATGACGCAGCAGGAATTTGTAAATAGTACTACCGTAGCCTGTGGAAGTTTCTTTGGAAAACTTTACTTTCATTTTATATTACTCTATTTAAAATTTAGGGGTCCTATAAACTCCGGATTCTATATTCTCACAAAGAAGTTAAAATTGAATTTTATATCTGATACCCAATATTTTATTACGTTTTTGAATTAAAAATTAGCATATTAAGAAAAGCTCGCGCTAGTAATATTTGCAAAAGGAATATATACACAAGGTTTTAATGTATTAGTTTCGATATTTGCAAATCCCAACATATTTAAAAACAATGTAACAAACAGTTTTCATTCCTAAAAAAAACTAAATTAAAAATGTTTAAGACAAAAATATATTGCAAATAATTTAAGAAAACCTTTTATTTTACATCTAGTAAGATTTAAAGGACGAATAATATATAAATAAAAATAATAAAATACATAAATACGCCGCATAATATTTTAAACGTTGGAATTTTACAATTTGTTTTATATATATACTCCATTTCCGCCAATGCTGGTAGTATACGAATAAAAAAAGACACCCGGAATAATTCTACAAGCGAAAATTACGAAAATTAATCAAATGTGTGTGTATATATTCCCTTTTCCAAATATTACTAGTTAACCTAATATCTATTTCGCTGGATCTTCTTAATACGTTGAATTCAATCACAATTAACGTAACCTTAAATTTTGTAAACAGTGCGGAAATCAAATAGGCCGGATTAAAATTGTCTGTGTTTTTATCACTAAATCGAAAATCCCAATAAAATATAGGGTGTTCCATTTAAAATTTCAAAGTTAGTGTCGATACCGAAGAATTGGTGCACCCTGTATAATTCAAAGGTGAATAATCTAAAAATTCATTTTTATCTGCACTATACACTATTTACACCTCTCACCCTTTCACTATCTGATGTAGCATTGTAGACAACCAAAATCGCAATCTCTTTTCCCATTAATATTGTGTTGTATATATATTACCATAGTTCACTTTTGTTTTATACCTTTTACTTGAACTGTACCCATTTTTTTTTGTACTTTTCATACAAATCTAACAGTAGTTTGTTATTATTAACTGTCCATATCTCTCTGATACGTATAAATTCTATGCGATTGAGTCTCCTGCATTAAAACGCAGTGTTTTTTATCTGTGTTATTGCTTTTAATTATTGTAATATATTGTACTTAAATGTCATGCATTTAATCCTGGAAATTCCCAAAGCTGGCGACATTACTTCCGTCTGCCTTCTCAACGACTCCAAGTTTAACAAAATGCGTTCAATCATTCAGCCATTTCTGATTTAAAACGGTGTTCATTTTAGTTATCTGTAATATAAGATGATTTCTCAAAAAAAGGGATGTAAAATTGAAGAATGCGATTACGCCCCCTGGCTGCCATTCTAGAAAATTAAAAATAATTTCCAACATTTTCTCTTTTTCCGCTTTAGTTATAAGTCTTGAGTAAATCTCTGTAACAATGCAGCGACAGCAGATAGAATCTTGTTGACTTTTTCGTAAACGGACCTCTGAAGATAGTCCACAGTTTTGTATACCCTTTTTGAGTTTGTATGACGCGTTTTATTTACAGATTCAATATCAAAAACGAGCGACGAAGTAACCGATACTCTATCGAAGTACCATAGAATCATTCTCCTAAACGAACCGGCTAGTTTTTCTCAATCGAACGTGGCAACACCATTTTCAGAATCCGATCCGTCTTCTAGTGACATTTCTCTGATCAAAATGGATAACAGTGAGCCCCAAAAGCACTGCTCGCCTAACATTTCTGTGTGTGATCAAATTTACGTCAAATCTATCGACGTTTTGTGCGATCTGTTTGAAGGACAAGACAAGGTCAACAGTAGGGACATTTTAAAACCCATTTCTGTCTCAGTGTCTGGTAAGATGTTTTCAAAATTTTGAAAATGCGACAATAGCGTTGCGTTTTGTTTAGATAAATCGTTTCCCATGGAGCAAAACGGTAACAGGAATAATAAATTTAAGGCGCTTGAGGAGCTAGACGTTTTAAGCGAGCACTTATCGAAAGAAAATTTACAGTCTTCAAGCTTTAGGTAGGTAGGCATTATTACTACTGGCATACCGGCGGTCCGAATTATAATGGAGAAACTTTAACATTATTTTGTATTATAAATATTGTCTGTTGCATTTTTTTCTTATTTTGACACAATTACGAAAGGTGCAATCAAATGGAATGAGACTTTGAAATATTTTAGTTTTGAGTCGAAATTTTGAATTTTTGCTTGAAAATCTGCAATATGATATATTTTCAAATTTGAAGCAACATTTATATTGAACGTTGTGTTTTTAAGCGATGAAAAAGACCACTTTAGTCTTTAGCAAATTTTATGTTTTTGTATTATTTTCGTAGTCTGTATAAAAAAACAAACGTTATGTATTGCGAACCGTATTTTTAAAGTAAGCAAAATCTTTTTTGCGGATTTTTCAATTTTTAGTTTATTTGCCTATTTGTGGACATACTGTATATAACAAATAATAAAGGTTCCAGATGGGATTGCTGAAGGGCACCAGATAAGAGGGTAAAAGGTTCAGACTGGATGCCCCCGAAGAGACACGTATTATTTTCAATCTTTTATATGCAAGCCATATCATGAATAAACCCCCTACACTGACCTGAGCAACTTTTTTGAATAGAATATTGTATATAGCTCGTGAGAGTGAAAAAAAGTTATGTTTATCTGCTGAATTTGCTCTTAAAGTTTCTCCATTATATTTCGGAATTAAAAAATTCCCTGTTACCAACATAAGAGAAAAAATGTTTATAAATGTCCGTATTTCATGTTGACTTATATTAAACTGGCAGCCTAGATTGTAGACTGTTTATTGTCATTGATTTTTGATGCCCGTTAGCGCTATCCATTCTGTTCATACGTCATCGACTGTAAGTAAGAAGTGTTGCAAATTTAATTATAACGCGGTTTTCAGGCACCAAGGGAAGATACCTATGAACCTTTACAAGACTAACGACCATTCGCGATCCCAAACCGACGAATCTTTCCAATTAGATCTCAATTATTTGTTAGAAAAGTGTCAAAATGAAAGTAATACCAAATTGCTAACAGAGGCGCCCAATTCTACAGAGAGTAATGCTGACGTCACGGACGACTGTTTGGTAGATATATCGGAAGACATTTCCAAATGTACATCTGGTATTGGTAACGATTTAAAACAAGGCATTAGTGCTGAAAAAAACGATAAAACCGACCTCAAGATCGACAGCTTAAAGTTGAACGACGTGTCTATAAGATTGGAGGAGATTAAACCCAGCTCAAAAAAGTCCATCACAGCGATGGAGGAGAAGAACGGAGTTACTATTTTAATTCATCTGGCGAAGGATCGGCCTAGGTCGGGCGTTTCGGTTTACGTCCTCAGTACGATAAGCAAAAAGGATGTGCCATTGTCCGGGTACATTTTTCAAGCCGTCGTTCCGAAGGTGAGTGCAAAAGATCAAAGGACCCTTTACTTTTCTTATGCGAAAAGGCTTTTGGACAATTTTCTGCACTTAAAGTTAGTCTGTTCTATTTCAAAAGAGAATATAGCTCACACAAAACTCTGTATCAATAAGGTTATTTGCTATCTTATAAGCAAAGAAAATATCCTATTAATGAATACTCCAGAGTACTTCTTACCATGCTGCAATATAAAGTAATTAGGGAAGTTGGGTTCTTAAAGCCCTGAGTAGTTCGCAAAATAAATCCTACATGGGACTCGAACAACAGTTTAGAATCCGGAATAACCCCTAAATTTTCAACAATATCAACACGTTTCAATTGCATATTTATTGTTTAATTTTAAATTCACATTTGGATTTCTTGAAAGGCTCAGTTTAGAAAAAACTATATAGCCACACTTCTTAACATTTAAGTTGAGTCCGATACAGAATGGGATACTCAGAAAATCTGTTTTAAATTTGTTATGATTAAAGGCGAACTAACGACAGTAGAAATCTTAAAGTCATCAGTGTGCAATGAGAGTCCAGAAACAAATTCCTATATCATACAAATTGCAAGGGACCAAAGTGTGGAACGCCAGACGTAACATGCACAGAAACCAATCTTATGTTGTTCACAGCAACATCTTGCAATTAATTTTTTAAAGGCCCTAGAAGCCTGTCCTGCAGGCCGAAATTTCCAAGTTTAACAACGAACGTGAGGTGATAAATCTTTTTCAAAAGACCAAAACTTTTAATATCATTCTTTAAATTAAATGTGAAATTAATTTTTTTTAAGCGGGAATCAAAACATAGGAGTTAATTTTATTAGAATTGAAAAGTATTTAGGACTGATGTTCTGTATCTTGAAAACCAAAACTGTGGCATTTGTTACATCTAGATGAGAAAAATGACGCAGTATATTTTTCAAACGGTGTGATATGACAATGGCTATTGCGGGATTTAATGGTTTCAAAACTGTGAAGTATGCATTGTTCCAGTGCTTGTATCTCTCTACAAGCTGTTTCAATGGCAGTTCAATTTGTCATTGTTTGCTACTGAACGCCATATATTTTATTTTGAAGGTATCAGCACGTAAAGATATACAAAATACATGAAATTAGCGCATTATGAGCGGGAGCTCCTTCTTGTTGCTCCATCGTCTTCTTTTTCGATCGACGATTTTTTCATTAATTTCTAAATATTTATTTGCAGTAAGACTGATATTCCATACAATTATTTTTTTCCATTATAAAACGTGAAATATTAAAACCAAACAGGCCTTAATAATAAATTAATAATAAAATGTTTTTACCGAGATGAAATTTATATTACTTGAATTTTTTTTTTAATCGTTTAAACTCGTGATTTAATAATTTTGACATAATCTTCTGCTTTCCTGCAAGAACTACTTAATCAAAGTGTTCATAATTATTTCCAGCTGTTATTTTAAATTTTTTGAAAATTAAACACTATGATTCTGAACAAACAGATTTTTTTTTAAATGACCAAATACCGTTTAAAAAAACATTATAATTATGGAAACGGTGCCATAATTCGCAAAAACAAATATCCTCATGATTTTGAAAAGTTTGGATACTTTTTTCCTTATTCCAAAAGTGTCAGTTTAGTTTTCGATTTTTTTATTTAACTTCAAAAGTTTTAAAGTAAAGATAATACATCTAATACTAATTTTGTCTAAATATGGTCGGGGGCGTTACGTGCTGAATTATTTTTAGTGAATATCGTTACCAAAAAAATATATTTCGTGCCATCCCCTATGTAACTAAATCACGAATTTTATTCTATTGGATTTTCCAACAAAAATTAAATATATAGGTGATTTTTGAAATATTTCAGTTTTATCAACATTTACAAAAATATAAGTCTTATTTTATTTCATTATAATGTAAAAAAATAATTACGGTGGTTAATTTACATTTACTATTATATTTAAATTTGAAAAAAGATTTACATAAAATTTGCTTAGATCTTATTAACGCTTATTGCCTTAATAAACCAGCGCTCTTTAAAGAGATACAGGGTTTAATTCGCGAACTTGTGATTTCTTTATAGTTTTTGATATATCACTATGAAAACTTAGATTCGTGGGTTTTTGGAGATGTGGAATTAACTATTACGAGAGAAGATTTGTAAGTAAAAGAGATATACCACATTTATTTAGATTAAACACATTTTCGAATCAAAAACAATTAATTAGGAGCTGTGGATTCGAAATGAAGACATTCACATTGACATTAGCCTTGACATTCCTTCATCTAAATGAAAGATATGTTACTGTTATTTTCGAACGGAATAATTAAAAATAACTTCAAGTGGTTAATATGCTACAGGGCTAATGACCAATAACAAGTAATAAAAATATGCGTTATTCAAATATCACTCAATGAGAGTAACCCGTGTATTCCCATGTCAGAAACTTGCAAAAACTTGTGTCACATTTAATAAAAAAAAATATCGAAATAAATGCAGTACAGCTTTTTGACTTAAACATCAACACTAACAGCAATAATAATAATGGAATGGAATTTTTATGGTTTGAACTTATTTAGGTTTAAGTTTCTAAAACAATATTCGAAATTATTCTCATTAAGTTTATGGTATTTATATTTCTATGCGGAGATCTAAGACCAAAGTACGCTTTTACAATAGCATCACTCTATCATAATCTTGAGAAAAACCGATACTAGCAAAAAATGACCTGACATTAACGCCTTGTATCTCATTAATTAGCGTTACGTTATTTTCCCGAGCTTATACCGAGATTGCTTTTTGACGCATTCATTACGGACTCCCCTGTATAATAAACAAACATTTTGTTGCATTATAAATCTTATTTAACAAACCGATGACAAATCGATATACATATTGTTGTATGGATAAAATAAGAAGTTAATATATGGTGTATTGGATCTAGGGTTGCAAATTAAAACTCCAGCAACCATCTTCCAGAGAACTTCCAGCGTTCAATCCATTTCTGCCTCCCGCGGCGATTACGCAGATAATGCTGGTTGCAAATCCGGAAAATATTCCCGTTAATTTGAAGTTCGTTTTGACTTACGTCGCAGATGATGACAGTATTACCGAGATGGGTGAAGTTGATTTGCCCACCGACGAGAGCGATTAAATAGTACGATAAACGTTTGGTAGTGAAATTTATAGGACCACCTGCCAGCGTACCGCGGGTTGACGTTAAGGCTATATAGTTGTGTTATTATTTTACAGTTTTGTTTGTTTATTTGATCTCCTCTTCGTTTAATAAATAAAGGCATTGCAATGCATGGTCTCATAAATTTCGCTAATATTCTGCTATAAGTAATAATAGCTTGCATTTAAGGTATTTATTTGTGAATAAGAACATGTTCATTATTTATATACCAAAGAAACAGTTAACTAACCACTAAAGAATGACTAAAATATTTCATTAAGTAGGTAGCGTTTTTTTTTTCCTTAAGCGATTTATATAAATCATACAAAACAAGTCATACGTAAAAAGATTTACTAAATTATGTGATTCGAAAAATTTAATTGTTTAATTGTTAAATTTAAAACCTTACTGATATAGTTTGGACCAACTAAATTTTTATCGCATTGACGTTTCATGTGTTAAATGCAGCTAATATGCAACCACAAAATTTTCTAAATAGTAAATTATTCTATAATACTGCTACTAATCATGCTAATACTAAATACTTGTTTTTACTTACTGCATCTAACTAGAAGCCGAATCATATTTGCCTCTTTATTTAGGCATGTGACTGTTACCATTTTTTAAATTGATGTGTGTCGGAGTATTGAACATTTTTGAGGTTCGCCTTACTCCGTCTCTTGACACTCCAAGACTCTTTGTAGAAAATGAAAGCTGCGTCAGTCAAGATTAAAAGTTTATTTGGTCCAAACTATATATATATATTTATATATATAGAGATCAGACATCTATCGAACTCATTACTTATATTATACTGTTTTAATTAAAAATGATTTTAATGTTTTAAGTATAGTTTTGTTGAAAATAAATGTTTTTTTCCATCATATGATTCTCTATGGGACTTTAAACACGGAGTACTTCTGTTCGAGTTCGATAGATTGGTGATCATACTATCCCCATTCCAACTTGACAGCAGATATTTGTCCATCAACATGAATCAAATCACATTATTATCATTGCGAAGTCGGAGTATCTCAAACAATTCAAACGCTTTGTGTGATTGTACCTCGAATTGTACAAAATATGAAGTTATCGTTATGTGATATTTATTAAATGTGATTTTACTTTACAAATCTCTTAATTATTATGTTAATTTATTCACGAGTTTTCTGTTTTTTTATATTGTGAAATATATCGTTCCCTTTTACCATTAATTGTATGAATACTAAAGGAATAGTGTGTTGTTTCATTTTATTCCCCATGTGAACGACACACTCGGCTGTGCCTCCCAAGTCATATATCGAGATGTAAGTATATAATTTTAATTAATTGATAATATTAATTTCGAAAAAAAGACAAACAAAAAAACCCCCCCAAACAGGGCGATGAGGAGATTGCAGTATGAGTATAGCTAATCCAAATGCTAAAAGCACTACCAGAGAGAATAAATAAATATATTCTCCTGTCAACTTAAATATTATTCAAGTCTACGCTCCCACGGCAGACAAGTCTGAAGAAGTAATAGAGGAGTTCTATCACCACCAGCATTCCAAAAAGTTTCCTCAACAAGAACATAATAGTAACGGGTGATTTCAATGCAAAGATTGGTAGGCATAAGTATGGTGATATGGTTGGCCTGTTTGGATTGGGCATACAAATTGAACGAGGAGATTGATTGAATACTTTCGCAATGGAATAAGAAATGGTAGTGGCTAACACTTTCTTTGAGGTAAATCTCTGGAGAATATAGAAATACAAAAACATGTTGAAACATCAAAATAAATAAGAACTAAAAGTTCAGATTTTCACGAAATTATATATTATGACATGACAGTTGTTTCGACAACACCGTGTCTTTATCAAATGTTCACATTGGATTTTCATCAAGTAAAAGCCACCTCAGTTCAATGTTGAAACATATCTAGAAGTAGATATTAAGTCCGATCACATTCCTCTAATTGCTACTGTGAACGAAAAGAGGTTAATTCTACTAAACAATCCACGACTTACGACAACTAAGGAACGAACAAACAAAGTAAGAATCCCAAGAATATATAAACAGTAAAATTCCAAAGACCTTAAAAGACGGCAGGAAATGAACAACTCATATAGTAGAAAAAGGGTGAAAAGGAAGCAATGAACAGAGGAAATATTGAATATGGTGGAAAAAACAGTAATAAAGAATAAAGGCAAGATAAACTATTAACAGCAAAGTATTAGGCTATAAAACGTGCAAGCAGACAAGCAAAGGATCAGTGGTTCAGGTAGTTATGGGAGGGAATTGATTATCTACACAAGAAGGTGAAGCAGTGGTTGGACAGGCATAGAGAGAAACTCTTGGCTTGAAAATGTTAGGTTTGTCTTAATCACTACTGAACTGTTTCGTGCCGCAGCCAATAAAGTTAGAATAGATTATCTACACAAGAAGGTGAAGCAATGGTTGGACAGGCATAGAGAGAAACTCTTGGCTTGAAAATGTTAGGTTTGTCTTAATCACTACTGAACTGTTTCGTGCCGCAGCAAATAAAGTTAGAATAGCCGTACCAGTCGCCAGCATCTGTACCGGATAGGCACTATTAGATTTCCTGAAAATTTCTTTGTATTCTTGAAATCCAAAAATAGCAATGAAATGATATTTAGTAGTAAGATAAGATAGTCTTGCCGATTTTCCCCATTTCTATCAATTACGACCAATAGACCTGGGGAGTAAAAATTTCCGTATTTTTTTAATAGAAAAAAAAGCTCGCTTTTGTTGCTGTTGCAGTGTCAAAAACATATTTTAAATACTACCCTGTGTAACACGACAGGTTAAAAAATGTAAAATCTATAATATAAATTGGTGAATTATCTTGCCAAAGGCCTTGGTAAAATACAGCAAGACCAAACCCCGACACCATTGTCAAGCCCTCTCGCTATATCATTACATTAGATAGTGAATTATTAAAAAAATTCATCATTAAGTAAGAAAGCGCCATCTAGCAATTAAGTTTGAAGTACTACCGAATTCGGATTTGTCACATTTGAAAGCGCCATGCTATATTTGTTATTTATTGAACTGCTGGCGGCGACGATATTTGAGGACAGAGCAGAAAACGTTGTAGAGCCCCTTTTTATTTCAATGGACTCGAATGACTACAGTTCATCTGACTATTCGGTACATGATGGCTAAAATTTACAAATTAAATTCTATTGTAAATAGTTTTTTTTATAATAATATTTAACTCGATCTATTTCATATGATTCGTATTTCTCTATACGTATTTATTTACTCGATCTTAATATAATTAATATTTAAATTTTCTGCCCATCTTTATTTTTATAATCATCTATAATTGTTATTGTATTTATTGTTCTAATACACTACCTGTAGTAACACTGCAGTCACATTACTTTTATTTACAAACTCGCCTTTCTATGGTATACATATTGGTGCTTATATAACTTATCAGTTATCCACCCTGTCATTGCAAATTTACATTTCTTATTCAGAAACTGGGTATAGTATTTTGTATTTAATATCTTTGCTGGATTAAAAAAGTTAAGAGTTTCATTTCAACAACACCCTGTATATCCTCAACGACTACCGTTTGATACGACATTTATTCAACAAATATTTCCATTATAGTTTATAGTATCACTTATTGCCACCAGATTACAGTGGACGGTTTGTCAGAAAATATTTTTGGAGATTTACATTATGGTCAATTAAAACAATGCAGTCAATTACAACATTGCAGTCAACCGGAATAGGTCAAAGATTCGTCACATATATTAGCAAATAAACGATGGAATAATTTTCCAGCTTTGGCAGTTTTCGAAATATTTAAGCGTTCTGGTACTTTTTACGAACACTGATAACTTAAGTGTGCGTTGAGAAAAACATAGTTTTTTTCAAGTAAGTGTTTGTTACGTTTCTGATACATTTTTATATTTGAACGCTCCTGTATATTAAAGTAAAATATAATGTAATTAATTCTTTTATAGTTTTTATTTCACATATTTCCTAATATTATTTAAACCATCTATAAAAAAAACAGTATTTCTATTTATACAGGTTTTATACAGTGTATTGATTCCATTTTTTTTTCCGCTAACATATACCTAGAATAAATGATACTTTTTAGAATCATGTCATCAAAAAGGATTTGTGATATAAAAGCTTTATTCTGTCGGACATCCCGTATATCGAAAAAAATCATACGCGGTCTCGCAGCGTATCGCGAAACATTATCGAACACTGAGCAATAACTATAAACATGACAAAAAAATGGATTTGCATCATATGATATGCAGGATATGCACATGTCAGATAAATGTTTTCTTTCGCGGCCTTGGCTCAATTGGTATTTGCATAGGATTAAAATTTTATTAGCCGAGGTTTATTTCAGCTTTGTTTCGAAAAACATTGTAAACGAATTATTACGTTAAAAACAATTTCCACACGCCAAGAGAAAACATTGTGTAAATCCGACTCTGATAACCTTTTCGCCGGTCGCTCTGTAGAAGTTTTGGTTATGTCCAGGACTCGATGTACTTATTCGCGCTCGCTTAACGATATTCAGTTAGTCGAATATGCACGAAGACCACAGGAGATTCCTGCGCGGAAGATCTTCGCAGGTATTGGCTTCCATAACCGGTAAGTTTGCGCGTGGTGTTGGAGACGCACGGTAAGAAATCCGCCGTTTTTTTATCCCTTCCTGCGGTTTCAGCCGAGCCGATATGTGCAAAAGTGGGTTTTATTTTTAGATTTCAATAAGGAATTTTGCTGCCGAGTTGTTCGAAGGGAAGTTTGAAGTTTTCGATGTGTTTTACGCTAATCCTTATTGGATAATATAGTGGCCCTATTGCGACATTGATATTTCCGCACATGCCTATACATTTCACTCACTATCCTGCACTTTGCAAAAATGCCGAATCCAAACTTATTAACAATCTGTCAGCGGCCATGTTGGTTGTTGAATGCCGCAAGGTCATTGGTAGAAAACAACATTTTAAATCTGGCGTATGCGCATATGGACCTTCTCAAAATTTTTGTTCATGGTAGTTTCATAAGTTCCTGCATTATCGGCATAGATAGGGCCTGTACATTTCTAGTAGCTATACTGATTTACAAGTAGGCATGCATCAGATTTTGTGGAGGAGTGATATATTGCTTTTTTCCGGCGTTTTTTTTGTGTTTTCATCAATATAGTTTTTGCCCAAAGTTAATGTGTATTATTATACGGACCTAGTTTCCCGGATAAAACCGGGTTGGTTTTTTCGGATGCGTGACGCTACACGTGGTTTTAAAACCGCTGATCGGATTAATTTCAAATATATTTACTATCAAATCATTGTTGGACTTCGTTGTAGTGAATTGTCATAACTGAAACCTCAGCTTTGTTCGATAAGATACTCATAAAAAGAAAGGAATTTGTTTATATTATACACCATACTTATTCTACTCTACTACTAGAAACCTGTACAAAATTTTAAGTACAAAAGATGTACGGTTTTTATCTATTATCTTTTTGTAATTTTAGAATAGAACACATGGGTTGAAAATCTATCAAAATGCATTGTTTTAAATATATTTTTAAAATATAACACTCAGTATATTCAATCAATCATTTCTAAAGAAATTTAATTTCTTGATAAAAACCTCTTTTCTGCATGGTCATAACAATGTCGTCAATATCACAGCGAGCAGAGAAATTAGTTTTTAATTTTTATGTGCAAACCCGTTCGACGGACTAAAAAGAAGTTAAGACATCAAATCTGCTCATAAATGAATGCAAATGTCATTATTTTTTAAAGAAATCAGTGGGGTGGCACTGACTGTCTATGAACAAATAGTATTTTAGTTAATTAGGTCGTCACTGCACTCGTTAAATCGAGAACCTTTTTTGTGAAAAATAAAATATCTGTCTAAAAGATAATATCTAGTTTTTAGTAAGTGTCTTTTTACTTTTACAATTTTCGGATGAAACAACATAACAATCTGTCAACAAGATAAATAAGAAACGACTCTTATTTAAAAAAAAAAACACTACCTACTTTTAATAATTTTTAACAAAATCGCCTGTTAATAAATTAATAACAACCTTTTTGAAAGAAAGTAGAACATAGGAACTAGATAAATTGTTGAAAGTGTTCTCTATCTTGAAGCATGCACGGTTCAGTACTTTTCCTCATATTGCCGCGCACTCTTTGAAGTATACGATCCTTCAGTGTTAAAGGGGGTGCGGTAAACCAAACTTTTAAGAAAAGTTCAAACTATTTAAATTTGGGGACTTAAAGACAAAGTTCTTTAGAAATGATTGGTATGAATATTTTTTATTCTAAGAGAAATTAGTGGCATCCCATCAATGTTTGCCAAAATAGACAGCTGATATTCCGTACGCCCCCCACTGGTGTATTTTTATAAAATTGGGGTGCATTAAATAATGCTTCTTGATACATAGTATATGTGTGCCAAATTTCATTAAAATATATGAAGTGGTATAACACATATTAAAAAAATATATTTTATTTTTGAAAATTTTACCACTCTGTATCTCAAAAGTTAAGATGTTTAGGACATATGTTCATATGAAGTTTTCTTTTTAAAACGCACATTCGATTAAAAAAACCCTGTATTAGCTCGGGTCTTACTCGCTGTTGTATATCATATTTTTCCTCCTCTTTCAAACACTCTAAATCAGGTAACACAAGAAAAATGATATACAAGGATAGTAGACCGGTAAATTTTCTTTACAAACTTAGTTTCCCCAACTAATCTTAAAGGAGAAGCATACAATAATATGCAGAGCGTCAGATTTGAGAAAATGTTTTCAATTTTCTAAAATGGTATAATTGAATGGGCAAATGTGGAAACCTATTATAAGTGATAAAATTCTTAATATGAATATGAATTTTGGAATAACGATTCTTATGTTATCATACAGGCGAGTATCACAATCCAAAATTGGTTAAAAGGCGCATTGTTGAAAATGACATTACAATTAATATTACTGTTAAATTTTTTTGTAAAGCCCACCTACAAGTTATTATACGCTTGGAAAAAATGTTTGCACACATCTTTTTTAGGAACGCTCGTGGCATGTTCAGACGGAATGTCTTTTGGTTGGACATCGCCGATGGTCCCTTATCTGTTAGACGAAAACAACTCGCACATACACACTACGCATAAACAAGGAGAATGGCTGGAAACCATTTCGCTTATAGGGGCTTTCTGCGGGCTGCCTATTACCATCTACTGTGTAGATAAAATCGGGAGAAAAAAGTCTCTACTCTTAGCCGCCGTTGTAGTACTTTTAAACTGGATCACTATAGGTCTCGCCGACAGAATCGAATATGTTTTTGTAGCAAGGTACGAAATGCTAACCTTTGCTTAGCAGAACTGCAACAGCGTTTGTACAGGATGTCCCAGTAAGGGCGATGAGGCAAGGTTTTCTGAAATTTAAAACTCGGTTTCTACAAAAATTTCTAACGTTAACCATAGTCATCTTAAGGCTGAAAAAATTAAAGTATTTTGGTGGGTGTTCGAATATATTCTTAATCAAATCTCCAAAAAGACTTAACGTATTTTCATAAAAAATAAAATAAAAGTAGTTAATGCTCAAAAAAAAATTGCATTTTGGGAAAATTTTCCACTTTACTAATCAATTGTTCAAGACCAACTTCATTAATTATTAAATTATTTTGTAGTAAAATGTGTTTTAAAATTATCAGTATTTTTCTTTTTTCCTAGCACGGTTTCTTCTAGGCACTAGATTGCGACGAGACAATTTGTATGCAAAAAATATTTAACAAATTTGAATTGGTATAAACGGTAGACAACCAATCATGATAATTAGAAATGAATTATTTCTATCAAAAAAGATGTGATACTAATTTTGTAAATGGTTTTCCACAGTTTAATACTTAAATGCCTCAATAGAAGTCAATAAAATGATTTCGTCGCCAACTCAACCATTCAAACAACTCATTAGTGCCGAGGGAATTATTAAAACTAATTTTTAATTATAAAAATAAGTGGCAAAACTAAATCGGCTAAGTTCGTCAAAACGTAGTAATGTCTACTACGGGATAATTTGGTGCTCTTCAAAGGTATCGACCATTGATATGTTAAATATTATAATATATAAATATTAAATATATTATATTATTATGCCTCGTGGCAAAGCAAACAATTTGTAATTACGCTACTTATAGGGCCACCCACAGCCTTTATAAAGACTCCAAGTTTATTAAAATGCGTTAGGTCTTCTTGAAGAACATTTATTTTTAAAAAATATTGAAATTCACAAACGAACAACATAAATATATTTTTTTTGCAGAAACCGAGTTGTTAAAATGCAAGATAGCAATTACGCACGGCCCTTTCAGAAGCTCGAAAATAATTGCTAGCATTTTCTCTTGATCGATTAACTTTTTTTTTTTTTATTTCTAGGACCTTCCGTTTCCTTAACACCGTATCTCGTTGTTGTTACTAGGACACTCGGTGTATTTAATGTTTTTTTTCAAATATATCATGAGCCGTGATAATACAAAAAATTCGAAAAGCAGTTTGCCATGATAACTAACAATGCTTGTTTTAGTATGATATGTCACTGTTCAAGTCATAGGTTACTGTTCAAAAAACATCATATTCGCAAAAATTTAAATTGTAGCGTTGTTTTTCGAATTATTTTTACACATCTATACATTTTTGAAAATTTGGAAACAAATAATGAATAAGAAGTGATATATGTTCCATTAAAAAAGAAAGTTACATAACGAACACTCTAGCTAAGCTGCAGTTTTAAAAACACTAGGCGTAGAAATAAAGCTATGGTTAATTTGTTGAAAACTGACCAGGCGACGTGGTAAAGCGTTATTTCCACATGGCCTCTGTGCATTTCTTTTTCACACAAAATCCATAAATGCTTTTTTCTCACGCTTGAAGTAGTTTTAAAGATTTTTGTAAAAATCCTAACAAGCAGTGTGTCTAGTAAGCTTAAACTTAGTATAACCTCTATCTCTTATAAGCATATTTTCTCTAATCAGATTGATGAGCCACGGGACTGGAGGTTTTATAACATGAATGGTTTCTAAAGGCGCACAAATATCAAAAACTAGGTTCAAATTACTATTATAAAAGTTGACCATTTCATTAATTTCATTTATTTTAAAAACTTTAGCCCAATCAATATCTGGAAAAAATGAACTCAAACCGACCTACATTTAGTTCAGAAATATATCTGAAAGCATGTATTTGTAAGTGATTCTTCATTGGCTCCTTTTAGTTCTCGGACCCCAAAGCTATCGTTACTTTTACAGATTTGTGCTTCTATTTTTTTAGTTTGGCAAATTTGTAGATTTTGTATACAATCATTTCATTTTGTTGTTGCTCTGGTGTCAAGTCTTTAGTTATGCTAATTCCAGTTCCTTTTAGTTTACTGTTATTAATATTTTAAAACTTTGTGCTTCACAGAGTATCTAACAAATTTGACTATAATGGGTCATTAATTTTTCCTTGTTTTTTTCCCAACTCTATACAAATTGTTTATATTATTATAATTTTATTTTAAATTTTATTATAAATATTATAATTCCCTGTTTCCGAATCAGTTCTATTATTATCTTTTGTAATTGTTCCCTTTTCTCTTCTAATACTGCAAAACCCAGGGCCTATTTTATTTTTCCTGAATCCCCTTTTTTTCAATAGTAGGTTCTCATTGGTAGGTTCAAGTACTGAATTCTCCGGTCGTTTATTTCTAGATTTTTTTTATAGATTGGACGTTCAATTTTATGTTGTTTAAATTCTTGCAAACTGTTTTATATTTGTTTATTTATTTTATTTATTACAGTACAAAGTTGAAAAAGTAGGAAAAGTAGGAAGATAGGTTTACAAATAAATCGAAATTTTAGCACTCATCAGTACAAAGCGAACATGATGCAAAGTGATATAATAATATAAAGACTATTACAAGTTTACATTTTATTTATTGTGTTCGATGTCGTATTATGTCCTAGAAAATATTTTTTCACCCTGCATTTAAAACCAAGTAATAAAAATATCGACATCAAGAAAGCAGTTATGTTGGTTCGGTAGTGGTCGACATCAAATAGAGTCCTGTCTCTTGCGTTCTGCCTTGGTGTTCGTAGGTTAATCTAAGAGCTAAGGAAAGTCAACTTGATCGTTTAAAAATGCGTTCTTTTGTTTTGGAGAGTTAGAATGTTAAATTTTGATCTAATGTGGTTGTAGTTGTGGTTTTCAACGTTAGTGTTAGTTTTATATGCAAGATATTTTAAAAATATGTTTTGTACTCGTTCCAAACGCGTGATGCGAATGTTGTAAATAGGATTCCAAATGACTGAAGCGAACGAAACTTTACTATGAACAAACGCATAGTACAGTGCAAGAAGAGATTTGGGGTTTTTGAAATCTATTGAGTTTCTTTTTATGAAACCGGTCGTTTTATTCGAGTCTCAAAAAGTTCACTTTTCGTCCAGCGTTACAGCTAGATATCCACCATTCGCTCTAAGTTGGCGTTATTAATATTGTATATTGAGTTTATTTTTTTTACATTTTGTTGTGTGCTAAAACATTTGGCTGGATTCAGGAAAAGATGATTACTTTGACAGTATTGTTCCAAGCGCAGAAAGTCTTCTTGGAGATTTAGACAGTCATAGTGTATATTTTCAAGTTGTAAGTAAGTTTTAAATTTAAGTTTTTATACCGGGAAAAATACTGTCATACATGAGTTTCTTTAAGATTTTGCCAAAGGTACACAACCTGCTTATAGGCCTGTAGTTCTTAACATCCTCTATATCACCGCTTTTAAAAATTGTAGTAATTTCACTTACGTTCCAAAGTCCCTGGAATGTGCCAGACGCAAGTGACTTGTTAAATATAATATCAAGCGGTAAAAACCGGTGGAATGCCATCCGGTCCTGGACATTTGTCTACATTTAAGTTTTGACATACTTGATGATTTTATGATTATGATTTTATTACACGAAAACTCGTTTTTTTTTCCTTTTATTATCGTTTAATTTCAACACACTTTTAAAAGAATGTGCAAACGCGTCGGTAACCTTTTTGCCGCCCTTTGCAAGTTTGATTGTGCTTTACTGTGTAGGGAATTGAGACATTGTTTTTTCTTTTACTTCCAATAATTTTTTTTTTAGTTTTCGAGAATGTTGGTCTGTATGCTTGCAATATATTTACTATAGTCGTTTCTGATCATTTGTTTTGATACGTAGCTTGGTCGCGATATATTTTATAATTTTAATGAATTTTTTTATTTTCTTCTATTACTGATATTGTTTTAAAACTAAAATAGAAACGAAAATTAGACTTAATCTCGCGAAATAGTACATTTTGTTCAACGATTCTGTCTATTATATTGTAAAATTGATTTATCCACGTAATCACCTGTCAGAGTTCGATTCCAGTCTATTTCTGATAGGTAGGTATTTATATCGTCAAAATTAACTTTATTAAAATTACATATTCTTTTATTTGGGGGATTAAGAAGCTTAACGCAAAACACAGACCAGAGGAATTCTATATCTTTGTGGTTGGCATTTTCGGCAACCACAAACCGACTCGTGTAAAGTTGTTACAGTATCTCTGTTGTAGCGAATTAAATCCAATATCCTGTTAATATTATTCGATTCGTTGGGAGTTCGCTTGTTAACACAATGTTGTTTAACCAAGTTTCAGTGAAGCAGATTACGTTATAATTATTTTGTAGTGTATTTTGGTAGAAGCTATTGGTTTTCGTCCTGAGATCTTGTGTGTTTTGGTAATATACGTGCCATGATGGTATCAGTAAGTTATCTTAAAGCGTTAACTTACAGCCTTTCCAGAACATTGGTATCCGTGACGTGTTCGTTAGTTATAAGTCATTTTTATGCTGCAGCATGTATCCAGGCCGCTGTGTATTATAGTAGACCCTCTTTTTTGCAACAGCTTTATCGTTCACAGATAAACAGCGATAATATGCAGTTGATATCGTTGATTTATGATGAAAATAAATGACGAGACTCACTATTTAATTAGCAGTCAATAATACAATGTATATAAAGTTGTTTATAATTACTACCTAGCAATTAACTGTCACTCTTTACCACTAAATTTTGAGTTGAAGCGGAACGAAAACAAAACATAATTTATTACAAGTCGGGCCTATATAGTTGCGATAGGCGTTATGTCTGATGGCAGCTTCAGAATGCTATGGTTCAGTATCGTTTCAAGCAATTTTGTGCCCTCCATAACACACGTCTGCCTAGGGCCTCCTGATATAGTCTGTAGGACGCGATGGACGTTGAAATAAATCCTTCTGCAATCACTATACACGCCTATCTCTGTAGTCTGTCGATTTTGGCCTCGGCCAATTTTTGTTGACCCTTGTGCCTCCAAGCTATAGATCCATAGACAATCATCACCATTCTATAAATGCTTGAACCCACGTTCCACACCTAGTGTTTTAAATAACATCTAGCAATTGTAGAGTGTTATCTATAATTATTTAATAATAATATGTATTGTATAATAAATTATTATGCGTTAATGATGTCCAATTTACCTATATTACCTATAAATATCCGAATACCGGACTTAGGGATTCATGGATCCCAATAATAATATAGATTCGATTTCGTAACGTAATGTACAATATAAATAAATAAATATAAATTTTAAAATTGACCGATCAATAGAAACTTGCCTCGGCTGAGAAACGTACCATTACATCCACTATCGCACCATTACTACTAAAATGATAGTTAAACTAAAAATTATAAGTTTAACTAAAAAATAACATTTGTTATTTATACATTCTATATCTTGCGCAATTTTCTGTTAAAATAATTTTAAAATTAATATCATTCTTATAAAATTAATATCATAAAATTTTGGTCCTTTCGTGCTAAAAATTTTAAATTTGAATAAAGAAAGAAAAAAAACCTGTTTGATACAGTTTCTTCAAATTTACCCTTAACTATGACGGCCTCTGCGTGTGCTTTCAGAGCCAGTTGCGTTCACCCTTGCTAGTCTAAATCTAGCGACTTCCTCCCTTATGGATGTTGTGATGGTTCTGGTTTTCAACCTTCTGCTTATTCATTTCCAGATAATGGGGTATATCCCTCTGGTAATGGCATTTAATATCTTAATAAATATACTTCATATGCGAAATATGGCGCAAATTCTAGATTTTCAAATACACTAAATTAATTCTGAATCCTTATTTACGTTAAATTGCAGATTCTTTTCCGGCATGGCCGGGGACATGTCTTTCGTAGCGGCACCCATGTACATTGCGGAAATAGCAGACTCAAAAATTCGCGGTCTCCTTTCTTCAATCATATATCTCATGATGCTGGCAGGTTTGTTGCTGGTCTACACTTTGGGTCCATTCGCGCCCTTCTATGCGATACCCATCGCCGGAGTAGTTGTCTCGGCGATCCAACTGTTGGTCTTTACTTTCATGCCGGAAAGTCCGTATTATTTACTATACAAGGGAAGAGATGCTGAAGCGAAGGAATCGCTGGCGAGGTTACGATCACCTCGGTCCGACATAGATAGAGAGATTAAAGATATTTCTCAAGCGATCGAGAGGCAGAAAATGGAAAAAGGACGGCCACAAGATTTGATTCTGGTACCCAGCAACAGGAAGGCGATTACGATCATGACCGTTTTAAATGCCGGTGAGAAAATGCTCGGTTAGAAGTTTATATCTTAAAGGCTATTTCACAAAGGTGTAGAGTAATAAAATGGGACATTCCCTCGAGTCACATATCTGTTGTTTAAATTCTGTTATAATATTTATTATATATATTTTCAAATATGACAATCGACTTTCATATCGTATTGCAATTATTTCCACAAAATAGACGCTCGAAAATTATTGTAAAATATAGAAACGGCGAGGTTGATAATCGCTATAATTAGCTGTTTTCCTTTAAAAAATATTCGGGTTTTTGCCCTGCTGATATGTCCGCCATTATCAGTAAAGGATTATTTCCCCTATATATTGACAGAATAATTAAAATATGTTTATGGTAACGCTCCGGTATTTGCTGTAGTGTTCACAGAATTAATAGATTAGAAAATAAATTGCTAAATTCACATTAACATAAAGATGATCCAATAATTCTTTATTATCAGTAAATGGAAATGTTATGTGCCCCAATTCTGGATAATTTTCCTACATTATTTATTTATTATTTCAATATTCTATAGTACCTATAGTAGCAGTAGAGGAGAACGAATCTTGACTACTTGATCGATCAAAGAGGAGATGACAGTTCCTCAGATAAAGAACAAGACTCTTATAATTTAATATTTCGCTGGACGCATTTGGCAAACCATTTTCAGTACCGGTGAATTGATAATAATGTAAGCAAAACTTCGGTGGTACTATCTGGACTCGATAAAATGAATGAATTTTGCAAAAGACCTTAAATATTCGTTGGTTCACTGTAGTCCCTTTGTATATTTAATGATGTTTTACCACTCTACATATTTTTGAGAGATTATAAAATAAACGTCAATTCGCAATTAAATTTTCAGCTTCAAGACACTAGTGATTGCGCAAACGAATTTAAAGACAGTCACTTTCCTTTTGCTCTATTTCAAGTTTAATATTTTTGCAGGTCAACACATGTCGTGCCTGAGCGTGATGTACATGAACCTACATCCAATACTGAACAAAGCTGGGTCGGTTTACTTGGACAACAATCTAACCGCCATAGTATTTGCCGTTATCATGTTCGGAGCATCACTCTGCGCAAGCTTCACTATCGACAGGTTCGGTCGGAAGGCAATATTGATCGCGTCCACCCTCTTGACGATGTTCTGCCTGCTATCTCTAGCAGTCTATTTTCACTTGCAATACTTGGGAGTCGACGTAGCTTTCATCAGCTGGATACCCATTGTATCCGTTTTGGTATACGCGGGAGTATTCAAATATGGGTTGGGCTTGGTACCAATCGTACTAACAGCCGAGATCTTTCCGGCTCCGATGAAAGCGATAGGCATGACCGTCGCCGACGTAATGTTCGTCCTCGGCGGTATTATATCGCTGCAGATATATCAGTTGCTGTCGAAATACGGTATGCATATCCCCTTTTACGTTTTCACCGCTAGCGCCTTTCTCGTGCTGTTGTACTCGTGCTGCTGTATTCCCGAGACAAAAGGCAAGACTTTGGACGAGATTCAGTCGATGCTGAAGAACGAGAAGGTCAAAGGAAAAGTCGAAGGACATGCGATGCGCGACATCAACCACCCCTGAGGCACGAAGGTTGTTTAGGTGATCCGGGTACGAAATACCCCGTCCGGCTCCTGAAAGGTTCGTTTGGAGTTTTCTCGAATGAGAAATGCACCTTGAGAAATAAAGCGTTATGAAAATTATCAGCTGCTTATTTGCGATATTCTTTTATTTATCTATATAGGAGTTTGGTAATATCTGTGTGAGATCTTAATTCTATTTGTGAGGATTTTCCTCAATCCTGTTTATAATGACAATTTTCCATAGGCTTTCCTTGCGATCGACTAAACGAGCCACTTTTTGCTAGATTTCTATGTATGTTAGAAAATATTCTCCAATGTGGTTGTCGTCTTTGTAGAAGTCGTGTTCCTTTTGCCGTATAGCGGCACGCGTCTTACGTTGCAATGACCTTAAATAAAATGAATATCGGCTAATTTTCTGTTAAAAAAATGCTCCATACTTAAAAAAAAACTTTAGAGACAATGTAAACCAAGAACATCTTAACAGTCAGACTGAAGAAAAAAGTCTGGAAGTAAACCTACAAAAAGTTATTGCGGTTTTTGTTATCTTTACCCCTCAAAAATTACGCCTCTGATACAAAATGACTAAAACGCTAAAATTTCAAAAGTTTATTTCTACACAAATTTCTTTCTAGTAAGCATCGATTTTGACCAAGGTTTACATGATTTACTACTTCAAAAGAGTGAGCAACTCTGGCCATCCAGCCTTTCGATTTTGCAGCCCGTGGCTTTATAGAAAAGCTTGTGTACTCTTGCTAGGTCTCTACAAAATAAAGATGAATTATTGAATTGTGTTGACGATGCCTTTACTACTTTAAAGACATACAGCATCACCAGAGTATATTGCGTGTTTGAACAATGTTGTCATATAAAGAGAATTATTAGACCTTCATATTGTAAACTGCGTTTATGCGAATCACTGACTTGTTCTTGGCACCTAACCCAAGCGAGAGAAAGAGCTAAATTATGTAAAATCACCTTGCGGGTTGCTCTTGAAACTGCTATACAATGTGAAAAAAGAAAAGAATAAATTAAATTAAAAAATATCCAAATAATTTTTGCTTAATATTCCGCTTTGTGAAAACATTAAAGCGTACAAAGCTTTATACGGAATTTTAAAAGCAGGGACGTCGCTTCTAATTTTTATTTTTTCGTATAAATAAATTCACAATTTATTAATAGAAATTTTGAAAAACTGTCACGCAGAATCTTAGATATTAACCCATCGTCACAAAATTTGTGTGGCATCAGCACTAGAGATTCACACAGCCCTGGTTTTATTTAGTGGTCCAAATCTATAATTTATCCTATAAATATAATTAATTGACATAGGCTTTTTAGAGGAATTTTGAAATAGGATTGGAAAATCTGGGATCACTAAACTTTTTATTCCCTTAATGAAATCGATGATTTATATGATTTTTTTCCCGTGTTATTGAATCAGCTTTTATGCGATTTTTTTTGTTGACTTGTGTGAAAATGCTGCTTTTGAAAGCGCTTTTATCTATTATATCATAAGTCACATCGTTGTGCTAGTTATACAGGTTGTTCAAGAAATATTCTTGATATGGACGCTCTGAATTAAGGTATTTTATTTATGATATTGAATATTTAAATATTTGGACTTAATAATTTTTTTTTCTCTGTAAACATCGCAAGCAAATTCAGCCACATATCGGTATACAATGGGTTGTAAACACACCCTCTGGTTTTTATATATCCTTAATTTCGTGTACGCGCGTTTCTACAAGAAAATTATTTTAAATTATACTTGTTTTCTTATAAATGTGAGTTTTGTATCGTACCGATAAACTGATGTTATTTGGTGTTTTAATAACCAAAAAGTAGAAAATTCTTAAGATTTTCTCCACTGGCAATGCAAAAATTGTTTATCAGTAACATAGAGCAGGTTATTATTTGACTTGCTTGCAGAAACCGACTTACCGTAATTTTATTATGAATTTAGGAGTAAAGTATTTCACTGATGTGTAGATTGGTTCTTTAAAACAAAAAAAAAACTATTAAATCTAATCTATTCATCGAAAATCGTCAAGATTTGCTGTTTATTAAGACAAACAAGTTGTTAGTGGAACCATCTTTTATGCCCAAAATTTGTACCACTGCTAGGTGCTGTCAATTAGATAAATTAAATTTGTTAAGAAAAACCTATAGAATAACCTCTAATGTATCTACAGGCCCTTTGATTTCACTTCACACCTTCAACTTCCAAGAAAAAGTGCCTTGCTGATTGACTCGATTTTCAAGTTGAATGAAATGAAGACCGTGACACTGAACCTGGAGAATCCGATTTGAGAAAATGGACAAAGATTACTGTGATATTTGTTGTTTACATAACATAATTATTACATTTCAATATCTGTAAGGCGAAATAGATAAATTTTGTATTTTAATGCGAGAAAGTAATAAAATGTAAATTTCAATGCAAGGGATCCTTAAATAAATTCCGTACTTTAGTTTTTCTCGCACCTCAACTAGGTTGGTGAGTGAAGATAATGGGTCAGCAGCCTTACTAAAGGTTGTTTATTAGATAATAAACATGATAATAATAATCATGATCATAATTATAGCGGTGGACGAGACATCAATTATTCTAAGATTAAGTAAATAAAAACATATATAGCAGTAAGGATAATACGAAAATAGGTAAATTGTAGTAAATATTATTAGTTGAAAAAATCAACCATCAACTAAATTTTAGTCAGCATTTTTCGAGAGGTCAGATGAAACATAGTCGTTGGAAGCCAGGGAAATAATCAGGCACTCCAAAGTGTTTTTTATAGTTTTATCAGTTTCCCACTATCCCTTTTCAATGTCGCTGAAGCAATTTTGTAGACAACAAAGTTGGTACAAAGAGGGTTATTAAAATATACAATCGCCAGTACCTTCTTTCTCATTCCACGTACCTTTCTGGAATGGCTTCTTATTTTAAATAAGCCAATGAATGATGTATTTTTTCCCAAGAACACATGTGTATTTTTTGTTGATTTACCAACGGTATATCCTACATTTACTCAAGTTTCGTCCAGATACTAGATATTTTCCCTAACTGCTCTCAAATATCGACGGCCAATAGATAATTTGATCGTTCTCTATTAAAAGTGATTTTCAATTTTGGTTCTTTTCGTAACGAAAAGTCATTGCCTTTCAAAGTTTTCCGTATTTTCTACTTACCTAGATGAAATGAAGTCATCATTTTTCATTTTAGACATTTTCTCCAAAGAAGGTATTTCTTTTTTTAAATAAAGCGAATGTATTATTCTTCTGGTGGCAGTTTTTTCATTATCATTTATTATTTACTGTACTTCTCTTTGCTAACCTGATGGGGGAGCGTTTATCCTCGTGCATAATGCTGACTTATGGCTGTCCAACTCCAGTCACATTGTTCCACTATTTTTGCAACTCCGTACGTTGACTTTAGGTTTCGAAGAGCCGTGACCACATTGAGAATAATATTTTTTTTCATTTTTAGAAAGCGAAGTCTAATTAATCAGTTCATCCGCAACGAATTCAGAAACATTAGCCATTTTTAAGAACGAACATTTCCAACAACTGCTGAAAAGTAACTATAATTGTAATTTTAAGGCACGTTGAATACGATTAGGATTAAGTTTTACATTTCAATAACGATGCATAAGTCTGTAGCATTAAGGAACAAAACAAAGAACAAATGCAGAAATTATTATATCCCCTTGAGTTTAGCAAACTCTACGACCTATATAATTTATTATACGATTTAATGATATAACCAAACTCATTCATCCTGATAACGTAACATTTCCGTATCCCACTCAATCTGATTTCCTTCGTTTAGTTTTTCCTCTATATACTTCAGTTTCTGTATCTCGTCCTTCACTTTCGACGTCTGCTCCTTGTGCCAACACTTTAATATGTCGATCGCCCTCTCCTTCGACACGGAATCGAGCATTTCCAAATGCTCCGCGTCAGCAGCCATTTTCAGTTTCTCCAACTCTTCCTCGATCGACCGCGTCGACGACACGCGTACCGCCATTTTCGCACCCAATTTCGAGGCTAGATCCGCGTAGTTCTTCGAAAACGCGAACTTTTTGACGACCGTCGTACGGGGCACGACGCGAATCTTCTCGATTTTGTTCATTTTCGACAGTTCGGAACACAACATCGCGTATTCATCAATCAACTTGGACTCTATTTTTTCGACACACAGTTCCACGTCCTTCGGCCTGTCGCCGTTCTTCGAGAAAATCGATTTTAGGAAAGCTAAAGCCCATTGAAGCTGGGCCGCTCCTAAAGGACAATCGTATTCCTGTTCGGAAAAAAGCATCCACACGACTGCTATCGTGTGGTCCAGCCATAAATGGAACGGGATGTTTCTGGCACTGATGGTGTCGACGCGTGAGGATTTGGGACCTGGGGGTAACCTGAAAGTGTACGGCATCGGCATGTATTTGGCCGGTTTGTCCGAAATTATAGGCAGCGAAGTGAAACATTTTTGCCAACGCTCGCAGCCGTCGAAAAATGATTTCCCCGACCTCACGTGAACTTTGTTGATTGCGAACGCGGTGCCTTTTTCTTCTACAGCGCGCTTTTCCGTTTGCTGTTCGTCGGTGTCCATGGCCGTTTGTCCACGAAGAATTTCTCTCAACGCAAACATACGTTTGTTTACATTGTCTAGTGTCAACCACGCGTCATTTAAGTATATTCATAATTTTTGACAGCTTGACATCACGTTCACAAATTTTAATAAACTGCTACAACGATTTTCTACAGTTGAGATCAACTGAATTTTGAGTACCTTGACGGAAAATAAGAAAATAACTTTAGTGACAGGATAATTAACGGTGATAGTGTGATGTGATCTCTAGAAGGTAGATTAAGTAGCTCTAGCAGCTCCCTATCACCTATAACAAATTCAGATGCTAAAAAACACAACCAAAGCCTCGGATCCGGATGGAAAAAGCAAAGACGACCTAAAGAAAAAGGAAAATTATCTATGGTACATAGAATATTCAGGCACCAATTGAAAAATAAATGAAGTAATCTCAGAAATCACAGAGGCGAAGAATAAAGGACAAGGATCGGAAAGAATAGCGAAGTAACGAAAGATCGGAGAGCACAAGGAAGTAAACGAATTATTAATCCTTAAGGATATAATATAGAATATTTATATTTTACAACGACGCACAGTGCTTTTTAGGTAGATATATACAAAATGGGACAAAAATCATAACATCGTTTAAGTGCAGAAAACCCAATATTATTGAATAAATTTTAGTTGCGTTGACCTAGGAGCGCATATGTTTATATAAAATTTACAAACTAGTATACAGGGTGTGTTCTTAAATCTTAGAAAAAAATCAAAATCGACGGCATATTATAGATAATGTAGCTGATGGGACACTGATTAACCAGGTATAGTATAGCGCAAAATATTGCGATTTAGCTACACATACCTTAGTATCAAAACCGATAATAAGAAGAATACATTACAAAATAAATAAGAACTAAAGGTTCAGATTTTCACGAAATTATATATTTTAACATGACAATTGTTTCGACAACACCGACACCGTGTCTTTAACAAATGTAATAGTTACAAACTACATGCTACTATATATACCGAAACATGACCATAACACCTTAATTAATGTTGTTGTGAGAGTTTAAGTTCAATAAAGGAGAGGTATTTAAATCTCATTGATCGTTAAGCAATACATTTGAATGTCTCATTTTGTTAATCACCATGGATTACAGTAAATTTAATTTTCTACTTTTTGTGGCTGTAAGTAAAATATCAAAAGTGTCGTTAAAAATGTTTTTTTCTGTGTTTAAGTGTGTAGCATAATTAGAATCTAGACTATTGTTTTTAAACGCTCTTTTATGTTCGTTAATGCGTTTCTTGAAGGATCTACCTGCTGGTCCAATATAAATTTTAGGACAAGATCCACATTTCAACCTGTAGACACCTGGTTTTTCGGCTTTTGGACATTTCGTTTTATCGTTTTTTAAATATTTTCCTATTGTGTTGTTAGTTCTGAAAGCTATTTTTAAACCACATTTTGACAAATGTTTTGAAACTTTTATTTGTGTTCTGTTTAGGTTTCGGATAAATAGAGTTTACTGTTGTCTGTATTTGTTTTTTATTTATAATTTTATCTATAATGGACGGATTGTAGCCGTTGTGGCATTTTACTCTTTTTTACACAGACTTCTTAATACGCCACTCTCAACAGAAAATTACAACAAAGAACTTAATATCATTAAACAAATTGCACTGAACAACGGCTACAATCTGTCCATTATAGATAAAATTATAAAGAAAAAACAATTGCAGACAACAGTAAACTCTATTTATCCGAAACCTAATATAAAACACGAACAATTTAAAACAATTACATACGTAGGAGAACCTAGTGAAAAAGTTTCAAAACATTTGTCAAATATTTAAAAAACAATAAAACGAAATGTCCAAAATCCGAAAAATCAGGTGTCTACAGGTTGAAATGTCCTAAACTTTATATTGGACAAACAGGTAGATCCTTTAAGAAACGCATTAACGAACATAAAAGAGCGATTAAAAACAATAGTCTAGATTCTAATTATGCTACATACTTAAACACAGAAAAACACATTTGTATGTGTGTATGGGTGTTGTATGTATGACGACAATTGGAAGCCATTGAGATTAACAAAATGAGACATTCAAATGTATTGCTTAACGATCAATGAGATTTAAATACCTCTCCTTTATTGAACTCTCACAAAAACATTAATTAAGGTTTTATGGTCATCTTTCGGGATATATAGTAGCAGGTAGTTTGTAAATATCACATTGGATAAAGACACGGTGTTGTCAAAACAATTGTCATGTCAAAGTATATAATTTCGTGAAAATCTAAACTTTTAGTTCTTATTTATTTTGATAAATGGATTTTCATCAAGTAAAAGCCACCTCAGATCAAGATACATTGCGTCAAAGTTAAAATTTTAATCACAATTAATTTTAATTATTTTTTACAATTTTAATTGTAATAGATTTTAATTTAATTAACTAACAAATTCTACTATTTACGAAACTTTTGGATTCCTCTTGCATCGGTTGTTGTTGAATCGAACTTGCTGACGTTTCGTCAATTATGCTGTTGTCTTCTTCGGAGCTTAACTGAAACAATTTCAGTCTGAACAAGCTAACAGGATGATTGGCGAAATGTCAGCAAGTTCGATTCAACAACAACCGACGCAGGAGGAACCCAGAAGTTTTGTAGATATGGAAATTTCTTTGAAAAATTAACACATTCAAAATTGAAAATATTTTGAATCGGAAAATTCTTCAGCGAAATTTAATCATTCTTAATCTTAATTTACACTGTACTTGGTTGAAGGTTTCACCACTTTATATAATTTTCAACTTCACCATCTTCATTCAATCCTTCTGTTGTTTTTTTTTCTTAATATATGATATATATCAGAGGTTTAGAAGTCAATAACAATATATTCATAAGATATTTGTTCGTATCTACCCTTGTGCATTTACGGGTGTTAGATAATCTATTTTTGCTCAACTCCTTATGTCAATGACAATTGACAATTGTCCAATTGGCAGAGAACAAGCACCTTATGGACACTACTAGGCATGTAGTACCATTCGTATAGCTCTTTTGTTAAAAATTTCTTAAATTGTTCTACATCTAGTGGCACCGTTTGACTACACTGTTAATATGATGGGAAAGTTCACAATAAGATTCTTTTCAATTCCTGTAACCTCTGAGCTGAGATCAGGATTAGAAAAGAATCTTGATGTATGTATGTATGATGGACAAACCGAAGCAATAGTTTTCGGGATTAGACACTCTATTCAACACGTTTTTTGAGTTCATCTCCTTAGGAGTAGCACCACAAATCACGCATTGCCATCGCACTGCCCTCCGTCATTGTAAATAACAATATTGTTGGACAATTTCCGTTGTAATATGACTACTTTGCAGATAGGTTATTTTCTCATTTATTGACTTTTCCTCTTCGCGCACGAGCTGTACATTTTCTTTTTGAAACTTAAATTTAATAGGCCTAGAGTAAAATATCGACGATAGCCTTGTATTGACCTACGCGTCTGTTACGGTGTCTAGATTTACTAATATTAAAAGCAGTAATGCTATCAAGGACTAGATCAGTGCTAGAAATATCTGTGATTTTACATATCAGTTTGAATCGGCTGTCGTTATTTTCAAAATGAGAAAGATTTTGCAGTTGGTTGCAGAAGTTCTTATAGGCTCACTTCAGCTGAGGTTTGAGTAATTGTAACTGATGAAGATTGGAGAGCAGCTTTGGTTTGCTTCAACTTATATAAGCTTAGAAAGCAGTCCGGATGGACCGCATTTACCACAGACCTTAACACTTTGTATTTGTTTTCAAACAGATCTAGATCTAGGTACAGAGCAAGAGCTTGATGAGGAGTTAGTGAGTGATTTGCAATTCAACTTCCGCAATTGACAATAATCAAGTGAAATATTAATCACTGTCGAAACGATAAAGTGACGGGTAATCGCGAGAGTGTGGAAATTGGTCGTCATGGTAAAATAATCATTTACCTTATCAATGCCCACTTTGATTTTGAACTTGTCAAAACTTGTTTTTTTTGGGTTAGGCTCGGTGCACTGTGCGACGGCACCCTAGTGAATTCAAAGGGCAAATTCCTTGAACTACGAGATAAAGGTGGGAAATACTACTACTACACACAAAATTATAATGGAACTACTAACAACGCTGTGTGAACAAAATGATATCAATATAATGAATGGGTTCTATCAACACCGGGACGAACCTAAATATACGTGGGTACAGCCTACATGAAACTGAAAATTAAGTTTAGATATGGAGGGCACTTCTTTCTAATGACGGTGTAATAACAAGTAACCATGTGTAACTTAAACTTCTTATGCATATTACTCCATCCTGTGAGTAATTGGAAATATGGTGATGACCTCGCATCCAATAAATAAACTTTAGGCATGAGTATTGAAGGTTTTATATACGTCTATTACCCATGACAAGCGCTAAACACTGCGTAGCAGTGATTTAACTGAGATAAAGCCAAGCAGTTACAGATTAGTGTTTTTATTTTCCGTGATAAGCAATGTCTGTGGGACTCTAGTCTATTATGCCACAATTTTGGTTAACCGCATTTGAGTCACGAGTGTTTAATAAACGAGTGACTTAAAAAGTTTACCAAATGTGAAAAATTGAAACCGTGCGGTAAAATCCCGGAAATGTACGAAGTGTTAGTTTTTGGGTGCATTTTCGCAAAACAAGAATACATTTACTGACATGACCGTCAGAATTGACAAACGTCAAAATTCAAGGCGTGGGAAATATCTCCGAAAACACTAGATTGCTCCCAAAGCCGTGAATTTCCTCAGCGAGATATTTAAGTTACCGTAAAGGGTCCGTTTTCCTCAAATAAACTCCTTATCGAAAGAAGTCCCGGACCGCCTTGGAGGTACAGGATGACGGGGTCGTTGGTGACGTTTTTCTTGGATGGGAAGAACCAGAAGAATGATATCCCGGAAATGTCCGAAGTGACTCGGATCAGTGGAAAACGAAACTGACGTGATAAAGTGACGTTTCCCGCATGCTAGATTTGTGTGTAATTAGGTATTTTACAAACGGGAGTACAAAAAGAAATTTTAATGCACCATGGACAATGCCAAGTCATTAACTTTTATTAAAAATCTTTTATCTTTTCAACCTGAATATCATTTCCATGAACTTCAACAAATGACTTTGAGTGATCAATTTTAAGTAATTATAAAAGTTAGTTACTGTCATCAAAAGGCATGTATAAAGTGGTTTGGTGGGTATACAGATAATATTTAAGACTTTTAACTGACCGATAAAATTGACAAGTATAAATAGTGTACAACAGGGATCCCAGGATGCGACCTTGAGGTACACCGGATTTAATGTCGATTGAACACGATTCACTAATAAGCTTGTCCTGAGATCGATCAGGCAAGAAAAATTATGGTAGATTCTGTGGAGTGTCACTTACCCCAATAAATTTTAACATAGAAACTAAAAGGTTAATGACCATATCAAATGTGCAAATGCGATATTTTTCCCGCTTTTATCCCAACGTGCGCCGCTGAGAGTGCGTAAAATAGTAAAAGCTATGTTGCCATTTGTAGAAATTTTATTTACATATTGGTTTATTTTGTAACCAAAATTTACGTTATTATACCGTTGTTATAATATGTCACTTAAATTGTACGTTTGCTTTTAACTATTCATCATTGTTAAATCGTACAGAAATTAGTTATCGCTTAGCAATTTCCATTTTAATTAAACGTCGTCCTATTTCTGGTAAATTTGAGCACCAAATTGTAAGCCCACTCGGGCTGATACCTAGCGACCCAGTGTCCTGCGTTGCGTACCAAAACCTCCGTCAGGTTACCCGCTTGTTTGGCGTAGCCAGCCACGTCGCCCTTAAAATGCCATACTATCCTAGGGGCATCGTTATACTCTGCAGCCTGTGGGAAATTCAACTGTGTCAGGAAATTACCACCCACAACGTCCGTCTGCCCGTTGTAAAACACCATCCTGTACTTAGTCAACAGCTGCACTATTTGGGGTGCCACGCTTTTCGGGTAATCCAGCAACAAGTTCAAAAACACGTTGAAACCGACAGCGGTGAAATTCGTGTTGCCTACATGCAGCGCTGAGCGGACGTCATCTTGCGTCACGAAATTGCGATAGTACGACGGTGGCGCCACCGCTTCGAGATAGTTCAAGCCGTTATCGAAACCAGTGAGGTTGCGGAACAGAGTCGGACCTTTGTAAGGCACTATGATCTTCGCGTAGTTGTCCATCGCGTCCTGATAGTTGCCATTGTTGATGTCAGTTATGATCGTGGTCTCGATATCTTTGAACAAGTTCCTTGTCTGCTTATCGATGAGACCCAGCTGGTAGAGGTAATCGCTGTAATTGGCCTGGTGCACCGGGTCCACGAAACCGCTCTCAACGATCACGCCCTGAAGGTTAATTTTCTGAGAGTTGATCTCGTTCTGTGCGTCGATGTAGCTCGCAAGGGAGACGGAGTATTTGCCTCCGTAAGAGACTCCGGATACGTAGAAAGCTCTACTGCTGAACTCTGGAAACACTGTGAAGAATTGCGTGAGAGCTTCGTAGAGGTGTTGGGCGATGATGGTCTGGTTCTGCGCGTACCCGCCGTTAGTAAAACTATACCCAACACCCACGGGGTTGTCAATGTACAGCACTGAGTGGTTCCTGTTCCACGTGAATTTCCTCAGCGAGATATTTAAGTTTTCGTCTACCGTAAAGGGTCCGTTTTCCTCAAATAAACTCCTTATCGAAGGAAGTCCCGGACCGCCTTGGAGGTACAGGATGACGGGGTCGTTGGTGACGTTTTTCTTGGATGGGAAGAACCAGAAGAATAAGTTAGAGTTGAACGTCTCGTCGACGGTGAAGTACCCCGCGTAGCTGGTGACGTTTTGGAAGGACGCGTGAGACACCGCGGCCGCAGTGCGAGCCTGTTGCGTTTGATTGTTTTTTATCAGGGGAGTTAGGAAGAGAGGATTGCCAGCGTCACACGCCGCACGTCCGAAGACGAGCAACAGACCGAATAGTACGTAATTGGCCATAGCTTCCGCTCTTCTGGACTGAAAAAGATAATACAATGTTAAGCTTACTTCGAAAATGTTATGGACTATTAAGGGCTAAGAATCAGCAGAGAAAATTAACAATCCGGAAAGTTAGAAATCTATTAGACAAAAACCAACTGTATACCTGCCTGATCCTAAAAAAGAAGTGCAGTTTATAATCAAAGAGCTTAAATCAGAAAAGGACCCTGACATTGGTGGAATAATTATTGCTTGAGTGGAAGACATTCTGATAGCTTTTAGTCCAGTTTTATTTATTATTTCCTGAAATAATGCACTCCTAGAAGAATTTCACAGGTATGGTCTGTTAATAGATATAAGAAAGTGACCAATTGCTTTTGAATGGGATTATTCAAGGGTGGTCATTTAAATTCAGGTAAAATTGTGGTCCGTAATAGAAAATAATTTTATACCTAAATGTGATTAATATTCTTTGGTTTGGTATACTACTTAGTTAAAGTTTATTAGTAACCATTCTTATTTCGTGTGTAATACAGCATGTGTCGAATCATGTGCGAATTATGCAAAATATGTGCGAGTCTAATGTATCTCAGGAGATGCTCCCGCCCAAATGTAGAAAACACTATTCTATTGAGACTAAGGAAGTTATAAACAATGTTTATTTGACTCTCATTGAACGTGATGCAGCAACCAAGTATCTTTAGAAGAAACGACCACATTGACGAAAATTCCAACATCAACTGTGTGGAAAATTGTGAATAATCCAATTTCAGCGAGGAAAAAAAGAAGCTATACTGACATTTTCTCGAGTGTAGATGAAAGTGATAAAGATTTAATACGGCGTAAAATTTACCAGTTATATGAGGAACAAAGCGCGCCTACATTAGATATCTTAATTAGAAGGCTTGAAAAAGATGAAACCGGTGTTAAATGTGGCAGAACTACCTTATGGAAGTGTATTCAACACATGGGTTTTAGATTTAAAAAAATTGACAAAAGGCAAGTTTTCATGGAATCTTTTAGAATTCGGAAATGGCGACTGGAATGTCTAGAAAAAAGTAGGATTTACAGATAATAACAAAGGTCAATTATTTACTTGGATGAAACCTAGTTCGACACTTATGATATCCCGAAAAAGGGTTGGGTTGACTCAACTGATAAGTGTAAAACAAACGCGCCATCAAAAAGAGGTGAAAGAATAACTATTTTGCATGCTGGCTCTAAAGATGGTTGGATTCTAAATGGACTTTCTCTGTCTGCGAAAAATATTAAAGATTCTTCTCTGGATTACTATGAAGACACCACCGCTGATTTATTTGGAAGTTGGTTTAAAAACAAACTAGTTCCAAACATTCCTCCTAACAGCGTAATTGTAATGGACAATGCAAGTTATCACAGCAGACAATGGACTAAAACCCCTTCCTCATGTGACACAAAAGCAACAATCCAAAACTACATGTATAATAACATTTATTTTCACGAAGATTATACCAGAAAGAAATTAATTGAGGTTCTACAAAGCTTGAACCTACAAAAGGAATACGTCTGTGATAATTATGCAAAAAATCTAGGGCATACAGTTTTAAGGCTTCCACCTTACCACTGTATATTTAATCCCATGGAACATCCCATGAAATCTGCCCTTCGTCGTAACAATGTTTTTCCCCGTGTTAACTCCTCAAACTTATAGAAACCGAAGTTTTTAACATCCCTCCACAACGTTGGGCAAATTCTGTTAAACATGTACAAAAAGCAGAACAATCGTATATCCATATTGTAAATAATATAGAACAAATATAATTAGAACAGGCGATGATAGCCATAGTGATACTGATATATTATGTAAATAATTTTAACTAATTTAAGTAGGTAATCAAAATAAATTGTAATTTTATTTTAGATTTAAACATAAATACATACATAATAAATAAATATTGTTTAGTATCTTTCCTAAAAAAAACCCAAATAATTAAATTCTAAGCAAAGTACGTAACTTAACTTAACTTAACTTAACGTAAGTAACTACAAGAGAATAAGTTACTAGAAGTATAAAAGTAATATTAATAATTATTTTTTTTCTCATCGGTTTGTTCAAATATGTGAGAACCCACTTATATAGTGGCTTTGTAGCTAAAACCACCGCAGCACCGATTAATTCGACACACTTGGAATAAATAAACAATCTTTAATAAACTCTAACACAGCATATATAAACATTTAACGTTTTAATTTCTTTCATTTCAGTCGAGATTTTGTATCGCGATTAGCAAATTTTACTCTTATCTATAAGGATACGCTACTTGATTATAACTTTGAACATAATTCGTTAATGTTGTTTGCATGAAATTCAACATTTACATTGAGGCAAATTTAACCAAGTTCCCATTATTAAGTTTGATATTCTTAAGCTTACATCAATATGATGATTGTCGAAGTTCCCGTGAGTGGCAGGTGCCTTATTGTTTAAAATGATAGTTACTTTCCGGCACTTCATTCTTGAAAATGAGCAAATTATCGTTCTCAGTGTGTTCAAAGCTCTTCGCCAGCAAAACTTAACATTGGGAGTTGCAAAAATAGTTGAAATGTGTTCGAATATTACCATAGTGGAACCGTCAACAATATACCGACTTGTGCACGAGGGTACACAGTCCCGTGAAATCACCAAAGCGAAGTACAGGAAAAAAGAAACTGGAATAAATGGGGATGATACGGCTGCCATCAACAGAATAATACACTTGTTTTACTTAAAATGAGAAATTGAAACGGACTGAAAGACATGAATGCTGATGTTTTTACAGACTACTTCCAGCAAATCCTAGATTTTATGGGTCTACTATAGTCATGAATAACGCCAGCTACCACTCAAGAAAATCCGAACTTTACGATATAACCTTTAAGTTGTCCACTCGGAACGATTCTAGCTGTGTAGGTCTTAAAAACTTAAAAACCGAAAACTATCATTGCAATTTATCTCAACTTTACGCTATTTAAGCTGTCCGCAGCTGTCTCATAATTTTGTAGGATTGAGAAACTAAATATATAACGTTTTATAGCTGTTCTCGATGAAGTTGTCTGAGGCCTGCATTTCAAATTGATGAATTTCGGTGTTACCTCATCAAAGATCATATTTCACTCAGCTGCATTTTTTTTTCTAAGTTAACACTTAAATTCGTCAATTTGAAATGCAGATCTCAGACCACTTCGTCGAGAACAGCCATTTAATGTGCTAAAACCATATGAATGAAGGACCACCAAGTACCACGTTCAAAATTTAAGCCCATAAGCTACAGTTTGATCAAGCTATTGAGGGAGTAACATTAAAAAACTAGAGAAAAGCGGTACAGCATGTTATGAGTATCACAGGAGAAATTGTAGAATATTGACTACTTGTGCGGTCGGACCGTTGATCCGTCAAGAGGAGATATTTTTTTTTTTTAAGTAAAATAAAAATTAATAATACCTAATAGTATGTACAAAAAAATTTTTATTCTGTTACCCGGGTTGTAGCACCTGGTCTCTTAAGTATTCGTTGGATCTCTCTGTGGTCCCTTTGCATACTTAATGAAGTTTTATTGGCCTGCACCTTTCAGAAATATACTTTATTTGGTTGTACATAGGACTGATTGAAGCGTCTCGTCACATCTGGTATACTGTAGTGCTATTAAATGCTTTGGAAAACAAAGACTTTTATTAATTTTTTTATATTGTTAATGTCAAATTGGCCAAATATTCCGCAAATGCTACCACAATTTTTGGACTTTATACAATTTTATCACAACCAATTTCAATCAGTTCAACCTTTAGCGTCATCGAAGTGATATGTTGATTAAATGTGTCTACTTACCGCCTCAAGTTTATTTGCTACTATAGCCAAACCAAATGGCAACCGTGGATCTTTATATACTACTAATCTCGCTTATCGCAACCTCAACTTTGTTACAATATCTCTTTTTGCCACTTTATAGTTGCAATTTGTTGAGGACTCGAGCACTCGAATGTGATTTAATTAACAAAAGTAATTTATCTCGAAACGCTTCTGTACTCGTTTTTTAGATATACAAATTTTGGTAGAAGGTGTCACAATTGTAAAATATTTCTTAGAAATATGCGGGTGAAATCGACCCCCACTTTGGAACTTCAAATGGATAATTTTGGTTAGCTGATAGTTGATTATGGATAATGCACAAAATTCTAACCTGTACATCTCGTACGGTTAGGAGAGGAAAGGTAAAGTCTGTTTCGCCAAGGTGTGGACTAATGCAATCTCATTTGTTATGCAAAGTACTACAGAGTAACGCAATGAATATTTAAACCACTTTGATTCCATTCATTGCATATTTTAAAAATAAAACGTACAAATGAATCAAATCAAATCAAGAAACCAAAAAAATAATGTTTTCAAAGCGATCTTTAGCATAGAAAAAACATCCGACATTCTCCAAAGGTTGTCCATTTAAAAGAGTTGTGGTTTTCAAACTATTAGTTTGAGCAAACCAAAACTATTGGTAATTAAACGTTTTTCCACTGTAAAATGCGTTCCATGTCTACCTATCTTGAAAATCATACCCGGCAACTAAAATATTAACGGATAAGTTATTTAAATTTATTTAATTTCTAAACGAATCAAAACGTTTTATTCATTGTTTGCTAAAAAATATCCGGAATGGAGATGGACAGAGATGTTAATTATTCATTTAAATAAAGAAGAATAACGTATTTTGAAAATGTACTATTTACAATACAACTTTGTTAATTTTAGTCATTTCGAGTAGTCAGATGAACTACACGCGTTGTTGCGCAGAGAAATATTAAGGCGCTCTACAGTGGTTTATAGTATGTTATCAGGATCCCTACGAAGCTGGTCGTTTTCAATTTTTTGAATGGAATAGCAAAACAAGCGAGACTATGTTTGCCAATGCGGCGTGGTATTCCACAAGGGTCGGTTTTCGGGATTCTGTTGTTCATTTACATAAACCAATTTCCCATTTCTTTACCGGATTAACATTTACACGATTTACATGGATATGCCAAAAATGTTGATCTGCATGACTATAACACTAGGAGGACAAGAGTTGTCGCTCTGTCTGTTTCCAGGTTGACGTCTTCTCAGAATCATAAAATTGACGTTGTTTTAATATACTTCCAAAAAATATCCAGTAATTAGTACACCTTAAATTTAAAAATGTAATGAAACAATTTTTGTTAGAGCCGTTTTATAACTTTGGGTTTGCTTGTGTGTCAAATTCCATAATTTCTCCCTATATTCTTATATTTCAATCACATCATCGACGCACTTACACCATGGGGCCGCGTTTATCCTCATGCAAGTCTTTATTTTGTTGACTATCCAACTCCAGTTATGTCTATTTCACATATCAACTATTTTTGCAAACTCCGAATATTGAGTCTTGGTGGCGAAGAGCTTTGTCGACAGCAACCTTATACAAAGTCACCCTTGTTTGAAATGCTTAATGTGATAAAAGGATAAAAATTTAAAAATAAAATAATTTTAATGTTATTTTTGATCACCCTTAATTATTTACTTTTAAAATATCAAAACAGACCACTAAATTGTAAGGAAACCTTTCATTGGGGAAAATTGTTTGATTTATTTAGAACTTCAAACGTCACTTTTGACATAAAATTGAATATATGTCAGAAACGTATAAACTAGTATCTATAAAATTCCACAACCGTATAAAAATTATAAAATAATTATCTGAAATTCGTGCTATCCTCGTGTTGACTAAATTCATATGAAGTGGTTCATGATAACACCATAGCAACGAAGGCCACTTGAGATTTTCTACAACAAACCCATATTTGTAGCTGGTAGGTCTATAAAGGCCCTGCATATACTGCATATATGGAATTAAATTAAATAAAAAATGTGTTAAGTTTCTGTTTAGACAGAAAAAACCTTACATTTCGTCTTTGCCATATTTAATCTTTTCAACGGTTATTGTAGTGATTAAATAATACCAAATGAAAGCACTTATACGTAATTATTTTCATGTTTACCATTTTGACTATTGATAGACTTATTCGTGTGATAGATATTGAAACTTTTGCAGCGAATTAGAACATACAACAAACAAACGATAAAACCAACCAGCATGTTTAATAAAATCAACTTGTAAGAAATAATTTTTAAAAAAATCGAGGAATAAAAAAAAAGTACGTTAACTCATATCGTTCACTTGGACGATGTGCAGGTTCAAATAAGAGATTTACTCCTTCTTTTCAATATCCATCGTGAAAATTACTCTCTTTAAAATGCATTAAAATTTATTGATTCTCTGAGACCCAGATACATAACGCCACTCGGTGCAAAGATGACTGGCATAGATATCTGGATCCTGTGATATTGAAAAAGAAAAAATTGTACTCCCCGGTGAGCTTTTAAGATTTATTTTCTCCAAAAATTTCTCTGGAAACCAATAACTGGAAGAAAAGACTCCATTTTACCAAATTTGTCGTCAGCATCTCCGCCAATCGCAAATTTATCCCATTTGATGAATTTGATACTCAGCTGAGCAAAAAAAGTATGGTTTGAGTTTATCTTTCTAAATAGAATTATAAATAGAATTATAACCTAATACAGAACACGAACAATTTAAAACAGTTACATACATAGGAGAACCCAGTGAAAAAGTTTTAAAACATTTATCAAAATGTGGTTTAAAAATAGCTTTCAGAACTAAAACACAATAGAAATTTTTTTAAAAAGCAATAAAACGCAATGTCCAAAATCTCAAAAATCAGGTGTCTACAAGTTGAAATGCGGATCTTGTCCTAAAATTTATATTGGACAAACAGGTAGATCCTTTAAGAACGAACATATAAGAGCGTTTAAAAACAGATAGATTCTAATTATGCTACACACAGAAAAATACATTTTTGACGACAATTTTGATATTTTACATACAGCCACAAAAAGTAGAAAATTAAATTTATTGGGACCCATGGAGATTAACAAAATGAGACATGCAAATGTATTGCTTAATGATCAATTAGATTTAAATACCTCTCCTTTATTGAACTTAAATTCTCACAACATTAATTAAGGTTTTATTGTCATTTTTCGGTATATATAGTAGCAGGTAGTTTGTAAATATTACATTTGATAAAAACAAGGTGTTGTCGAAACAATTGTCATGTGAAAATATATAATTTCGTGAAAATCTGAACTCTTAGTTATTATTTATTTGGTTAAATGGATTTTCATCAAGTAAAAGCCACCTCAGTTCAATTTAAGAAAAGAAAATTTTCAAATCACAGATACACACTTGAAAAATGGTGCTCTAGCTAAAAAGGAAAGCGACAATTGTGTGCCGAAAACAATGAGATGTATTTCATAAAGAGGTCCGACTTAACGGACTGTGGAGTATTAATTCTCCCCAAAACTTTATAGCACACATGGTTAGGTCCCAATGGCATTCATTATTATGTGAATTCAGCTTCCTTTTTGTGTGTCGCAGTAGAATTTCTGCTGATAGCCTGCTACCCTTTTCCTGATGTACTTACGGTAAATTATTAAATAAAAAATTGCCAGAGTACAGTAACTAATAGTTTTATATAACCACAACTTTGCTGATTTGTATAATTTTTTGGCAACACTGTGCGGCAAACTGCAGGATTAGCAAAATCAATTTTGTGAGTTGGAGCCTGTGTGAAATTCAATTCTGTCAGGAAGTTACCACCATCGTTCTGTCCAATGAAAAACACTGTACTTATCCAAAAGCTTCGCTATTTGGGGTGCAACGTTTTGCGAATAATCCAGTAACAAGTTCATAAATACGTCGATAGCAACCGCGTTGAATGTCGTGTTGCCTACGTGCATCGCCGACCGGAAGTCAACTTGCGTCACGAGGTCTCTGTAATGCGGTCTGGGTGCCACTGCTTCAAGATAGTCGAGGTCGTTATCGAAACCTGTGAGGTTTTCGAACAGCCTTGGACCTTTGTAAGGCACTATCAGTCTTGCGTAGTTGTCCATTGCGTGCTGATAGTCGCCATTATTTATGTCCGTTATGATTGCGGTCTCGATCTTTTTGAGCATCTCTCTCGTTTGCTTTTCCACTAAACCCAGTTGGTAATGGTAGTCACGATAATTGACCTGGTGCACCGGGTCCACGAAGCCGCTCTCTACGATCAGGGCATGCAGGTTAATTTTCCGCGCGGCGATCTTGTTCTGCTCGTCGATGTAACTCGCGAGAGATACGGTGTATTTTCCTCCGTAGGAGACGCCCGCCACGTAGAATGCTCTGTCCTCGAGCTCGGAAAACAGATCAAAGCACTGCGTGAGAGCCTCATAGACGTGTTGGGCGATGATAGTTTGGTTCTGCGCGTACTCGCCGTTGGTAAAACTGTATCCGACGCCTACAGGATTGTCGATGTACAGCACCTAGTGATTCCTAGTCAACCTGAATTTCCTCAACGACATATTCAAGTCTTCGTCTTCGATGAACGGTCCGTTTTCTTGGAACGCGCTCCTTACCGAAGGAACTCCGGGACCACCTTGAAGGTACAGGATCAAGGGACGCGTGTCTGACGATAAGGGCTGCACGTTCCGTTCCGGCGGGAAATATCAGGAATACAAAATGGAAGTGGATATCTCGTCGAGGGTGAAGTATCCCACGTAGCTGGTGACGTTTTGGAACCATGCGTGTGATATCACGGCAGCAGCGCGAGCCTCTTCAGTTTGGTTGTTTTTATCATGGGAGTTAAAAGGAAAGCGGTCAGAGGCGTCACACACCGTCCGTGGGACAACTATCAACAGCCCGAATAGTACGTAATTGACCATGCCTCTCGCAGTCCTGGGAAAGCAAAATACGATTCGAAAATGCGGAGTACTATGACTATGAAATATATATCAGGGGATCGCCCAGTATATAAAAGCCAGTTAAATTAACATCCGAGTTGAAAATAAAGAAGTGTAGGCAAACTATTATATTAAATACCACACATTCATGCCACGTGTTCTAGAGATACAAGTTAGAGTTGAAGTACAGACTTATTATATTGAGAAAGAATTTTTGAACAATGTTATGTCTAAAAACGTCTAAAATAAGAGTATAGCCGATGAATTTTTGAAAGAGATTTTCAACTTATAGGTACTGGCACTGCCAAAATACAATGCCCTTAAAAAAAGTCTGCCAAGTAAATTGAGAACATACCTATATCATATTTTGGTAACGGCTCAAACGAAAAAAATGAATGCAATGAATGGAAAATGGAATATACTATATATCCGATGTCAATGAAATTTCTAGTCAAAGTCTGTAAAAAAATAAATTCAATATTTGGTCATATAAAAACGAAATCTCTCTCTCGTTTTTTGACAACGCTAATAGTTTTGTAGATAATAGCGTTCAAAAATTTCATTATATTCATATATAATTTTTCCTCAGTCAATTTAAATAAGAAAATAGCATGTTTTAATCAAAAATTGTCAAATAGATTATTTTTTATTTAAAATCATTTCATAAAAGTAAAAAAACAAATTTTCGCTTTTACCAAAAGTACACTGGAAAATAAAACTAAAACAAAATTCCAATTTAGAATAATTTTTGAGATAGTTGCGATTTAAATTTTAAGTCAAACTAAATTCAATCCATATTCCATCAAATAATTTATTACAGTATTACAGTTAGTTATTCTCTAGTATCTAGAGAATTTGCAGTAGTTTAAAAAAACATTATGCCTGTTCCTTATTTACTACGAAGCCATAAAACATGGTTTATTTATCTAATTATACAATTATAGTAGTACTGTCTAGTGATTATCACAAAAAACCTTAATAAATTCGGGAAAAAATATTGCCTAAAACTACCAAATCGTCATTTTTCACTGCGTACCATCTTATCTGATGTAGTGCCCGTCATTATTCTTTGTGGTGGAGAAAAAGGGAATGAATGCCACTTTAATCGCAGAGTAATTTACACATACTAGCTTTAACGGCTTTACAAGTATGTTTGCTCTGTTCTGTCTTTTATTGATAATTTAAAGTTTCGTTCAGCCTTCTGAAGTAATCAACACTCTCGAAATTGTTTGGATACATCTCACAAGAATCGAATTTATCCCAACTTTAAAACGGAAGAAGAAGATTTAAGAAGTCATTAGTTTTTTCACACCTAGACTTTAAGAACAATTACTTTTGGAGATAGGCCCGGGTGTCTTTCTTAGTTGGCCACTCGGACAATGCTTTTGTATTTAAGCTTACTAACTTTAGATTATATTTATTTTATTTTAGATTATATTTATTATTATTACAAATATCCCTCGAACAGCTGCGTTTAACGGAGAGTGAGCATAAGGAAAGGAAAGTTATTTTATCACATAGGTATACTGACGTTTTTGACTTAAGTATTGTTATAAAAGTGCATCTAATCGTTATTTTTAAAAATCCCCAAATTCTTTCATCGTAAGTAACAGCGATCTCTTCCTAAGGTAACCATAGCACAAAGTTTATGTGCTCCAGGTCAACAAAATTTAAAATGGAAATTAACATTTCGTGATTGATCGTTTCAAAAGTCTTACTGTATTCCAACAATTCAGTAATTCTGCCTCTATCTCCGACAGTTAACACATTGCAAAACGTTGCAACTGTGCGCTACTCTAAATCCCGATTGTGCTATGATAGAATGCAGTTTTGTGCCCCACGTTGAAGCTGTATATCTCTATTGTCAAGTATTTTTGATATAGTTGGTAGAATACTAATTGTGCTAAGATTAGAAGGAATTGGATCAGTGACAGTATAAATTGTTGCTTTTTTTCATTCAGATGGAAATACCAAGTTTGCACGTAGTCGGGTAAAAAAAAATATTGCCTGGGAAAAGTAAAGTAAAGTAAAGCAATTTTACTGGAAACCGATAAAATTGTTTCCTGAATCCTAAAATGATTGAGAAATATAAAGCAGTATCGAATAGAGCAGAAGAAAATATTTTATCTTGATCAGAGGTGGATTAATAAAGGTTATATTTTCCTAAAAATATGGCAAGACAAAAATATAATCTCTAGTTTCATAAAATTCTGGAGATGCAACACATTCCGGAGTCAAGGTTTCTAAAAATAATTATTTACAAAATGTTACGGGGGTTCGCTCACACGAGGATCACCAGATCTAGAAAAGAAATTGTTTCAGTGTATTGTTTGTTTTCAACACTACAGATAAATCCCTACTCTACAATTCAGGCAAGTATACTGAAATACTTGTATTATCGAAAGAAGCATTGAGATCCGGATGTTTTGATTTTATTATATGAATTGATAATTTGTAGTTATTTGTGAATTTGGAATATAACCTCTAGGCAGAATGAACTGAAAAACTGTTATTGAATGCAATTTGTCAAGTTGAAGTTTCAAGCCTTATAGAACAAATAATTAAAAGAGGCAAATCTTTGAGAATGAGAATTAGAGAAAAACTGTATCACGTTGACATAAACGTGTACATTCTATAAGTTCCGAATTCCATTTTGGTCCCTTTTCTAACTAATAAAAGATGGAAAACTTAGCGTCTTTCTTCCTTCTCCGATGTAAAATAATTTGTCTCATTGATAAACCTTAGGAATTCGGTAAAAGTTGATTTTACTTGATATATCGTGTGTTCGACGTCCTATTAGAAATGTCGGACGAACCATTTATACTTTAAATTATACACTGCCAACTGTGGTGCCTTATCGCTCTAAAATAATATTTTCGAGAGTGACCCAGGCTAGCGTACAGTGTTGCAGCTTCTAAATGAAAGTTAAAAGCCCCTCGCTAAATACAAGGTACAATATTGCAAAATCGGCATGAATCAAAGCGGGGGCGTCCAAACTTTCCCGCCATAGGGCCATATTTTTCACAAAACTTCTGGATTTCTCCTACGTCGGTTTTTGTCGAATCAAACTTGGCAACGTTTCGTCAATCATCCTGTTGGCTGAGAAAAATATGTTCCAGACAAACATTTTTCAATTAAGGTGAGAACGTTTGTTTCCAAATTCTCAGAGTTTAATATATCTGAAATGATGTTGAGAATTTCTGGAATAGGGACGTTCGTAGAGAGGGATTCTACGCCGAAACTAACCATAATATCTTGTGTATCTAATGTAATGCTTGTTAATTGTTCAATGAAGTGAACCGAATTAAGTACGAAACTATGAGTTTTCCTTGTAAAGGGTTTTAATAAAGCAGCTAGATATTTTGCTAGAGAATCTGTTGGAGAACTAATGGTGCTGACAATAGGTCGAGCCCGAGTCACTGAATCCAGAATTAAAAAATTAAAAGACCGTAGCTCTGCTCTTCTCTCTAATAATTTCCACATTAAAGATATTAAGTATTACATCACAAAATACCCTTCACCACAACCATCCGAAAGCAATTCCACACTGTTGTCCTTCCTTACATTCAAAACACCACTGACCTCATATCAAAAGTTCTAAGGAAATATAACGTCAAAAGCAAATTTACCACTTGTCCAAAAATCCCTCAACATCTTCGATATGCCAAAGACAAAATTCCATTTGAGATGGCAGGAGTTTACAACATTCAATGCATATGCGGCAATACATTGAAGAGACCGGGCGAAAAATATCAACATTTGGCTTCTTCAGAGCTTGATTGAATCTTGCTCGCATTTTACCCTGTACCTGCTTTTACATTGAAACATGAAAGAGCCTTAAGACTAAGACAAATAAACTCATCAGGTGTTGCCGAACACAATCACGCAACGGGACATAAAATTTTATTCGATAAAACTAAAATTCTTGAATGCAATCAATTCTTCTACCAACGAAAAATCCGAGAGCCCATAGAAATCTATAAACAACCTAATGTTAACCGCGACTCAGGTCTCTACCTGTCGTTTCGTCAATCATCTTGTTAGCTTGTTCAGACTGAAATTGCTTCAGTTAAGGTCCGAAGAAGCCAACAGGATGATTGGCGAAACGTCAGCAAGTTTGATTCAGCAAAAACCAATGCAGGAGGAATCCAGAAGTTTTGTGAAAAGTATTACAGTAGCCTATAGAGGTTTCTTTTAAAAATAGGGCCATATTGTTTACCCAGGCACCTTCCAATAGCGAAAGTCATAGTAATCTTTGTGCCATTATCTATAATTTCTAAACTATACCTTAATGCGAGGGAGCTATAAATTATTATTAAACTGTTTAAACTTAGTGATGGAAATATATTCGAATATGACTGGATTTCAAAAATATGGAGTCAACAATATACCGACTTGTCACCGAAGATAAACGCGGCCCCATTGGATCACCGAAAAAAATTGTAATGAATGAAGATAAAATTCACTCTTACTTACTTACTTAAATAAAGAAATGCTTACATTCCACCTTGAGTAACAAGAAATTATGGAGAACTTTGAAGGAAATCATTTATGTTATGAAAAAACTCAAAACAGTAAAGTGTTTTTAATAAAAAAAAAATACTGGCAAAGGGAAAACAGAAATTTATTAATTTATTAACTGGACGAAATTTGGGTAAATGAAGGTTGGTAAGACATGGCAGGATAAAAATGTGAAGCGCGTGCAGCAAAGCTTCATGGAAGGATGGTTCACTGGAAGAAAAGGAGAAGGTAAAAGATTAATAATTACTCACAAGGGTAGCAAAAATGGATTTATCAGTGGTGACTTGCTAGCTGCTGAATGGAAACAGATTGCAGCAAATGCAGAATTCAATTCTATTTTCGGAATAAATGTACGGGCTCAGATCAAAAAAGTATGAGATCGTTATTTATTTTTAATTTGGGACCCAGCTGTCAGATTGATAGAGGAGAGCTAAAACCCAATGTAACCGGTCCCACAACGTCTAATTTTTTTGTCGGGTAATTGTTTATTTATGAAGAATTAGGAAACATTCGATTAAGTTTCTGCATACCGCTATCACAAATTGCCTTATTGCGATCTTGCGTTTATTTATCAATAACAATAATATTTAAAATTACAATTTTTCGTTTGCTCGGTTCGGTCAACCTCCAAAATCAAGCCAGCCTCGTGTTGACTAACTACATATGAAGTGAGTGAAGATAAGAGATCCATCACGCAACAGCATCTACTTGAGATTCTTTAAATCTTACGTGTCCTACCAATGCCAAATTCATCGATTTATTTTTGTTATCACAATAATTTTCTTACATCTGCGGTGTTAAATTTTCGCAATGTTCGATCAGTCCGAATTAATCACTAATTTGAATTGTCGGTTGTTTGCTCAAATACTCCTTATAACCGACTGACATCGACGACCCATACTTTAATCCAGACATCTAACTTGTGCTTGATCGACGTTACATTAAATTTCGAATTTCATTTTATAACTCAGGTAAGGATATGGAACGCCGACGGGACTCGCGAAACATTTTATTTCGTGAAACAATTTAATTGACCAACTTAAATATTTGTAACATATTTTAACTTATTTTATTAGTGAAATAACAAAAATTTTTATCAATGATATTTTTCAAATGAAAGGGTTTGTCAATCATTGTTATTACTATGTTTTATGCATTAAATGTTTGAATTATAATTCATTCATCAGTGAACATTTGAATTGGGCGCTGTATATTGGTTGCTCCTCAAATATTATATCCGATATTTTAATGTAAACAAGAGCCTGTTGGTTTAGTTGAATATCCTCTGATTTAGTGTTGACAATCTAATGACGCAGTATTTAAGCTAAGGTAGCTGCTCTAACAAGACCCATTGAAGTTAAATAATGACATTGGGCCTTTATTTTCCTTGTAGAATCATTGTCATCCTCGAAAGTCGCTGCTAATGAAAGTAACTAGCGCTGACGACTAAATGACATATCTTAAAACAGTAAATAAACCTTTTCGTAAGTCAAAGATTTGTTTATATTTACCTTAAATTCTCACAGATTGTATGCAATAACTATTTCACTAACTTACAGAACTAGCAAAATTATTTAGGGTATCAACACTTACTTGGAGGTAAAAATAACACAAATCTAAAAAATTAAACTTTTTGAAAGATGTGTTTATTTTGAAAACTGATTTCATATAATTTTGGTAAGCTGGTTTCAAAAATTCTACGCAATTATTTGTATCACGTAAGGTTTTTTCCAAACATTAAAGGAAAAACGATAGTTCTAAAATAATTTATTTTTGATTCAGTAACAAGGTGGAATCCCAGTTTCAAAAAAAGTAAAAAAACCTTACTCAGACTTTTTTCAGTGAAATTTTTGTCAGAAAGCTGCGTTGTCGGGACATTCGGCTGTGTATTTAGTATGTAGTTGCCCGCCATCATGGTTATGCTCCACCTGCCTTAGTATCGCCGTTCCATTTCCTTAATGTCCTGGTGAAACCTCTCTCCCTGTTCCCCACTAACTGCTCCAAGAGTTTCAGGAAAATGGTTCATGTGCGAAAACGGTAAACGCACTTTCAAACTCATATTACAACATAGACGATGAATGCGTTGTAACATATTTTTTTCTCGATGTTGGTCATTGTGTTTTGGTTAATTTGATATGATGCACATGGAAGGTGCAAATCTCCAATTGAATCATTTAATTGGCTCTGGTTAAACACTTCGGGGTTTCTGAAATTTGGTGTGAAATTTGAGACATCTGGGTCCGAATTGATTCCTCTGATTCTGACGATATGACGTTTTCTAGTTCTCTGGGGCGGTAGGTATCGGTACATCTGGTCCGTGAGGAACTGGTCGAATAACAGAGTCAAGATTGGAATACACATTTTGTTTCTTATTTTTTTGTTGAATCCTTGAACATTACACGAACAAAAATAACAATCATTACTGTGGTTCCTAGGCTCTCGCCATACTATAGAAACACCAAAGCTTAAACATTTCTTCCTACCTTTTTACCAGTTTCTTAATGCTTCAACGCAAATGGAACAAATGGTTTACGAAGCCCAGGACTTGTCTTCGTCGCCAATTTTTACACCAAGTACACATTTTTCACAAAAGAAGTTATAGCTTGCCTTTATTTTACTACGTCATAACTACCACAGACAACAAAAGTTATTTGGATTGTTCACACAGTGTCTTCTTTGTGTGTGTATAAGTTCTAGAACACTAGATATTCGCAACTTCGAAGACAACAACCGCGAACACAGTAGCACGACGATCAAAACAACCAAACAGCGCATAAGCAGGTTACACCGCTGTATTGACGCTTCTGCGCCAACTCTGTTGCTTTGCAGAGAAAACTAATATACAAACATATTCATGTCATAGGTATTTATATAATTAAAATAACATTTTTAAGATATAGAGCGCTATAAAAAATTACATTATAAGCAAAAATATGGCGTTTTTTGGAAAAAGGGCCCCCAAAAATATACAAATAAGCAAACAGCTTTCACTGTAGACCTGTGTAATTTATCAGATGTATGCCAACAAGGAGCTGCCAAAAAACGAAGACGAGTTCCAAACAGCGGTGGAATCGTTACTTTCACATAATTTTGATAAACCGCCGTAATATGAAGCGCCCAATTAAAATGTTTATTGATAAATTTAAATTCAAACATTTTAATTTATCAATAATACAAATGACAATTCTTTAAGTTTAGTTATGGAAATGTTTAACAAACATTTATTATCGAAAATATCTTGCAATCCATTTTTGTTATTTGACAATTAAAATGAATGAATGAATGAATGATGTTGCAGATATTTAAGATGATCAATTAATTTGCTTATTTATTTTATGTTTCAAGAATTAAAATGTTCCATAAATTTGATTGTTTAATGAAATGTTAATTTTTTCTTCCAAGATGCAGAAGTTTTGGTTAGTTTTAATATTTCATTGTCACAAATAATTCTGTCCCACAAATTATGTATCAATTAAACAATAAATCCAGTTAACTTTAATGAGATATTTTTTTATATTAATTGTGGCACAAAATTTTTGTATTAAGCAGTAAAACATTATTCATAAAGAAATATGTTATGTGCTGTATTTAAAATCTTTGTAAACATTAGTATTCTTCACTCATTTTCTTCAGACGTTTAGATGCAACTTTCCCCAGAAGTTCAAGAATCATGCATATCCAGCTATGAAAATATATATCCGATTTGTATAATAAACATTGCCCAATATGTTTCATCAAAACAAATCAAATTAAAAATGCTATTTATCATAACATGCTAAACAGTAACATTAAAAAGGTTCAATTATTATGTTGTATAATTTTTGTTTCTATTAAAAAGTAAAACGGCCTGCCATATAAAGGCGTTAATAAAAAAAAAATCTAAGTAATGATAGCTTATGCATATGACTATGACAGACACCTATGAATGTTGACGGGAATTCCCACTGAATGTGACAAATATTGAGTATAAAACTGGTTTTTCTTTTAACACTTTCCACGTGACTAAAACTTAAATTTAAATAGATTAAAAAAATATGTATTCAGTTTTCAGTGGTGTAATAACTTTGATGGGAAGTTTATTTGAAATAAAACAATCTTTTTAACAAAAATAAATATATTTAGACCTTATAACGTTGGTCGGAGTACATTTGCCAATGTGTATAGTTATCACAATAAACGATATTACCATCGCACAATACAAAAGTATGCTAGTCCAGAACAGATGTTTATGTATCGTAAGCGAATTGTTAGTATGACATTTGAAGAAAACGAATCCCAAAAATATCCCCGCTAATCCCCCAACAAAATGGGCCTGCCAAGACACTTGGGGTTCTCTTCTGAAACATGCGTGGACCACGTCGTAAATGACATCAAAAATTAATATAGTTGCTACGGAAACGACCTGATGGTATTTGTAACTGATTGTCTCGTAATTCTAAAAAAGGAGGATAAAATTGCTTTTTACAAAACTTCTGGATTCCTCCTGCGTCGGTTTTTGCTTAGTCGAAATTGTTGACGTTTCGCCAATCATCCTGTTGACTTCTTCAGAGCTTGACTGAAACTGTCAGTTTCAAGCTCTAAAGAAGCCAACAGGATGATTGGCGAAACGTCAGCAATTTCGATCAAACAAAAACCGACGCAGGAGGAATCCAGAAGTTTTGTAAAAAGCTTTACAGTAGCCTGTGGAAGTTTCATTGAGGATAAAATTGTGTTTGGAAGTATACAGACTGTTACTGAAATGACATCAAATAATTTGACGATGGAATTCTGAATTCCACTCAGATGCCGAGTTGGTATTTTTGCGTCGAATTCTGATTTAAAAAAGTCTATTTCTATGTCTTTTTCTAGCCCAAGAAGATAAATGTATTCCCTGCCTGCAAGTGGCAGTAGAAAAAGTATAGTGTGCAACACGTTGATACACTTTTTCAGTTAATCGTTCATTAAATAGTTCCTTCGCCCATGCTAAGACTAATGTGGAGTTTATCAAACTTGTTGCGTTATACTATTAAATGTGGCTATGGAAAGTTACAGATCGTCAGCGTTTGAAGATAAGTACCTTAAAAGAACCAAAGAAGAAATCGCTTTTGAAGTTTGAATTGACTACTCGGTTATAAACTGATAAAATTGATTCATGCGGGTAGTCCCATAACTTACCATAAGCTATAAGCTCAGGTGATACTGTAAACCAAAATAATTCAACGCAAATAGTGTTTTTTAAGAGCGAAAAATCTAAATTTAGTATTAGTTCTGACTAACCAACTTTGCGGTGCTAAAAAATTCGATCTGTAATCACTAACATTATTTTATAAAATCAGTTTTCAGATTATGATTTATAGTATCTATGTCGTATACATATATAATACCGAAAATATATTCTTATCGAAATATTTTTCAAATTTGTCAAGTGATTTATAAAAAGACAAATCTAAGAATATACCGGCTGTCTCAGTAAGGGCAACGAGGTAAAGTAAATCGGCTAATAAAAAAAGCTCAAGAAAAGAGATCCTGAAATGTTCACCGGGGGTAGTAATTGTAATCTTGAATTTTAGAATTCGATTTTTACAAATATTTCTAATATTAACTATACTTTAACTGAGTAATATTTTAAACCTGAGCAAGTAAGCTATCTCAGCAAGGAAAGTGGTGGGGGCTGTTGGAAAATTTTCATAAATAAGTGTTGAGAAAGGCTTAACGTGTTTTAATAAAATTTAAATCATTAAAGGGCGCTTCCTAGCCTATTAATGTGGTCTGAGTGTCGCGATGGCGATTGCTTATATTGATACGAGGTGCAGTTTTCTTTCATAATCTAAAAAATATATAAAAAACCTAAAATTGGAATAAAAGAACTTGACGCTCATTAAAAATGTTGTTATTAATATCAATCTATCCAGATTTACCAAATAAAATGCTCATTGATAATTTAGGATGCCCATTGATATTTAAAATAGAAAGGAAATGTTATTCACCCTTATTTACTTTTTTTACAATATCGAAGGGCATCAAGTTACTGGTTCTATATTTCGACATTCTTATCCGTTTTCAAATATTTAGTATTATCATTTATTGAATCATTAATTATTAGCTTTATTCAATAACGACATGATTGAAGCGTTTGATTGGATAAAAACAAAATTTGTTTTCGTGGCAGTATTGATACTAAGATATGCATTAGTTCTGTTAAAAGATATACTTCATTTTTTAAATGGTTTTCCACATTTTACTACTTAAATACGTCAATAGTTATTAAAGTTAGTTAGTCTCCAAAAATTAATTAGTTAGTAATTAAACGTAATTTTTAATAGAAAAATAAGGGATACTACTATTTTAAATCAGCTAAGCAAATCAAAATATAAAAATGTCGGCTATGGTGTAATTTCGTGCCCTTCGTAAGCATTGGAAAGAAACTGATAAGCATAAATAAAAATATTTTATTTAGATATTAAATATCATTTGGTACCTTAAATAATGAATTAGCATTTTATTTGGTAAATTCTATAAAATTCGACATTAATAAACAACCCATAAAGTGGACAGTCCTGCCTGTTCAGTTTTGGTTATTTATTTTGTATACTGACACTAAATATTAATTCATTACCTGGGTTTTCTATATTGATTTCTTTATGATTCGGGGTTAATCGAATACATTTATCAATTTTTATTTTAATTTAATTTTTTATATACTTTATGGTAAAAAACGCGTGTCATTTCACCGCGATAATATGAGCCCTCGGGTTTTGTTTGGCCGAATTACCGCGCATAGTTTTCGCGTGTTTGCGATTGGTAACCCCCACTACATTGCTGCAATGGACATGGTCTGGAAAAAGAAAATCCGAGAGGCCTCGGGGGTCTTACACTAGAGTGCACATAAGGTAGGCCGTTTATTTTATAATTCGAGGGTTTATCCGTAGTTTTGTTTTGTTTGTGATCAAATTTTAAATTAAGAATTTATTTCGATGAACTTGTATACTATTATTCCACACGCGGCTTCTAAAAGGAAGTCTAGGAAACATTGAGTTTCTTACATATGGTCTTCGAGCCCGGATTTTTAAAGAATCAGTAATTCAAAAATAAAATTATTTTGTCTTTTCTAAATTCATTTTCTAATACTAAATTGGTAAAAATAATTTTGATTTCATTCACTATAAAGGCGTTTAAATAAGACGACCTTGAATAAATTTGACGAAGTATCGGAAAACAGGTAAAGAATTTAAATCGTTTAGAGTTTTTTGCGGTCTTGATTTTGTGTACGATATTTTGATTGTTTTTTGTTATCAATCGTGGTTTTGGTGGATTTTACGAGGTTGTTCGCATATTTTAATATAATTGAATTTAATTTCTTCTTTCTTGCCATTTTTTTATGATATAGAAAATTTCTAAAAATATTTTTAAACCATGGCAGATTCAAAAGTAAATAGAAGAAGCGTTTTTATACGAAGATTGAAAGAAATCTACGATTTAGCTACTGCTGCTACACAGAACCCAGCTAAAATTAATGATTTTAAAATACGATATTCGGCGTTAGAATCAACATATAATGAGTTTGATAGGTTGCATTTGGACATAATTTCTGATAAAAGAGTAACGGATGTAATGCTTGAGCAGCAGGAGCTAATTCGAGCGGAAGTTGATGATCAATACTTTTCAATTAAAAGCATTTATAGTGAACTTTGTATAAAATCTGAAATATCCATGATGGTACCACCTTCGCCACCAGGCCAGAGCCATAATTTGCCGCCTTACCTAAATTTTAATCTTCCCCGTTTAGATATACCTGTTTTCTCAGGCAATTTAAAACAGTGGCCGACATTTTTTGATTTATACAGGAGTTCGGTGCATAATATGAACTTTTCCGCTTCTCTCGTAACCGGAGAACCGCTCAGTTTATTGAGAAATATTCCTATAACTGATGACAATTACGCAGTAGCCTACGATACTTTAATAAAAAGATACGACAATAAACGGATTTTATCGACTCATTACTTCAATGAAATAATGAACATTTCCAAAATTTCAAATCCATCGAATCAAGCACTGCGTAATGTTGTGGATAAGTTTTGTGAAAATGTGGAGGCATTAAAATTATTGAACTTTCCTACTGCGGAATGGGATTTTTTGCTTTTTAATTTACTCTTAATGAAAATCGATTCTGATACCTTACAGCGATTTGAAATGGAGCACGCAAAATTTGATATACCCACTTTTGCGCAGTTGAAATTATTTCTGAATAACAGGTGTAAGGTTTTAGATACGTTGACCTATACTCAGGAAGAAAATAAATCAAAAATTGCCGGAACCATTTATAATAGTAAGTCTTTTGCCAGTAACCGTCAACATAAGTCAGGTTCTAGGAATAATGGTGATCACTCCAAAGCATTTTTTACTAATACTCCTTCTAATAACGTTCCTACATTGAATTGTGGTATCTGTAGGACCCAGCATTCCATTATAAGCTGCTCCGTCTTTTTAAGTAAGACTCCTCATGAGCGCTATTTACTAGTTAAACGCAACCGTTTGTGTGTGAATTGTTTGAGTTCGTTTCACAAATTTTCGAAATGCAGTTCTAATAAGACCTGTTCTTCTTGTACGAAACGCCATCATTCTTTACTACATTTCGAGTCGGCACATGGTAATGAACGTAGTCCACCTAATGACGATGTTTTGCCCAGTGTTAATGACTCTTCCGTAGATCAACCACATTGTGGCACCACTTCCATAAATTCTAATAGTGCATTTACACTCCTTGCGACTGCAAAAGTGGACTTTCTGGACAGCCAAGGTTATTCCCACACAGTTAGAGTACTACTGGACAGTGGAAGCCAAGGCAATTTTATATCCGAAAGATGCTTTAAGAAATTAGGACTTTCCCGCTCTCGTTTGAACATTCCAATTAATGGGTTAGGTAATATGACATCTGTATCGTCGAATGGTGTTACTTGTTGTACGGTCCGCCCGGTGGGTAAGAACACACCTTCTTTTCCCATAGAATGTATCGTTTTACCGCAGATTTGCTCATACATGCCTTCTGTATCTTTCAGTCGCGAGAACTGGTCACATTTGGAGAATTTAGTCGTTTCTGATGACACCTACAATACTCCTGGACCTATAGATGCTCTCATCGGGTGCGAGTTATTCCCTTTAATTTTGTTGCCTGAGAAGGTGTGCGGTAAAGAGTTGGAACCTGTCGCATTCAATACATTATTTGGCTGGGTAATGATGGGTAAAATTGATCGTATAAAAAGCAAGTCCTCATATTCCTGTTGCACATTATTGGAAGAAAACCGGGATATTAATAAAACTATTCAAATGTTTTGGGAAATGGAGGAAGTTCCAAGTAGCAAGTCTTCATTAACCCTTGACGATCCCGCTGAAATTTCTTTTAACGAGACTCATTCTCGAACTCCTGAAGGACGTTTTATCGTTACTCTACCGTTTTCCAGTGGTGAGCCATTATTTTCTGACTCACGCTCCATAGCCCTAAAAAGGTTTTATAGCTTAGAGCGCCGTCTTCTTAAGGATCCTCCATTATTTGAGATATATTCCAAATTTATGAAGGAATACTTAGAGCTGGATCATATGGAACCCGTGTCTGCTCCTGTCTCTGACGTTGCCCAGCGCCACTTCTACATCCCTCACCATGGGGTTACTAATTCGAATAGTACGACTACTGCATTGCGCGTAGTCTTTGACGCATCTTGCAATCCGCGGGATCGATCGTTGAATGACACTTTGTTGATTGGTCCCAAACTACAAAATGAAATTGTAAGTATTCTGTTAAGTTTTCGAAGGTTTCCTGTAGCATTTACTGCCGATATCAAAATGATGTATCGACAAATACTTGTTAATGACAGCCACCAAGACTACCAACGTATTTTATGGAGATTCTCCCCTCGAGAACCTGTTCAAGATTTTCGCCTAAAAACCGTAACCTACGGATTAAATTCAGCTCCTTTCCTTGCTCTGAGATGTCTTTTACAATTAGCCACCGAGGGTAGAGATAGATTTCCTAGGGCCGCAGCAATTTTAGCGTCCCAAGTGTATGTTGATGATATATGTGTATCTTGTAAATCTTTAGAGGATGCTGTGGATATCAAACAACAACTTATTGCTCTATTGGATGAGGGTTGTTTTTTCCTTAGAAAATGGTCTAGCAATTGTGTTGATTTCTTAGCTACTATACCTTCAGATATTCTACAGAAACCTCTCGCACTGGACACTAAATCCGATCCTTACTTGAAGGTTTTGGGTCTCAGATGGTCTCCAGAGAAGGATATCTTCTCATACGACATACAATTTCTCAACTCGGCATGTACTAAGAGATCTATACTTTCTGAAATCTCCAGAATTTTTGATCCAATTGGATTACTTTGTCCCATAACTCTATTAGTTAAGCAGCTAATGCAATCTTTATGGGCGAGAGGTATCGACTGGGACAGTGAAGTGCCCGCAGATATTGCCCAAAGGTGGACCGACTACAAAAATGAATTGCCAAGTCTGTCAGCATTACACATACCCCGTTATTGTTTTATTTCAAAGTATGTTAATTTAGAATTCCATGCTTTTGGGGATGCTTCAGAGCTAGGTTATGGAAGTTGTATCTATTCTCGCCTCGTGTCTCCAGATGGCCAAATTTCTACTTATCTCCTCTATGCTAAGAGTAAAGTATCTCCATTGAAGAGATTGAGTCTTCCTAAATTGGAATTAAGTGCTGCATTAATGGCTTCCAAATTGCTTAAATATGCCTTAAATGTCTACAACATTCCCGACGTACAAAATATTTATGCTTGGTCTGACTCGACTATAGTCCTAGGTTGGATAAGGTCACCGCCCTGTCGTTGGCGCACTTTCGTCTCAAACAGGGTGAGTCAGATTCAAGACAATGTAGCACCTGAACGTTGGTTTCACATCAAATCAGAAGACAATCCAGCTGACCTTGCGAGTCGCCCTGTCCTTCCGTCTGATTTAGTTGACTGTCCCTTATGGTGGGCGGGACCAGCTTGGTTGTCGCGTCCCTCCGAAGAGTGGCCCAAACACGAACTTGGTGAATTGGACGAACCACTACCAGAAGAAAGAGCGACCATTCTCACGGTAATAAAAGGCTATAATCCTGTTGGTGATATTTTGAATAGGTATTCATGCTTACAGAAAATACTTCGCCTTATTACTTATTGGCGTCGTTTTCTTGGCATTCGTTTTAAAGTGGTTTCAGTGGTTAAAAAGGGTCCTTTCACGGAGTACGAGTTATTTCAGAGTCTTCTCCGCATTGTGAAGCAAGTACAAGCAGAAGCCTTTTATGAAGACATTTCCAATCTTTCGAACAAGAGTGTTTGTTCCAAGCCGTTAAGAAAGCTTGCTCCTTTCATCGATGAACAAGGACTTCTCAGGGTAGGCGGACGCCTTACTCACTCTCAACTTGATTACGATCAGAAGCATCCCGTTTTGCTTCCCAACAAACATAGGTTGACTGATCTTATAATAGAGGATTTTCATAAAAGATACCTTCACTGTGGACAGCAGGCCTTGCGCTATTTTATATCTCAACGGTTTTGAATTTTGGGTGCTAAAGGAGCTATAAAACGTATTGTCCATAAGTGTTTCCGCTGCTTTCGAACACATCCTCAGGTAATAGAACCAAAAATGGGCGATTTGCCTAGTTTCCGCATTACCCAAGCCAAGCCCTTTCAATGTACTTCTTTGGATTTCGGTGGCCCTTTTCAGATACTGATGTCAAGACATAGAGGTTGCCGTACTCAAAAGGCTTATCTATCTCTCTTTGTGTGTTGTTCTACAAAGTGCCTGCATTTGGAACTGGTATCAGACCTATCCACTTCTGCCTTTCTTGCGTCATTGCGTCGCTTCATCAGTCGACGTGGTAGATGCTCCAAACTGCACAGTGATAACGGTACCAACTACGTTGGTGCAGCTCGATACTTAGCAGATTGCATGGCTAAAGCAGCCGCTGATGAATTGATCGAGTGGCAATTTTTCCCTCCTTCAGCGCCTCACTTTGGTGGGTTACACGAAGCTGGCATTAAAAGCGTCAAAACCCACATTACTAAAATCATAGGGGAACAATTACTTACCTATGAAGAATTTTACACATTTCTCACTCAAGTTGAGGCCGTACTCAACTCTAGACCACTTTGCGCTATGAGTAGTGATCCCAACGATCTATCCAGTTTAACACCAGGTCATTTTCTCTCCTTAGCTCCTTTATAAGCTATTCCCGATCACGACCTCACTTGTGTTCCTATGAATAGACTTGATAGGTGGCAGTTACTGACCAAAATGCATCAATCATTTTGGAAAAGATGGCATATGGAATATCTTCATTCTTTACAACAGAGAGCTAAATGGGATAAAGATACCACTCTTATCACGCCGGGTACTCTAGTTGTACTGAAGGAGGATAATTTACCTCCCCTCCAGTGGAGACTGGGACGGATTGATTCCATTCACCCTGGTGCTGACGGTGTTCCACGAGTAGTCACTGTCAGAACCCAAAACGGTTTAATCAAACGACCGGTTATTAAGGTATGTCCTCTGCCGGCCAATTAATCACAATTGATAAACTTTAATATTAGCATATTTTGCTTATTTTCTTTTTTTTGTTGTTTTTTGAAATACCGTTGTATTTGGTGGGCGGTATGTTCAGTTTTGGTTATTTATTTTGTATACTGACACTAAATATTAATTCATTACCTGGGTTTTCTATATTGATTTCTTTATGATTCGGGGTTAATCGAATACATTTATCAATTTTTATTTTAATTTAATTTTTTATATACTTTATGGTAAAAAACGCGTGTCATTTCACCGCGATAATATGAGCCCTCGGGTTTTGTTTGGCCGAATTACCGCGCATAGTTTTCGCGTGTTTGCGATTGGTAACCCCCACTACATTGCTGCAATGGACATGGTGTGGAAAAAGAAAATCCGAGAGGCCTCGGGGGTCTTACACTAGAGTGCACATAAGGTAGGCCGTTTATTTTATAATTCGAGGGTTTATCCGTAGTTTTGTTTTGTTTGTGATCAAATTTTAAATTAAGAATTTATTTCGATGAACTTGTATACTATTATTCCACACGTGGCTTCTAAAAGGAAGTCTAGGAAACATTGAGTCTCTTACACTGCCAAAATCCATTTTTTGTGAGTGTAAATTCTTTTATTCATATTTTGGGTTATTGGAATCTTATTTGACAATTTTTTTTTGTGAGTGTGCCAAAAAGCCCCACTTCTGAGAAGGTAAACGAACGCAATCACGTTTCTTAAAGCTACATTAAAAACTTTTTAACGACTAAAAGTTTACTAAAATGCGTTAATCCTTTTTAGAGGTATAGACATTTATTTAAGAAAATGTTCTAACCCCCCCCCCAAAGCTGTCCTTTCAAACAGTGCATCTTTAAAATAGCACTCTGTAAGTATGGTTAACATTAGAAATTTTTGTAGAAACCGAAATTTATCTTCAAGATAATAATTACGCCCTCACCACTGTGCTTACAGAAATAGATTAAAGAGGATTGGATAAAAACTATTTTAATTTTTCTCACCTTGCTTACTCACTGCAACTATGGTTAACGTTAGAATTTTTTGTAGAACCGGAGCTTTAAAGTTTAAAGTGTTGTTTTCTCAAAAACTCGAAAATAATTTCTAGCCTTTTCTCTTTGCCGATTGACTTTTTTTTTTCAAATTTGTAGGACCGCCCATGTCCCTAATATCGTACCTCGTTCCCCTTAGTGTGACATCTGGTATATGTTATACCACTCTTACCAACATAATGTCAGCCAAATTTGAACACAATAACGAATACCCTCCAGCTGACGCCCCGATAACCAAATGGGGATGAAGACACGCTGCTCCTAGAACACCTGTGATACCTCCCAAAATGTACAAAGCAAGTATCCGTACTGCCCCCTAGAACATATTCGAAATTAAAGTCTGTTCACTTAATTCGTAAAATAAAATAGTGTTTTAACAATAATATTTTTAATTTTTTAGAGATAAGCGTTATAAACTAAGTAGTTTGTGACAATAAATTCGGTATTTTTTTCTAGCGAATTGATATTTCTCACGTGCCCGATTAGCTGAAAGCGATAGATGAGCTCGTCTAGGAAAATAAACTGTAGTTTATTTGACCATTTTCAAAGTTACAAGTTCTTAGCTTTAACAGTAACCTCAATTTTTTTCACAATGTCGGCGAAATCGTACCGCAAACACTCTTCCTTCGAAATGTCATTCAAGACTTTGCATTACACTTAACATATGCAACAATCTCTTCAATATTAATATAGTACCCATGTAAAGCGTGTTAGCACGAATTTGTTTAGACCTTTTGGGTACTTAGTACTATATTTTCCTGTATTTTTTTATGCTTCATTCCAGACATTTTGTAGATGTATACATACAGTGTGTCTGCGAACGGGATCCCCTAGGGCAAAACAAATCTGTATTATTCATTTTACGACCAAGTCATTCGTTATAAAATGAACTGTTTGTTGAGAAAATAAATTCACGATAAAAAAAGTTGGATCAGATATACAGATATACCATTGTTTATTATTTAGAAATATATATAAAACAATTTTTTTATAAGCTAGCATAAACACTAAATACAAATTTAAAAAAAGATATTTTTAAATAAAATATTAATAACACAGGTCTGCAGTGATTTTGATGTTTGAAAGCTGTTTGCTTATTTGTATATTTTTTGGGGGCCCTCTTTCCAAAAAGCGCCATATTTTTTCTCTATCACGTCATTTATACCGCTCATACCTCAAAACATGTTTGTTCGATAATTTTGATGAACTAACTTTTATGAAATTAAATGTGATTTAATAACAATTGGTTGGTTCAGACAATTAGTGTAGAAGCGTAACCTGCTTATGGGCAGTTTGTATTGGTTCTCGTGCTACGGTGTTCTAGTGGTCTAGAATATGGAAAGAAGACATTGAGACAGACATTAGACTCAAACAGAGTGACACTCTAGAAGAAGCCATACACCTTGTAGCAAAAATGTATTAAGTGTTGATCTCAAACCTACGGGGGCTACAAAAAAAATTTAAATTCAAAAGTTGTTTTTATTAAAATAACCTTTACTTAACAAAGTTACATTTTTTTAAATAGAACACCCTATATTTTATTGTATTTTTGGATAGTCCTTTCAAAGATAAATTCAACGATATATATGAGTATGGATCTGTGATGCACCGTTTCGAATTTATTAACGATAATCTTCAGAATTCGGGGAAAAAAACTTAAAAAAAAAATTAATATTCTTAATAATATAGACCACAGGTCTTTAAAAAATATTTAGAAACCTGCCTGTTGAAAGACGTAAACACAAAATTGATGATATTAATTTTGACCTCTTTGACATAATCATCGCAGTAGCTTTGAAAACAATAGTAGTTCTCTGTTGTGGTTTATTTTATTAAGTTGGATTTTTGTTGAGTTTATTTTGTATAATGTATACGAAGGAGGAAAAAGGTGACCTATTATAACAACAGTCTCGGCTATTGCTCTCAGACAATATAGAGCCAAAATATTTGCCAAAATATATCAGCAGTTTCGAACAAATGCCAGGGTTTTAATGAAAAAAAGTAGGAGCCGAACGGTTTTGGATGAAAATATGCAGCTAGATATTCTTTCTGTATTTTGAAAATACTCCAAAGACCTCCACCATCCTTGCCGCCACAGATGTAGATATAAGACGAACCACACTTCAAACATGCTTAAAAATTAACAGATAGCAATTTTTTAGATAACATATTTCAAAATATAATTTAGACCGATGAATTTAGTTTTATTTATTTAGAAGTTATTTAATAGAAAAAATACGCATTATTGGAGTTCAGAAAATAAAAAATGTGTTGTGAACTAAACAAGCAGGGGCGAAGATCCATGAAAGTCTGGTGAGCAATCTGGAGATTTAGGATTTTAGGACCCATGTTTAACCAACAAAATTCAACATCCGTACGATACTTAAACTTATTAAACAATGAAATTCGGCAACTTATACATAATAATATTCACCAAAAAGAGCATCCAATTTTAATTTGACAGCAAGATGGCGCTCTTTACCATCGAAGTGCTGCAATCATTCGTTTTATAAACGAAAATTTCAATTTCAAATCTTCTGGCCAATGAGGAGTCCCAGATTTGACCCCGATGGAGCTTTTCTTGTGGAGCACATTGAAATATTTGCTTTACAAAGATAAACCGTCAACAGTTTTGAAAGTGCAGCAACGAGTTTGCGCGGCAATACACTATCTGAATAAAACGAATTACGTCTCAAATGCCACATACCATTTAGAAATAGCATATATTACTTGTATTCTTCAAAATCTTCAAAACGGTGGACATATTGTAAAACTAATTTAATTAATTTTACTTGTAAGTAAAATACATTAGTAGTTAGTAGACATTTAAACTTAGAAATAAGTAATTTGCGAAATTTGGCAACATTGTGAAAAGCTTAATATTCTGTTTTTAATATGACTTCTTAACAATGCTCTAAAGCGGTTGTGAACAAGTTGATAAGGAGCTAATTCCCATATTCAGATCTTAATAATTTAAATCTTATACCCCGTTTTTAATTTCCAATGCAATAATATACAGGGTGTCTTATTAAAATAAACTGAGAAAAGTATTATTTAGCGAAACGTGGGAACACTGCGAATTTTAAGAAAATATTTTAAATTTGTTCATTGCCTAAAGAAAAGCATTATTTTCGTAAAAATAATAGATGGAAAAAAGTTGAAAAAGTTAATAAGCAACCCGAATTCTGAAGATGATCGCTAATAAGTTCGAAACGGTGCATCACAGGTCTATACTCATATATATCGTTGAATTTTTCTTTGATAGGATTATCCAAAAATGCAATAAAATGTAATGTGTTGTGTTACCATCCTGTATATAAAAAAGTGATTAGGTAATTTAAAAAAAAGATCATATTGATTACTTTTGTATTAAAATTTTCTTTGTAACCCCCGTAGGTTTCGAGATAAGGTATAGGCCCCTTTTAAACGGGCCACCCTAATACATTATATATTAAAATTTCCTTTTATATGTTAGGTAAAACAGATACTATGTATAGCAACTGTAACACTATTCCGTTTGTATTTTGGTTTATTGTAAGACCGTATATTGTAAATTAAAAAAATATATGTCCACGAATATGACTTACTTGCCGTTTTTCCAGTAAACTTGCAAATATGCACTGGATGACGATATTTAAGGTGAGGTGTGACCAATCATCGTGGATGAGCATGTACGTCATAAATCTCCATGCTTCGTAGGGGCGGTTGGGATCATATATTAAGACTTTGGTAATTTTCTTCGTCGAATAAACGTGAAAAAATATCTGCAATGAGGTTAGACCTGTTTTACGCACGAAAATAAGAGATATTTGTATAAGCACTAATATGTATATAGGTGTTACATAGACAGGGCGTTTCAAAAAACGCTCAAATAATTTTTAGGCTAATTAAAATAGTAAGAAGTAGACGAGAATCGCTAAAGAAGTGCCACTTATTTCGCTCACAAACTTTTTAATGAGGATATTTTTAGTTTTGTGGACAAAACTATATTTTCTCTTCGGAACGGGCCTGATCCACACTCCGCACTCAATGCACGGTATTGGGCTAAAGGAGTTTCTGAGCTTCTATTGGAGGGGCGGCATTCTGGACGCCCTCTAGAGCGATCTGGGGGCACAACCGGCCCATCGGGTGGCCTAAGTGCATGGACGCCCGCGGGGGCGCCCTCTTTAATAGCAATACCAATTGGGATATTTTTAGTTCAGTTAGTTAGTTAGCATTTTGTTCAAAGTAAAAAAAAACTGGTTTTACAGTTATTTAAGTAATTTTCATATGTGAAAATCGAACTATCACAGGGAATAATGATTTGTTTGAGAAACAACTATGGGAAAATTACGTAAAATACTGTACATTTTATCAGGAGTAACTTTCAATCGACTATATTTGTGGTCTAAATTTCATTTAAATGTTTTAAACCATTTCAGAAATAATGAAAAATTTTTGGATCCTTTTTACAAGGAGACGTTTTCGCGTTCATTTCACATTAATCAAACTGCCATTATTTTTAATAAATTATTATTATTTATTATTTAGAATTATTTATCCCAGAAATAAGCAGCGTTCAACGAATCAACATTTCGTTCATTCGATAATTTAAATATGGCTGTTATTGAATATTTTTACAAAATTTCTGAGGTTCTAATCTATGCTAAGATTTCTTGATGAGATTCACTTTTATTGATAGGGTTCAAACTCAACCCAGCATACAACACGAACTGATAGGGATAATAAAGAATTCAAAAGAATGGTTCGTCTATTTCATGAATATTTGAATTGACAAGTTAGAATACGTCATAAAGACGAGATCATTTTAAACCAGTCTATGGTTTCTTGTTTTCTCTAAGATGAAGTTGAAGTCATCGTGAATGATAGCTTGCGTTAACCACAACCACTACTGAATCTACCGAAAAATATTTTATCATTTGATTCATTATCATCAAGTTAGCCTTCAGAATCATCCGAATTCATGTAGTCACGGAGATCTCCCTATGGCACAACTGAAAGGTTGGCAAACTCCTCTTCCTGGCTAAAATATACTTACTATATGCTACTATAACTATGTTCTTTTTCCCTCTTATAAAGGAATGAGACCAAAGGAAGAAGGAGAATTCTCAACTAATTTTTAAACTTAAATGTGGTTTAAAATTTTTTGGAATGTCCTTTTGTCAGAGAAGTTAGGTAACAGCCTGTATATCAGGTAAGATGGTCAGCGATCATAAATGACAACATAGCCTATTTAGAAGATTAAAACTAACCAAAACGATATGAAACCAATACAAATATATGAGCCGTCCCACAATAGATCATGTCCTTTATAAGAGTGAGAAATACGACAAAAAGGATTATATTATATATTTATTTTTATTCTTATACTATGAGCTTACCTGAATAATACTAACGTTTACAATTGCTAGTGGAATGTTTTCAAGGTTGTACCATTTTGTAGTTTTTTTCTCTGCAGACCTTTTCGTCAAACACTTTTTGGAACACAGAGCACCAAATATTTGGGTCGTGTTCAAACTATATTCACAATTCAATAGTACTTCTTTGTTCATGTTACAAGTTAAACTATAATTACAAAAATTTAATTGAGTATTTTTAAACTTACATATACGAATTCGGTTAAAAAAAGAATAAAAACTTATCAGTCATAATATGAAAAGGAATATTATTCATTTTGGAAGTTCTTGGACGAAATTATTTTGTGATTTCTGATAAGTTATCTCATTACGTAGGTACTATTTAAAATTAATAATAATAAACTAACACAAACAAACAAAACTAAATGTGGTCGTATTGTACTTAATGTTCTTGCTCCAACTAAAATAGAGAAAGCATCTACGTGCATATAGCACCGTCACCAAACTATGGAAACGTATTTTTTGAAACGCTATCGGCTGACGACTAAAAACTACATCCGTGTCCCGTTACAATAATTGATACTCCTACATTCATTGAGCCGTGTGTGAGTGATAAAATTAACACGCCATTAGAGAATAGAAATAATTGGCACAAGACCGTAATATACCCAGTTTAGCGTAATGTTTATGGGATGTGCGTTTTGTGGGATAAACATGATTCTTTTTTAAGATTTAAGAGATCTAAAATGTTGCCGAATGTTGGAAAGACATAAGATTGAGTCATTCAGTTCAGATAATAAACCGACCCAAAAGTCATCGTTATGAACTCTGTTGTTTACAAAGCCCTAAAACCAGCTCAACCCGAATCCCTGTACCCAGAAATAAAACGTCCAACACCTGCTCCTCTCTCAAATAATTACCACATTAGACATATTAAAATAACGTTATGGATTTGCAAACACCGATTGTGGCATTTTTAATGTCTTCAGGGAGGCAATTTTTCCAGTTGTTCTGAAGAAGACACTTGTAAGTTCAATATATCAAAAGAACGATACATTTATTTTACGCCATAACACTTTGCTGTTTGTTGAACAAGCATATTTTGAATTTTTATGTTTAAATTGGTCTTGATGAACACCTCATTAGTTTTTGTCCTCAACAAACAAAACTTGTGATTTTGCGAAATATGGAGAGTGCCAATATTGAATGACATGAGAAGTGGGTAGTGGCCAGCGTATTGCTTTCATTGAGCTGTCTGAATGCATTCACTCATATGTGGGATGTAAATTGAAAATAATAAGGGACCTAGAATAGAGCCTTGATTTATACCCGCGGGCACTCTAATGTAATTTGACCTCTCAATTTTATTAGCCGCGATATTGTATGTGATTCTCATAAATTTTGATTACACTAGATGAAAATCTAAAGTTTGACTAGCAGTAAAGGATGGCGCACGACTAACGCTTTGCTAAAGTCCAGGAGGACGAGAAGTGTATTGTCATTTGTATCGCGGTTATGCTTGATTTTTTTTAAATGTGTAGATGCGCTATAACATCGACGAAAGCGAGATTGATTACTTTGAAATTTGTTGTTTGAAGTAACAAGATGGTAAATTTGGTCGAACATATGTTTTTCGACAATTTTCTAAAACGCAAGGAGAATACTAATTGGTCTGATATCCTTCTTTGAATCTGAAACTTTGCCAATGGCTTAATTATAGACCAATTCCCAATATTGGGAAACGCAGCTATTTCCTATATTCATCAAATGATCTATATTAAATGGCAAGAATAACTTCAAATCTCGTACAGAGATTTAATTATCACCCATATCATTAGTTTTAATTTCGTTAATATATTTTTTTACATCACTTATGTCACAGAGTCAAAAATTAAACTCCGGCATCTTTTCTGACTGTAATTCTAATTGTAATTGTAATACTGGATACTCTCTTGCTAGACTGAGTCGGTAATATTTATTAAGTTGATGAGCGTTTAACAAATTTTCTGCCAATTTTTTAGTCTTGTTTTTAATTAAGTTAAGATGACTGGCACTTTTCCAAAATTCGTTATCTTTTTTATTTAAAATGTAATTAAAATAAGCTAATTTTTCTCGTATTATGGCGTGTTTTGTATAATTTCTGAGTTGTTTATACTAAAGAAGACGCTTGCTCTTAGTTTTTCCCAAAAATTATGAAAACGCTTACATTAGAGTTATTAACTTTCTAAGTAAGTTTAGAACAAATACAAGAACGACAGCTAAAATCAGCACGTTGAAAGAATGATCAAAGAACGGATTCCCAAACAAATAATGAAGTGGATGCCAACATTGCCAACAAAAAGAAAAAAAAGGTAGACCAAAACAATAGGTGGATAAGACGAATAGTCATGTCCATCATATTTTTTTCTTGTGCATTCTTGTAGTAAATATAAAATATCAAAAAGTTGATGGCCACACCAATTTCCTTTTTTTTTAAATAAAGCACCATTTTTTAACTCCATTTTCGAATTCTTCGTCAAGCAAGCAAAAGAATAAAATGCACAAATTTTGAAATAAACAAGTAAAGTTCTTAAATTGTCACCACTACATTTCCATCAATTCAGTAAAGAAAGTGTATATGGCGCATATAAAGACAAAACGAGAACTTAAGAAGAGTTTGTAATTTGTTTAACGCAAAATATCCAGAAAGACCCATTACAAGATCCGCAGCGAGTAAAATTGATAGAAAATTTATAGAAACAGGACTTGTCAAAGAAATTATTGTATTAGATGTTGAAAATACCCAACATTAATTTCTTGACAATATGCTCTTCGGTTTAAAAACCCTTCTAAAACATTAATTTTGTGTTTTTTTTCTTATACACTGTTGATTTTAAAGATTCATACTTAAATTGAATCTTAAACACGAAAATAGATAGAACAATAAAATATTAGGGAAGTATTACTATTATAAAAACACACTTACTTTAATTAATTAAAAATTAAATGACAGTGAAAATAAAATATTTTAATAGACAGATTTATTAGAAACTTTTTTGTTTCCAGCAATTTTTCCATTAAACGTACAATTTCCAAATAAAAAAATTAAATATAATTTCACTGGGTCCTGTCAAATAGTTGTATTTTATACCGACATTTATCAATTACCTTATTAATTAATATTTAAAAAATAATTTAATTATTAACATTTCTGAAACTGAAAAGAAATATTGATTGAACCCAAATATAAACACAACAAATAAACAACACCCTCAGAAAAAACAAAAATACAGATTTTATTGTAAGTTTTGGAAATGACTGGCTGGCGACATACTATATCTCCACATCATTGAGTCCCCAATACGCTGGAATATTCCTGGATTATTTCTTATAACATTACAAGGCACTATATATATATATATATATATATATATATATATATATATATATATATATATATATATATATATATATATATATATATATATATATATATATATATATATATATATATATATAACTGTTGTTTTTTTAATATCCTACATTCCTTGATGCATCCGTATTTAATTCTGCTTCAATTTTTCTGGTACTTGTCTCCGGGTGTTCGAACTTCACCATGTAAGCCTTTTTTCGAAACTTCCAGATTCGTATCGCCCCTGAGGAAGCCTGATAAACAAGCTGCGATGAGGAGATCTACGAATTTCGGTTTGTACGCTCGTACATAAAATGCGTACATGAATTAAATCTCTTATTATTGAAGAATGGAATTATTAGGTAATAATTTTCTTGAATAAATCCATCGTATTTTGTAATCAAACTAACTGAGCGATTTCAAATTAATCAAATGCCGTTATGTATTGCTTTAGATATGTTTCATTTTATATTTAAAAATAGGTATGAAGGTCGTAATTAGTTTTTGGCGGACGGTCCGTCAAAACCCAAGACAATATACTTTGAGACACACCATACCGACTTGCATTTGCCTTTGACTGTAAAACAACCATTTCACTTTAAATAATTATTTAAATATTTCCGCCGTAGCTCTTCATTCTCTTCTTTTCGAATGACGAATGCGTCTAAATCGACATTACCTTCCCTTCACATAGTAATGATTTCAATCAAAATAGCCGAATCTCAGACGAAAGCATGTCGAAGTCGATGACATTGTTGAGAATAAAGCTTTATATCGCAGTCCACCACTACTACTCTATTTTAAGGTTTTATAATAATTATGATAAACGTAACTTTCTAATACTAAATTTATTAACAACGTATTTATCGGTACGAATAAAAGATTTGAGTTGAAATTTGATATTAGACATTTCTTAAAGTATCTGAATGTTACCTTTCGATAGCAAAAATTTACATAATCATAAATATTTTAAACAATCACCCAGAGAAGTTAATATCTGCCTATCAAAAAATCCAAAAAATAACTTAAAACAATTTTTGTCTAACAATGTTTTCCTTTGTGTGCAGTTAAATCAAAGTAATTTCCCTCCCGCACAAAAAAAAATATAACATGTAACGACAGCTCTGTTAATTAATAATAATAATAAGAAGAAGAAGACGTTTATTAACTCAAAGTATCAACAAAAAGTTAGTTATATCTAAAGAACATTTTTTTTAAATAGCGTTTGAAGCAGTTTTTGCCTTTGCCCAAAATTCCGTCTACATGGCGGCAAGAGGGAAAAGAGAGCCAGGAGCGAAACGCCTATGCTGTTTCTTAATGCTATATGGTTATAAATCATTATTGAACTGTAAAATTGAATGGTATTAACCGTGTTCCATAGGCGTAGTATTGTACCCATGATGATGGTCTCGAGAGTGGCAGATTGACGTACGTTGAAATTAGAATTATAGTGACTTTCCGGCAATTGTTGGCAAAGTTCGTTCTTAAAATGGCTAGCGTCTCTGAGAAACGGATTTATTATTATATTACCAGTTGTAACAAATTTGCGGACGGACATGTTATGACGCGAGTGTTGCATTTTACTCCTATCGCGAAAAAATTGTTTTTAAAAGTATTTAAAACTGAAGATCCGCGCATTCAGGTCACATGGGTCCACGTTTCGAGATGGGTTTCTGTGAAAAACTAGGGGGAAAGTTGACCGACGCTTGAGTAGGAGATGTAACCGATCTTATATAAGATGCAGATTGAAATTCACTGGCGGAATTGCTTCGTGTTGTGTCTTTGTTTTATTGGCCTCGTTGAAGGTAAGTTTTTTTTGTAGTTAATAGTGAAAGCGACCCGTCGACAACGCGCATCATCTTCTTTGTGGTAATTATGGGCACTCTAAATATCAGCAAACAAACGCTTTGTAATTTGGTGACCGAATAATAATGATATAGTAAGAGTAATAACAAAACGACACTGTGCAAATGTATAATACGAAAAATCAAAAACATTTTTTTTTTAAATATGATAATAATATTAGAAAAATAATATTATATCGATGTAGTCTTTCGCTGAACTTGTATCCCAATTTTAAATATAATTTAAAATAAACACAAATAACGAAGATATACAAAAGAGCATTCATAATTGATTATTTAAACAGGGGGGGTTGGATATAGCTAGACGCGTTACCTAAAGCTCTTAATATAGCATTTATTAATTTGTGTAGTAATAAACAGCTTATTATGAGTTTTGAGTTTTTCAATTATTGAAATGAATAGGATTGAAAAATTCATTAAAACAACGTTGTAGACTTATGGAATGTTTCACGAATTAACTATAGAGGGTGTCCGGAAGCGATAAGCAAAAAATTTAAGAGCTGATTCTAGTTCATATGTTTTTTTTTTAATCAAAAATAAAATAAAATTATCAAAAACAATTTTTTAATGAATTTTCTTTAATAAGTAATATATAATTACAATACAATATTGGAATCAGTCAAAGCAAGGATAACCCAACTCTTATTGATGAATCCGGAACCACTGAACAGCATTTCATTAGAAAGAAGTTTCTAAACTCACTTAATTTAAACGTGTTGTACTAAAGAGGGATGTTTTTATATAGGCGATACATTCAGCAGGTGAAACTTCCCTGAAACATACATACGTTATGAATGTCAGTGCTGTAGATTATTTTATTTGCTAAATGCGGTGGACAATTGGTTGTTATGCGTGCGAAAGAACATTATAAAGTGAAATTGCCTTCTTTGCTCTATAGTAATCCTTTTCTGAGAATAAGATATAATTTGGTGTTTTTTAATCCGATAAGCAGAACGAGGATAGGATTTCTGTACTTTCTGTGGATATGGCAATATATCATATCACAGTAGTTGAAATTGCTTGCAACGTAAGAACCTGAACGGAGAAGTTTCTGATTTGTATAATACAAAATAACAACGATAATGAGCTAAATTTACAGTTAATCCGCAGACTAGAGAGAAAGTTATTAAGCAAAATTAATTAACTTTTTAAAAAATTTATATATAAGCGTGTGATTTCTTAAACAATTTTAAGAAAAAAGTTATATTAATGTGGGTCCTCAATCGCTTTATTTTTTATATACATAAAACAAAGATGTTTCCTCATTTAGGTATTTTGAAATCGTAATTTAACATTAATTTACCCATGTGAATATTGTTTCTATGCATTGTGGGTCTCTACCAAAGCTATAGCGCACCTACATTGATAGATAGATAGATAGATAGATAATAGTTCATTTCCTCCAAATAATGACAGTTAACAAAACAAAAACACAGCCCAGTGACATAGAACATAGTCTAAAGTAGTCTAAACTAACAATAGAAATAAATCTTTAAAAAATAAAAAAATGTAAAACATCTCCAAATGGTCATCTGTATATACAAATACATATACACATACGTACTTATATATTAGAAGCAATACATGAAACATGTTAATTTTTATTTACTGTTATCGCTAAAGATTTTTTCATTCATTGAATGAAATGCCTTTTGCAAAATATAGGTGTGCTTTTCGCTTCTTTCTCAATCGTGTGAACAATTTCTGCAAAACTATTATAGATTGTATAGTCATGTTTATGTTTATGAGTCAATAAACAGACCTCTCTGCTTAAATACAAAAAGAATTCAGTACATATACATGTTAACAAGTATCAGATAATTATTTTCCATAAAAGCAGTCCTACATCTATCGCGATAGCTGATTTCAAAGATATTACACTTTTTTGTAGAAGCAAAATTTTGCCAAAATCAGAAGAAGTGCCCCAAAAGAGAATTCCATATTTAAGTCTAAGCGCTGCTGCTCACATTCAATGCATAGCAATATTTAGCTAAGCCGACCACCACTTTTCGGATATATTAAGTACAAATTAAGTGTTCATTTCTATGCCATTATATGAAAATATTAGGGACTGGACTATACGGTTGCCAAACACAAGGCATTGTACAGACATAAGTACAGATCGAGAGCATCAAAAGCCTGTGTTTTATCAGTACATTCAAGTTATACTACAGAGTTCATTTGTGTGCCTAATATAGATAATAATATAATAATAAGAATCTGTCTTAACTACGATTTTCCAATTACCATGCATAATGCAAGTCGATCATTTATAGTTTTTTAAAAAATTTTGCTGATGTTAAAATCATCTAAGGAACCACACCCTTAAGGATCAGCACCCGCGACGTATTATGACTACCATACTACTTTATGAACTACCATACTGCTTGATTAGGTTAAAATTAAGTTTTTTAATTTATCCGCTTAAATTTTCAACTGCTTTGTAGGCAAACTAATTGTGAGAATTGACTAAATATTATGCGTTGCATAATCGCATCGTGTTAAAATAATTTGACGGGAAAGTGACTGTATAATTAATTCGTGCCTGTTTTGAATATAGGTGCACAATAAGAATGAAGTGGGCAATATTTACAACGTTGACGGTTATCGCAGTGGCAGCGGCGTTTCCTCAGAAAGAAGGCGGAGCTTATACGAACGAGGCAATTAGGCAAGCTCAGAACACTTTCTTGATTCCCAAGGATGCGCAAATCCAAAAGGTATGTATCCGAATACAAATAATATACTTCAATTTTATTTCATGAAATTCTCAAGTAACAGGGCGTCGAGATAAGGTTACCTACCCCCCTAACTCAGAAATTAAAATCGAAGTTGCTTAGATACATTTCGGTTTTCACTTTTTAATTTTCATATATACAGGGCGTTCCATTCATCTGGGGTAAATACCAGCCTCATTTTAAATTGAAGAGTATAATGTCATATACCTAAGCCTAATCGTTTCCGACAAATCTTTAATTTTTTCTCAAAAATGATGTTTGCAAGCCCTAAAATAACTCATAATTTTTCCCATAAACGAGTTTTCATTAGCAAAAAATAAAGTACAAATATTAAATTATAAAACACGTAATAATATATTTACATGTCAGTTTAACACGAGTTCTAGGTCGTTGATTTAATATTTAATTTTTTCCATTAAAACCCAGAGTGTATTCTGAAAACGAAACATTGCATCTATAGAATTATTATATTGAAAATAACAAAAATATCGCTTTAATCACAATCACTAGTTGACTATTTAAAATTCTTCGAGTTAAATATTTTTTGTGGAGTTTTAAAGTACTAATTAGTCGGATCAAGATAAATACAAAAAAACGCTAGGAAAAGTTTCAAGTAATTTAATTTCCAATTACGAATAACAAATACACTAGGTATCTACTATAATTCACTTAGAACCTTTTAACTTACCCGCTGATGTGTTCGTTTCTTTGGGTGTGACTCCACACTTTGTTGAATTTCTTTCGCTTCCATTTCATTCATTTCAACTCGAATTGGACACATGTATCCTTCTTTAGTTTATGTTTTTATGGGGAGCAAGTTTTTAATTTTTTCATTTATTTCTTTTTATGTACTACGAAAAAGATCTGGATTTTCCTTTTTGAACAAAAACTTAATCGATGTACAGTACAGGGTTGACGAAGGTCCATCGATAAATATTATCAGTTTCCTTATCTCCTAACCTAAGTGTACATTAGTTAGAGTCAACATTTTTTCAGAAATCGACTATTTGCCCATCTGCAACTAAAAATTAACATTACTTTCTTACTTGCAGCACACGGCAATTTTTTTTCATAATTTCTGATTTTTTTTTTGATTGATTTTTTTAAAAGGTAAAAAAATCGAATTTAATAAAAAAAGCATAAAATATGGGAAGACTAGAACAATATGAAAAAGAAAAACACAACTTATAAGGTAGATTGGATCTAATAACATGAACTATTTACCATTTGAGCAGAAATATCAAAATCAGAGTATGAAAACTGTAATGTTTAAAATCTGGTTGACGGTAAATTTGGTCTATTGGACACCAGATTGTGAAACTAAGAAATGTACCTGAACATATTAAAGCAGAACTTAAAACTACTTTACTAACATACCTGAGGCACAAGGCACATGTTACGGCTTCTTTATCTATATCCAGAAACAATGAAAACACCATTCCAGTCGCTCGATATCAATGCTATTGAAAATATTTGGAAAAAGCTATCGGAATGCGCAATATCCAACATCGTCAATCTAAAGAAAGTTATACTTACTTACATTAACACTGAAATGCGTCTTAAAAGTCAAAGAAGTATTAAAAAGATATGAAAATATAAAATATCTATTTTAGAATGCGATTTATTTTTTATTAACAATATTGTTTTCTTAATTATGTTTATGCGAATCAAAACATTTAAATCAACTTTTGTACTACCTACTCAATAAAAAAATATATAACGGTTTTGTTTATTTACTGGTGTATGAGTTTCACTTTGACTCACTGTATTTATGTAATATTAAAGCAGCGAGCTGAAAACAATAGAATTTAATACGTGCAATAAATTTAACGTAATAATAGAGATTTCCTTTTCAGCTTAAACACTACGATCGCCAGATCTAGGCTATTTATATTTGCGTAAATATGTTACGTAAGTGATCCCATAACTTAGCAAAAATTTCCATAGAGACTTATACTAGTCAATTTTAAGTCTCGAAAAATAAATTTCCCAGAAAAGAAAACTGATTTCAGCTAAACCGAAGTGGGGTCTACAACCGCAATACATTTACTTCAGGTTTTAGGCACTACTGTTATAATATCTTTTTCTCGGTCTTCTGATATCTTATTTGTAATAACATCTGCGAAAATAACTCCCATTCTGCAGACAATCTTCGACCTATTACTGTCCTAATTGTATTTTGCAAAAACTTTCAGGCTTTGGTAAAGTAAAGAATTGTATCATGTTTTGATAAACATAAAGTTTTGTAGGTTGAAAGTAACTGTCGCGATTTTGGAAGCTAGTGATATTAAAGTTATTTCCTCTGTGACCTTGTTGTACTTTTGAAAAACTTGTGATTATGTTGGCCATACGTTTCTTATATACCAACTTAAATTTTACGGTATAAGGCGTGAAAATTTAAACTTTTTTAAATCTTACCGTAACAATTTCTTTCCTTTTTAGCTTGTATATTTTAGAGACTTAACTGTTAACTCTTACTAAGTTATTACCTCCTAACACAACATATAATTAATGTACCGCAATTGTGGATTAAGTGAAGAAGTATAAATTCAACAAGATTATTATTATTATTATTATTATTATTATTAGACTTAGTTTGCAATGATAAATTTTGTATACATTACTATATAATTTTTTATTATCTCCAATATGAAATTGGAGTCTCTATGGGTCGTGAATGATAGTCTATATTATCTGTAACTACTACACAATCACCAAAAGAGTCCTTTATTTACTAGTTCAAATTAAAAACTAACTTAAAATCTAACTACAACTGCTTGCAATACGCCTAACAAGTTACTCCTTCAGAAAGAGATGCAGAAAATCTTTCAATTAACGGTACCGTTCCAGAATAAATTGTGTAATAATTTTGCAATAAATTTGAAAGAACTCTTCTTTTTTAGTTCTTTGAAACTTATTACTGGGCGCATGACATGAATCGCTCTGTTTATTGCTCAATAGTACCGTTGCGAATCAAATTTGTCAAAAAGTTCTTACGGAAGAACTTAAAATCTAAGAATATTTTATTTTCAAATTACGGATGTAAATTCAACAGCTAAAATTTCACGGAAAATTAATTGTCATGATTAGCAAATACGAAACCAACTCAAGAGTCAAAAAGACGTAAAAAATGTCAGTGGCATACATTTCTCTGACTGTTCGTTCAGGTTCCTCCCGGGACGGCACTGGTTTTTATAATTTTAATCTATAGTGTATTTCAAATATATTATGTTATTGCTAAGTAAGTATTATGTAACCATTGTCAGGACTGGGGATTTCAACTGGATAGTTCTAGGTGTGCTTTTGGCGGTAAACGTCCTGTAGCCTTCATAATATGTTTACTTTGGGTCACTTAAGGTATATCGAACTTAATGTCAATAACTGAGTAACGTTCTAAGTTATCGATAAAGCAGATTCTCCTTTTAGAATATAGTTGGCAAATTTAAGGCATTTCTTTTGAAATGTTCCAATCATTTACTTATATTTAATTAAAGAATTTTGTGAGTTCTTCCAGATTTTTTTTTTTGCATTTTTAATTAAGAATCCAAGATTTCTATTCGTATCCAATTGAATTCTTGAGGTCATGTAGTAACTGATTTAACAGTAACTTAATTCAATTTATATATTTTTTAAAATGGTAAGACCGCAGTTAGATCGACTAGTCCTTAGATAAGGATAATTGACTTAGTTTTGATTCTATTGATTTTAGTTTTAAATTTATAAGATGTCTCACAGTAGATCTGCGTTCTTGACAACTATATCGCCCCAAAAGCTTGATTTATGATGTCTTTTGCAGGTTCAAGAGGGCATCGAAATTGGAGCCTACGAAAGCATACCGGGCGACCAAAAAATCAACCTTTTCGAAATTTTGGGAGACCAATTTCCACCGGAGGTGGTCAACAATTTGCAAGGTCAAATCGACCAAGTCGGCAAAAATTAGGACCGTCTCTCGCGTTTCACGATCGAGCGATTCTCTGCGCAAAGTTTTCTAGTCTTCCGAAGATAATCGATTGTCTTTGACATATAGTGATGTAATTTTTAATTGTTGCGCGTCTCTGGTATCGCGTTTAGCTGCTTAGTCGTCTATTCTATGCTGTATTATACTTTCTTTTGCATTTTACGATGCCTGTATCGCTTTTTTCTGCGCTGTAGAAGTTCTTCCCGGAAAGAGTGCCAAACTCAGATTATTGTAAAATACAATGTTTATATTTTTGTACCTCTTGCCGTGACAATAAATAAATGAAACGTAAAAATTACTTGTCGTTATTTAAGGGCAAACCTTGTTTCCGCGAATTAAAATGAAAGCGGTTACATATATTTTGGTCACGACTACGACATTTCTTTTCGCACGAATCCGCCATATTCGGGTACAATGTATAGTGAAAGTTGACAAACCTAAAACCGACTTAAACATATATGTATAAAAGAAAACATGTCAAGGTTGCAAAATCTTCGGCTTTCGCTTTCTTTGCGATTAAGGTTTTCCGTTATAAGACGTACCGGGTGGCCACTTGGCCCTATCTCGGAAAGTAATTGTAAAGATTTGGGTCGGAAAAACTTCTGACTAAAGCGGCCAAGACAAAAAGTCATTGTAAATTCATTTTTTTGAGAAATATTCTTATATTACGAATCACTAGAATGAATACCTTTTTAAACTTTAATTTCGAGTGTTTTTAGATACATGGTTTTTGCTGTATCTCTTTTTAAGTCACCAACGCTGCTCTGAAACTTGATCATTATTTAATAATAATATGTATTTTACAATAAATTATTATGCGTTTGTGATGCCCAATTTACCAATAACACTCTTCAACGAATACCCGAATACGAAAATTCTAGAATCCGATTACGTCCCCTGTGGTGGCTATTCTAGAAAGTTTTTTCACTGCAGGTATTTACTGCCTGGACCGGGTGACTCGTCTATTATGGGGCGACACCTTATTAAAAAACCTGTCAAAAATGTCAATAATCTTATAGACAAGAATTGTTTGTTTGACTTAGACTTTCAACATATTATACAGCCTTTACAGCCAATTTCTTGGAAAAGCACAGATGGAAATAAACTATATTTCAAACATTTTCGGTAAATTATGCACAGTGTAAATTGAGCGTGACTTTTACCGTTTTTTATAGGTGCACTAAAAAGAACGATTTATTCTTGATCTAAAAGTATAACATACCATGCTGGTTTTGAATCGTTTTGCAGGTAAAAGCAAAAAAGTAGAATAATGCAATTTTTAGTAGTAAGGCATGACGATTTAGTTCGGTCGTTCAACTACACAGTATTTATCAAAGAATTTATTTCACTAATATATGTTATTTTGAAAAGGCGAATTCATATTCAAACAAAAATGTATTAACTTTTTTTATATTCAAGTTGAAGTGCAATAAGATTACAAGAACAAGCAACTCGCACTTTTATTTTACAGAAACCCCCACTTGGTTTGTTATATTAATAAATCGTTGTTGGAATATGAATTCGCCACATCCAATTACCATCAAATTCCTTAATAAATACTTCCAATTCATTCGTCAAAACATATCGCCATGGCTTTCTACTAAATAGTGATATTTGCTTAAATTGTATTATTCTAGTTTCTTTCTTTTAACCCCAAAACGGTTCAAAACAGGTATGTATGATACTTTTAGAAAGGGAGATAATTATTTTCACAATAGAAGTTCTTTGCAGAATTTTCTAAAAAATATTTTTTGTCTCCAACTTAGTCCAGAGCAGTCTAAAGCGTACCGGTGAAGAAGATATCAGTTACGCGAGTATTAATATCCATATTGTCGTTTTCCTTTACTCAATAAACAATGGGTTTATGCTGTTTAAATATGGTTTCATCATAACCTATTAACCCTAATTTTATATGTAAGCAACATAGATACATCTTTTCAAATTAAAAATATGTTTCGACACGACAAAATCAGGCCAATATATTCAGAGTGTCTCCCCTAAAAATACTTGAATCTATTATTGAGAACCGAAATAACTAATGAAGAAATTACTTCACTATATAACGGTCTTTTTTATTTTAAAACTTCGTTAGCGACTGTCCAACATTGTATTATTTATCTCAATCCAAAGATTTGATATATCAGTTACATTGTTCCGTAATAGAGATTTACCATTTAAGGAAAATTTAATGCATTACAAACATCGCATGAAATTTGTTTCGATGAGGATACGTGAGGTCACGGTAAACCTTTTTAGTTGATTGTGCTTGTGCTTTTAAGAATTAGCAAATATCCCAGACATTTTTGTATTTATTTATTGCGTTAATCAACTAATTGGTATAGTTGGAATCGAACCCACGATCTTCAGCCACTCCAGTTGGCAGCTCTAAGACCTTACCAACCGAGCCATGCTCAGTCCCCCATCACAGAATATAACTGAATAATATGTACGGGTGGTTGCCCAACGATCAAATAAATTTAGACTGGGGCTTTCAGCTTAAACTATTAATTGCAGTTTTGTAAGTAATTCTTAACCTATTTCTAATTTTAAGGTTGGAATTGGCACTTTGCTGTTGATAGCAGTTAAGACACATATTAGTATTAATAACGACTATTGGCGGCCTAATATTGAGAATGCACAATACCAATTCTATAACAAACACTAACCAAATAATTTTTTTATGGAATTAAATGAATGTAAAAACACTAAGTGTTTTTATTTCCTAACAAAAGTTCATTTGTTGTCGCTATGCGTCTTATGCATCCAATAGTTGAGGCCTAAGGCAATCTTACTTATTGTTAATAATGAACCGACACCGGCACCGACAGATTTTTCCGTCCCCAAAAACTGCAAGTACTCCAGATTTTCCTGATAAATTCCCTGCTCGAAAACAAATTCGGAACTGAATTCATCTGTGGTTAGTCTTTGGCATGGATTAAAGAAATAAAACTTAATTATTTAACTATGGCCAGAGAGCCCTCTATGAACAAACATTTAAAATTATTCGATATCTCTTTTTAGTGGGAAACGTAAAGGAAGTATGTTTATTTTCAAATCTTTAATCATCCTGGAAAATATTAATCTTTTTTCACAATATACTTTTTGTATTTTTGTAATAAATAATTTTGCTAAATTTAGGACAAATATTTTCCCCAAACTTCGTTATTCTAGAGAGTTAACCTGCTATTTCGATTTAATTTGGGGTTATGTTTAGGAGAAAACAATTTTGTTAATTTAGAAATTCAGTACCGTTCCGTTAATCATTTTAGCACAACATGGGTAAAATTATGAAACCAGGTAAAGTCGTATTAGTCCTTGGGGGCAGATACGCGGGAAGAAAGGCCATAGTAGTAAAAACCTATGACGAAGGCACAGGAGACAAACCCTATGGGCATGCCTTAGTGGCAGGCATCGATAGGTATCCCAGAAAAATCCATAAGCGTATGGGAAAGGCCAAAATGCATAAGAGATCAAAAATCAAGCCTTTTGTCAAAGTAAGCATTTTAATTTTGCCCCTTGTCACAACATATTAAAGAAGTATTTGTTGAACTAACAGTCACACTTTCTAAGTTTTAGATTTTTCTCAAATTCATGCTGCAAATGATCTTTCCTCTAATGCATTTTATTTTCAGACCCTTAATTACAATCATCTTATGCCCACCCGTTATTCAGTGACTGACCTGACAGACCTAAAAGCGGCTCCAAAAGATCTCAAAGATCCCATGAAACGGAAAAAGATCCGCTTCCAGACCCGCGTTAAATTTGAAGAAAGGTACAAGCAGGGTAAGAACAAATGGTTCTTCCAAAAATTAAGGTTTTGAGTTAAGTTTTGCTGGGCTAAGAGATATTTTTGTTTAATTTAATAAACTTGGAACTGCTATTCGTTATGTTTTTTATGCGCCAAATTATCTGGGTTTGCCTAGAATGGCCGTGTATACCATTTTTTGAATGAACATGTCAAATTAATTTATATCTGACATTTTTGAATCGGACGTGGGATTAAGATTTAACCACAATTTCACTTCCCTGACCAGTAAAGTGTGAATGGAATGATTGTAGAGACTTCCAAATTTTTGGAATTTTAATTTTATGTGACAACTCTGCAAGTTTGTACAAGGAAGGTAAGTAATTAAAAATTTAAATTTCTTCGTATTGTACTTTATATCTAGTATTTTAAACAAAACATCAAATCAAAACAACGATAAAGTAACCAAACTCTAAGAAAAATTAAATTATAGATAACATATGTATTAAATTTTGTGGTAAGCTATTTCTTTTTATTGTAAGATGTAATTAATACAGCTACTGCTAATACTAATATATTTTGTAAAATGTTGAACCTGAATTCTAACACAATTTTAGTTGCAGAACTTTTAGTCTTTTGAAATTGTAATGGAAAATCTTCAAAACTGTGTCCGCCTTCGAGAGAACCAACAACTCCAGTATAAAGATTTTGAGTGTATATTTATTATCCAGTATCTTTTTGCACATAAGCGCGTTTCCTAAATTGTTTCGTTTTCGAGATATAGAGTGCCAATTTTACATACCAAAATTTTTTTTAAAAACGTTGCACACTGTACCTCTTAAAAATACGCATTTTTATCTGTTAAAAATGCTCTGGGACACCTCCAACCACTTTCCCTCGAGAGGTAGAGCAAAAACCATTCCACAAAAAAGAACCGAATTTATCTCGTCCATAGTTATCTGCAATAAAGGATTATTTCTCGAAAAACTGGGTTTAGAATTCAAGAATGCAATCGCGCCCCTAGTGGACATCAGACAAACTTAATTTCCTGCAATTTCTCTTTGCCACTTTAGTTATAGACCCTAAGTCTTTACCAGAGTTAGTGTTCGAGATAGAAAGATCCAAATAAGTAAATAAGTGGATCAGAAACGTAGAAATATATGACACTATTCCGCCGGTTATTTATTAATAAATTTCGAGTATACCTTTAGGTAATGTATATTTGCTTTACACCAAACACAATTTCTCTAGTCCAAAGACATTTGTTGATAATAAAGGCACTTTTTTCTTCGCGACGTACAAAAATGTACATAACAATCGTTTTTAGTTATTATTGCATCAAATCTTGAACGTTAATACCGTCAACCATCACCGAAACATTTACTACGTATACATGTCACTCATATGCTTCTGATGGGCAAATAAAATTGCATAAAACTGTGTTATCTATGCTAGGCCTATAGAATGCAGAAAACAAGGTAGAAAAAAAGAAAAGATATTGGGTAAAACCAAGGAATACTGAGTACACAGATGAAAATTGGTTTGAAAATATTGGAATGAAAACTGAGTAGTTGAACCCACGCCAGTGGAAAAGAAAACTGCCATTTACAAATTGCTTCATATTGAGTTGTGGGGAACCAATCTGGAGCCCATAAGAGCGTTGTACATAAATGCTTATACAATTTTTCATTTGTTTTTATCTGGTGGTCCACTATTGTGTTTTTTACGTTTTTAAACATTTCTTCATAAACTTTTTTATAAATGTCTTGGTTCCTATATTTTCTACCATTGCAAAAGTTATTTTGTTTTAGTTTTCTCCACTAAAAATGTATAGCAGGACAAAGTTAAAACCAAACAAAATGTTTTTGAGCCACATGTATAAGTAGTAATGTATAAAGTAATAAGTAACCAAATAAAGTCGGTAGGAAAATTTCATCAAACATTTGTAATTACAAATAAAAGATACGGCAACACAGGATTTCAGTCGCAATCTTCTTCGGGAGACGCCTGTTCTAGTCCAGGACTTAATTTGGGCTTGAGTGTGTGAAAAGCTGATCCTAAACTGGGTCTAAGTTTAAAAGTGCTCGGGGGAGGGGTGAGCGCTAACTGAATACACTTTTTCCCTTCGACGGACTTAAGAAGAACCTTTTCACAACCGTCGGGTGGCTCGCGCGCTAAAAATTTATTAATCTGTGGAGACGTGCCGAATCTGGTTGTCTCACCGTCCGGGCTAGATCCTTGACTTCCTTCTGAAAACATCATTAGCTATAATGACAAAAGCTATTTTTTTGGTGACAAATATTAGAGAAAAAGTAAATCAGGCAAGATAAAATGCTGGAAATTATTTTCAAGTTTTTTAAATGGTTGCCAGGGGGCGCAACTGTTATCTTAAATTTTAAAACTATGTTTCTCCAAACACGTTTTAATAAACTTGCAGACTTTACTATGTGTGATACGTGATGCACGCGGAACTTTCTGGAATAATTGCAAAAAAACATTTCTGAAAAAAAAATGCAACGATGACTTTAAATCATTTATCCTAACCGATATTATTAAAAGTACTTAACCCTCAAAAAAGTTGGATTTTGAGAAAAATTACCACTTTACGGGTTGTTATTTATGACTAATTTTCCCGAAATTGCCAAATTAAACGCTAATTTATTATTTAGGATACCAAGTGATATTTAAAATCAAAAGATTTTTTTTATCTTTTTTTTTAAATACCTTTGAAGGACACGTTTTGATATCCTTGCCCGTTGTCAATTAATTTATCACTAGTTTTTTTCATTAATGGTTAGATTCAGTCAACTAACCAAAACTAATAAATTGTTGAAGACTAACCAATTTTAATGATTGATTTAAGTAGTAAAATGTGTATTGAAATAATCAGTATTATTCTTCATTCCTAACGCGTCGATTTCTTCTAGGCACTGAATTAAGATAAGTCTAAATAAGACAATTTTAATGCACGGTAAGCAATCAAGAAATTTTGCCAAGCATCGACTAATGACATGAATGATGAGTAGTGTTTGATCAGATAACAATATTCAAGAATATTCATCGCGATCTTATTAATATCAAATGAATTATTTCGATCAAGAGATCTTTTATTAATTAATTAATTAATTTATCTATTAAATGGTTTCCAAATGTTACTACTGAAATGCGTCAATAGTTAATAATTAATTAGAGACCGAGTTAGTGATGAAACAAAATTTTTAACGAAAAGTGCTAATACTAAACATTTAAAAACGGCTGACTATGTCAAAATGTCAAGTATGGGAATAATTTGTTGCCCTTGGAAGATATTGTAAAAAAAGTAATTAATACAGATAACATTTTATTTTGATTTTAAATATTACATATTTGGCTACGTTTATGTGGCAATAAAAGTGATATCGTTGCTTTTTCCTGGGAAAATAAATTTTATTTGTAGTGATGTTGCAAAACGCCCTCTAGCGACCATAAAAGCAATAAAAATCCATCTGCTTAGGACAGCGAGGGTAGCCCTTTTCAACGACTTCAACTTTGTTCGGCCATTCTGAAGTTATTGACATTTATCTTTCAAAAAAGTTTTAACACCACTATCTTTTTCCTTTCCTTTCTAGCTTTAACTATGAAATTTTTTAGTTGTAAAATTCAAGATTACAATTACACGCGCCCGCCCGCACACACACAAATATTTTTAAGTTAGGAATTGTTAGATAAATAAATGGTTTAACATTTCTTGAATTTTTTAATGTGATGGATTTTAATGTTTTGTGAAAATTATTACGTGAGAAATTTTTTTTCCTGAAAATTGCATGAATCTGCATTTCCAACCCTAAACTGATGTCACCACATACAATCATTAAATACATATTTTCTCTTTTCACAAAACAATAAAAACAACGTATTTCACTAATTCTTCTTTTAAAAAAGTCAGCAAGACAGAATTGAAACATATGCTAAGCATTTAAAATGTAAGATTCACCAAAATGTACTTAGTATAGACGCTTCCAACGACCGCTTCTTACCTGAAGAGTTACTGGAACTTCCCAGTCCCTGCGGAGTTTGTGTGTTTACCGAATGAGTTCTGTTACTCCTCAACAACTCTGACAATGGTGCTTTATGGCCTTCGGGTGTTGCCTGCCTTATATCAAACCTATCATTTTAGGGGATAAATACAAATCCGTATTTCACTCGATTGTAGAAAACACATTATTTTACTTTATCAAAGGGGCGATATACAATCAAGCCACTTTACTTGATTCTGAGACTTTAGGAAGTTCAAACAGAAAATGTGAAAGTCAACAACTCTTTTATTTATAAATGGATTTGGGTGTATATTTCGAATCAAACATGAATTTAAAAAAACACTTTATTAATACCGCGAGTAAAGCATACAAGTCCCTTGGCTTCTTAATAAGAAATTCAAAAAGCTTTAGCATAGAAACCCTTGTTCGACACTGAATTGTATTGCCTTGATCAAAAAGGCATGAAAAAGATTTTTACGATTTGTACACCCGAAAATATATAGAAAATAAAATATTACGTAGTATTGATATTATAAAAACACACTGCATATTTTCTAATGTTATAAAAATTAGTAGAGGGGATAGAATTAGACGACCTCAATCATTCTTTTTAATTAAATTTTAGGAAAAAATTATGCAATGACATGAGAAAAGTTAAATTTCAATAGGCGGCTTCCAAATAAAAAAATAAGATATAAAGCATTGCGCGTCGAAAAAAAAATATTTTAGTTGGTGGCTATCAAAAGTTCTAAAGAATTACATTTTAAAACACCTTAATAATAAACATTTCTGAAACTAAACCTTCTTAAAAAACATATTATTTAAGAGTAACTCAAATACAAACACAAATAATAAGTAAGACATCAAAGGCAAAAAAAAATACAATTTTATAGTGTTAAAAATGCCTGCAATATTATTGCCTAAGTTTTGCCTTAAATTTAGTTAATTTAGTCAAGTAATAGGGATGGTCTAATTTAATTAGGTTATTTAAAAAAAATCAGAAAGTGTGTTTTTATAAGGTAGGAGGTACCTTTCATTTCAGTTTTTGCACAAACTATGCAGCCCACTAGGGGACTGCCCTGCGTTGCTGAGTCTAATGAATTTTCGTGTACCTTCAAGGACTGTAACGACAACCCCTGTATTTCATCTAGTAACCCCAAAAAAACATTTTTTTAATCAAAGGTCCTGTCGATCAGTTAATGAAAGTATTTATTCGCTTTTGTAATGATCTTGACGTTTTTTTGTCTTAGTTGCTCACAGATAACCAGTTTAACTATTTTCTTACAGTGAATATATTGTATTATGTGCTTTTACTATTAATTCACTGAAGAAAATATAGTCGAATAGTTATAGTTTATAGGTGTGTAAATGAATCTGAATTTGTAAGACAGGAAATTTTATTATTATTGTAGTAATTAATACTTCTGTAATACCTTATTGTTCTTTCTATTTTCGTTTTTAAGATAAAAAATAAACACTATTTTTGCGTCATATTTGTTGCGCGATATAATGATCTCACAAAAGACTTTTGGAAATATTTAAAGTAAATAGTCTAAGTAATTGGCAAGACAAACAAAACATGCTATTTGTATATTATGGTGTGACCTTTAAAAGTATTGCGATTTCGATGTCCCTAAAATTAACTTAAGTTTCTTCAATAACAATGTATTTAGACTTGAAGTTGACAAATTATTTGACATATTTATAAAAAAATATATATACATTCTTCTGTTTACCATATTATTGCAGTAGTGGACAATAAAATGTCATAATAATAACATGGTACTTGCCTGTCGTCCTGATGTGATCCACAGCCAGTCTTTAAAACTATCCTTTCAATTTCCTGATTTAAACCTTCAACCGAGTTACGTATTGAGGATTTCGGTAAAGGTCTTAATGGTAATAATACTGAACTTCCTTCTGGTGTAGGTGACAAAATACAAGCTGGAGTAAAATGTTAATTTAATGTAAAAAAGCATCAAAAGAGGAGTTGCACCTACAAGTTAGAGTTTGGGAACTGGAGTGTAACATGTTTTCGCTAGGAGAGATATGTCTATTGGTTTCTTTGTTTCCCCATATTTTCGACCTGACATGAATTTTGGCCTCCAAGTCCGATATGTTATGCACTTTCCTTTTATCGGACCATTCATTTTCGTCAGTCTTAAACAAATAAATTCCCATTGTATTAGATATTACTGTACATACATGGGTGCCCAATTAAAAATGGCACTAGGCCCTATTTTGAAAAGTAATTGTCTTACAGGCTTAGTGTGAAGAAATTTATTTCTAAAGAGGCCAAGGGACAATGCTAACACACCAGTGAAAACTTCATTTGGATATTTTCTCCTAACCTATAATAAAAGCCGCTATAAAAACAAAATAATGTCACCATCATTAGGGATATTCTCAGAGTACCTACCATTATTAAATACTAATATTCGTTCCTTTCGTTAAATATATATAGATATAGAGTTAAAACGCCAACATTATATTTAAAATATAAATAATAATTAATTCTGATATGATTGAAATATTGCAATAGAATATATTACAAAGCGATAAACAATAGTACAGATAAAACAGTAAGATCTTTGTGTTTTAATGCAGAATGCACAAATTCTAACAGAGACAGTTAGGTTTTCAATTTTTTGAAAATAAAAAAGAAACATATCACTTCAACAAGTAGCAAAGGCACTTTTTTACAAACAGGACCATCAAAATATAAAAATAAATAACTGCGATCTTCCTATGATTGACACTCAAACACCGCTATTATAATTTTTGCTATTTTGTTTTCCAAAGCAAAAGCATTTTGAAAGATGGGCAATATTCAATAATATTGAATGAGTAATAGTTAATATCGGCATTTCAAATATAATTTTTATATTTGAATAGTAAATTTATAAATATTTTGTTAAAGAAATGAAAATTAAGATTTTAAGATTAAAGATGAGATTTTATTTCCTTTCCAGTATTATAAGTTAGGAAAAAAATATTGAAATACTGTTTTCACTAGCGTGTGTGACTCTTATTTGGCTATATTTTGTTGCAATAAGTGAGTGATATTGTTTCATTTAATGGTGGTGGTGGTGGTGGTCATACAAGATACCTAAATCAATTTGCTCAGGGCAGGGTTGATAGTCTAAAAAGAACTTTTTTAATAACTCCAAGTTTAAAAAAAAGTGCCCAGAAATTCTCAAGTTATTGACATTTCTATCTGAAAATGTTTGAACCCTCCCACCACTTTCCCTTAAAAGATAGAGCAAAAATGATATAACAAAAAAAAAAGAAATTTACCCAGCTTTGCATGGCATGAGGCCACCACTATTTCAGAACCTTAATAATAATTTCTAGCATTTTAATTGGCCACCACTACATATATTTAGAATATATTATTAGTATATACCTGTGTTGCTTTATCAATTTGTAAAGTGCCAGTGTGCCAATAGAAGTTGTCCCTAGGCCACTGACCTTTTAAATATATGGTGTCTAAAGATGCAGTCCTTCTTATAGAGTCACTTAAACCATTATCATAGCATTTCGATTTACCTAAAATACATAAAAGAATTTCCTACAATAGGCTTTTACGGAGATGTGATAACGTGGCGTCTGCAAAAAGAACATTATTGTGTAATATTTCTAAATAAAAGAGAATGCAAGAATCCAAAAGCATCCAGCTATATAACATAAAACAATGATACCTTTGTAACAAGCTGATCCGGGACTTCTTTGTCCTGAAGCATTGTAGGACGATGGTCCTGCTTTCCACGGCAAAGGGGGCGAATTGGTACAACTTATTCCATCTTTGAATCCACTACTCGGTTTTAAGACGTCCGTAATAGGAATAATAGCTTTCATGGGACCATGTTTATTCGGTGTTTTGTAAGTGTGCTGTGTAGACATTTTTGCGGTTTTTCATAAAATTACACTCACGCATTTTTAATATTTCTACACATTTTATAGAAGTCTAAAATAAGTATTTATTTTTTAAATCCGGATTCTTTACGTAAATCATACAATAAACAATTAGGCACAGATCAGTCCGCGTATTGTTCAAGAATTAGAAATAAAAAATCACGGACTATGAAAGATGGGCTTAATCTTCGTTTATTCTGTCACATGAACAATGTCATATTATTTTGTTAGGCGATAAAAAGTTTCAGAAAACCATGTTTAAGAAGCATTTACCAAAATTATTTGACAGGTTTTTGTATAAAGCCAGATATGCCAGAGGTCCTGGCTATGCTGGAACTTTTGAAGCGACGTTGAAAAATATCGAGGCCGCTGAATTTACGCATGTGCGGTTATTTGAAAACTTGTTTTCTCAATCAACCAATAAGATCTAGCGGCATTCTATAATCAAAATGGCCGCTGACGGTTCAGTTCGACAGATATAACATTTATACGGCAGTATTTTTCGTAAATATGGACGGATCTCTTTAAAAATTTTGGAAAAACTGGTTTAGTGGGTGTTGAGATTGCCGTTTAGAAAGAAAACGAATCAGAGTACAGATTAGTGTGTGAAATTTAGAAGCACGCTGGGTAAAAAAAACAAAAATTAATTCGTATTACTATACTTTCAGCTTAATTCACCACTTTCCCTTAAAAGGTAGAGTAAAAATGATATAACATGTAAGCATAAGATTTCTCAAAAAATGAGATTGAAAATTCAAGAATGCAAATAGGAACCTTAATAATAATTTCTAGCATTTTCTCTTCGCCGCTTCAGTTGTAAGTTTTTTAATGAGAACTATTTTTCGAAAAAGGGCAGTGTTCTTAATTTGCCACCGCTACATATATTTAGAGTATATTACTAGTGTATACCTGTGTTGCTTTATCGATTTGTAAAGTGGTGTGCAATCTTCTTTCTTTCTGTCACATGGACAAGGTCATATTATTTTATTAGGATATCACAAGTTTCAGAAAACAATGTTTAAGAAGCATTTAACAAAGTTATTTCACAGGTTTTTTGTATAAAGGCAGATATACCAGAGGTCCTGGCTATGCTGGAATTTTTGAAGCGGCGTTGAAAAAATATCGAGGCCGCTCCATTTAGACATGCGCGGTTATTTGAAAACTTGTTTTCTCAATCAACATATAAACCATTTTTACGGCAGTATTTTCCCAAAATATACCCAGATCTCGTTAAATGTTTTGGAAAAACTAGTTTAGTGTGTGTTTAGATAAAAAAACTACTCAGAGTGCAGGTTAGTGTGTAAAATTAGAGGCATGCTTGGTAAAAAAATCAAAGAAAAACTAATTCTTATTATCATCTTACTATACTATCAGCTTAATTCACCGAATGCGTATCGTATATTGTTATTTCAATAAAAACCAAACATTGTATAAAAATATTTTATTTAACACATATTATCACAGATTACCAGTTTCAATAAAACTAGGAAAAGAATTTTCAAGTACCATATTATTAGTAAATGCCATACGGTGACCGAATAATCACTTTCGCGGAATAGATCTCATATATTGTGTTTAACCTTCTCTTCTTGAGAAACTGAACCATCAAACATTTTTTATTTAGGTATTTACTTCTTCAAAAAAAAAAGAAAAAGTTTGTTAATTTTTTTTACAAATTACAACACTGGATTCACGAACGTTCTAAATACAAGCAGTAATTTTGCAACTCGCTTTCCATAACCCAATGAATTAGTAACTATTACGAATAAATAATTAGTTGCCGGAAATACAAATTATCCTTTTTATTTCTTATTTTTTAAACGGTTTTAGGGTATTAGTTTTTGTTAAATGTTATCATTATCTTATGAATGCTCTGATGTATTCCTTTGTACAGTATGTCACATTTAGCATTACGGCGTATTTCCTTTATCAATAAATAATGAATGAACTGATACAGGGTGATTTTTAGACACCATTTGTCGTTCGGTTATGCGTTAACTTATTGAAAAGGTGGAAACTGGTCTGAATAGGATTGTTTTACCTATGATCCAGTGGCGTAGTCAGTTTTCTTCTTAAACTCCCGAATTTTGATATATAAACTAAACTTTTGTTTTTTTAAACGAAACACGTATGTTTTTAATGATTTTCTTAGGCCATTTTATGAGTAGGTCATGAAAAGGACGGTGTCTGTGTTCCTAATATAATTTCCTATTTATTATTTTAATTTCTGTCATCTTTCGCTCCTGCCATATAGCTTATATTAACCCAAAATGTGACAATTATAAGGGATTTGATATAGCAAGGACTTATTATCTACAGACACTAGTTTGAAAGTTTGTTTTGTAAGACTTTTTGTAATAAATGTAAATGTAATATATTTAAAGAATATCTGTATTTTTCATGGCCTATTCATAAGAGAAGATCAATTTAAAAATATATGCTGGAGAATTGAAATTAAATTTCAAATTTTTGAGAAGTTAATAATAAGCCTAATAAAATTATTAAATGGTATACAGGGTGTTCCATTATAAAAACGCAATTTTAGTTTAAATGTCAAAATTTGCAATTTTCAGAACAAAACTGACTACTTCGCTGAATGCTACGTAAAAAACCTACCCAGAACAGTTAAAAAATTAATCTTTCTTGAATTCTTCTACCAAAGAAAAATCCCAGAATCTATAGCAACCATTAAATAACCAATCTTAACCGCGACTCAGGTCTTTATCTTTCGCCAGTATGGGAATCAGTCTTCAGAGACATTGTTCAAGTACCTCCTTTAACTTTGCCTCCTCAAACAGTATATATGTTACGGCTAATACGAGAAAGCAGTGAATTCGCGAATTATCTGACTAAAACGCGCATTTGTCAGATGCCAACGTTAAAGCCCGATTCTGGCTTGATTTCGCGTATTATCCAGCGATAACACGCGAATTATCCAATAGCGACCATATAGAATGTTTATTGTTTTAGCACTGCATCCTCTGTCAACATGACTGTTAATACTGATAGAGTAAACAACTTTACAACGCGTTTTAATCATTTTTTTTAAATTGCAGTTACAAAAAGTGCTAATACTGCATATTGATAAATTAATTACCCCAATAAAAACCAAACGAACAAGACTTTAAATATTTTGTGGCAAATGAAGATTTTTTTTTTAATATTATTCATGAAACTCACTTAGCTATTGGACATGCTGTTTGTAATAGAGTGATTCAGGAACTTAAAAAAAAACGTACAAAAATATTACCCAAAAAACTGTGTCAATTTATCCTAGTTTATTCACGTCATGCCTTATGAAACAAGAATCTATGGTAAAGGGGAAAAACAGCCGATGAAGTAGACGCAGCAATGATGATCCTTCATTCTGCCAATGGACGTGAGTTTTGTAATCGCGTCACAGTCATCAGTCACAGGGAAGCGTAGAAAGGTGCAACCAAGATATGGAAAAAAATCTTGGGACATGGTTGCAAGATAATAATACAAATAACTGGTCAAATGGTCTAAAATTTGTTCAGGTGATGAAAAATCGTGCGTATCATGACGGGATAAAGCGTTGACCATATAAAGCAATGTTTGGTGTAGATTTAAAGATTCCAAACTGCCTAAAGAGCCTATTGAAGGAATTATTACCGAAGAAGAGCTGTTGGATATAGTAAAAGACACTAGCAAACAAAATACCTTGCATTGAAATAACATTGAACTAAATAAAAATATAACAGCTCATGTTGAAGAAATGGACATTGATGAGAAGAATAAAGTTGAAATTATACTGAAGGAAAACTCTTAAGATATTAGCGAAACGATCCAGACAAATAAAAATATACAAGTAATTGAAGTTCACGAAGGAAAGAACGTGCAGAATAATACTGGTACTGCTGAAGAAAACGTTGAAGTAAGGGAAGATGGAAATGCTACAAGCGAGTTTTTTGACATCGTGTGTGCCTTCATCAGACTTTAGATAGTAAGAATTGTGATATTTGTATAAAGCAGTTCAGTATTTTGGAAAATAAACAAGTAGCTAAAAAATGTTTTGAAAAACAATCAGAAAAGATCAAGCATATATCAAATGAAAAATTCCCATCTCGCTACGTAAATGATCCTGTCAGAGTGTCTATTCCAGATTTAGATAGAGGTCCGTGTGACTTTAATAATGCATTAATGACGGTTGTACACGCTGATAATGACAATGGATATTATGACTTAGGTAATGAAAACGGCACTATTGGTAAAAAATACGTGTGAAAAAAAATCATTAAGAGAAATTGCCAAAAAGCAGTCAGTTTGGGGGGAACAGAGATATCAAAAACCTAATTGCAAAACTCAATTTTTTACAAAAAAATGTCAAACGTCAAACAAAAAAAAGGCAAAGATCTATTATGTAATTCTAAGTGCCTTTCCAGCCTAATAATAATTTGTGTTCTGCATGTTTTCATTCATTAATTAGGAAGTATACCTAGTTAGTGATATTTCACATTTTTTATTAAGTTCTTTGGATTTCAAATTGCCTCAGTTTTACGTTATTTGCAGTTTTGTTATTTTGTTTACAAAAAATGGAATTTGTTGGTACATAGGCTGTTTGTACATAAATGTTTGAGTATTATTTGGTGGTTTTAAATTTTTGTATATTATGAGTATGCACGACTATGATGAATGTGAAATTGCTTGCTTAATATACTCGTAAATTATCCAGCTAAATCGCGAAAAATGCAAATGAAACTAACTAACGAAAACTAACCAAATTGTATAATTCGCGTTCTAACGGGATAAGTTACGAACCAGCTGCATTGGTACTAATTTCTCGTATTAGCCGTAACATATACATAAGCAGGTATACAGTAGAATGCAAAGCGAGTTCAGTTTATGAACAACCGACGTAGAATGAATCCAGTACATTTGTAAATATTATTTTGTTGTCCAAACTTTTAGGATCTTCCGTTTCCCTAAAGCGGCCTATACACATGCAGGCAAGTGTTAAGACTTGCCTGTACAGGTCGAGACACGCGAGTAAGTGCGAATGTGTATGTGTCAAAATTCACGGCGCGTTCAGTTCCAAGCGCGGCTCGAAGCGAATCAGATTGTGTCTAATTTTTAGAGCAACTGCGAAGGCCAACTTCATTTTTCGCACAGCAGCAGGCCCCACCAACTGGTGAACCTCGAGGTTTACCTGAATAGTGTGTGGCCGCAATTGGTTTCGCACTTGCGCACGGACTTGCCTGCATGTGTATAGCCCTATAATACCGTATCTAGTCGTTCTTACTGGGACACCAGGTATGTGAAATCCACAGAGATCTACCTCGCGAGCGAGAGTCTGGCGGCCGCGATCCTTTCCTAATTCTTGTTTTGAAAAGTGTGTTAAATTATTATTTCACAATAATCGCAATTACTGACGTTGTATTGTTTGGAGTTCAATTTGTTAAATACAAAAATTTTCAGATAAAACGATAATTACGAGGTACCAAAGAGTGGCGATGTGAACAGGCAAAACATCCATCACCAGGGCGACGCTTAAGAGTGGACAATATCGTAAGGTTAGTAAAAGCGAGATTAAAACAATATTTTCAATAATCGAATAAACTAGAGGCATATGGTTGCAATAAAAAAATTGGTGAAATGAAACTATAGAAATCGATATTTAGGTAGTAAAAAAAAATATATGCATAGGATTATGTATACGTTTTTTAGAGTTTAGTGTCTTCCTTTCGCATTGCAGCTTTTTCCGGGTCCAAGCTCTGCAATTTGTTCGGTTGACGAAGTTTTTTTCCTTCTTCGCTATTTTGTATTCCATAGAAGAAATAGATGAGCAGTCCTGGAATTTAAGTGAAGTTAGTTTGTCGTCAGTTGTGAAACAGTGACCAAAAAGTCCGAAAGCCTTAAAAAGTCTAATATTTTTCGGGTTTTATAAAAAACGATAAACCTATCACTCCTTTGTTTCGGAAAAAGAGGGGGTTAATAAAATAATATTATACCTTTAAGTTGTTTAAACAAAATTTTCATAGTCGTTAATTTATTAATATTCTTACCTATCACTAGCCACGCGATGAACCTTATCCAGGTATGCAAGTCCAATTCTAACATGAGATATAAATTGAAAAACACACTTAAACAGGGAATGAGTGGAACCAGGGGAACCTAAAAAATAATTAAAACTTTAAAATAAACATTCTATGGGTTTCTATACCAAATATTATTAAGTGGCCGAATTTGAGCCACTTCATAACAAACTTAATAAATAACCCTTAATCGTTTTTTCTCATATATTACAAAAAATTTTATTAAGTAAATCGGACCCGAAAAAATGCTGGAAATTATTTTCGGGTTGCTGAAATAATCAGCAGGGGGTGTCATTGTTATTTTGAATTTTAAAACTCGGGTTCTGCTGTAAAAGCTGAAAAAAATATATTTTTTTATTTAGTGATGTTTGCTCTATCTCTGCAAGGAAAGTGGTGGTGGTTGAACATATTCTTAAATAAATTTCCATATCTCCCAAAAAAGTTTAATGCATTTTAGTCGACTTAGAGTTGGTAAAAAGGGCTTTTCCTAGTGAGTGACGCGATTGTGGTTGGCTTAACTTACCTTGCATCAGTGCAGTTTTCTGATATAATGACGCAAAAAATAATTTTCTGAAAAAAGAGTAAATCTAACTATATGAGTTTTTGTCATTAGATAGTCAAACAAGGGCCCAACAACCCAGTGAAAATCGAATCACAATATTTTTATCCATAAAATATGAATAAAAGAATTTTTCTACTCTCGTCTGTAAAATACCTACACCGATACAATACACACCGATCTAGCGTGCGGGAAGCGTCACTTTACATGTCAGTTTCATCCGGGCCACTTCGGGCATTTCCGGGATTTTACCGCACGGATTTGGGAGCAATCGGATGTTTTCGGAGATAATATATCCATGCTTTGAATTTTGACGTTTGTCAATTCTTACGGTCATGTCAGTGAATGTATTGGTGTTGTTTTGCGAAAATATACCCAAAAACTAACGGTCGTAGAAAAAGTATAGTACGCAAGACGTTCGGTAAACTTTTTAACTCAGTCCTTTATTAAAAACTCGCACCGCTCATGTCAAATAAACCCATGAGTCAAATGAAGTTTACTAACACGCAAAAAAATTGGATTTTGGGAAAATTTTCCACTTCACAGATTATTATCGATGTCTAATTGTCACTAATTTACCAAAATAAAATGTTATTATATAATAACTTTTCTGCAAAACAGTCGAAAGACATTAAATTACTCTGGATCTGACATTTCTACGATTTGAATAATTGGGTTTAACCGTCGTCTAACCAAAACCAATTAATTCTTGAAGACTAAGAAATTTTTATTAAATTGAATTATTTAATTAGTAAAATGTGAATTGAAATCCATATTTTTCTTCGTTTTTGATCCGTCGATTTCTTCTAGGGTCTAGATTATGATGAATTTAAATAATAATTTTAATACAATAAATATTTAACAAATTTAAACTAAAATAATAACGACATGAAAGATGCGTAGCGTTTGGTCAGATAAAAGCAAAATTTATTTTCATCTTGATAATTACGGATGAATCATTTCTGTCCAACAAGGTATGTTATCCATTTTTTAAATGGTTTCCCACATTTTACTACTTAAATCTTTTTAATGGAAAAATAAGTGGTAATACTCAATATTTGAAAACAGTTAAGCATACTCATGCATAAAAATGTCAGCCGCGGAGTAATTTGATGTCGAAGGCATTGCCAAAAAAGTTAAATATAAATAATACCATTTTTTTCGAGATAATTAAATATTAATAACAACCCGTCCAGTGTAAATTTTTACCAAAATGCAACTTTGTTAGCATTAAGTTCATTTATTGGTAATTTAGATTAAGAAAATATTAAAATACCCTCTGAAACTGTTATAGCATGGATACAGGAAACAACAATAAACATGATTAACATTTTTTTTAGAAACCGAGTTTTAAAATTCCAGATAGCAATTACGCCCCTGATGGCCATTTCATAAACTCGAAAATAATTTCAGAAATTCAAAAAAAAAATTCCAGTATCTCCTCTTGGTCTATTTACTCAATAATTTTTTCTTTCAAATTCCTAGGACCGTGTAATGCCTATCTCGTCCTATTATTAGTTGTTTTTGAGACTAGGAGAACTAATTATAGAATTAGCTTAATTTTTTATAACAATTCTAAAAGTACACGTTGTAATGTTATTTTTTATAGTAGTCGTTCAAAATTCGTATAACCTGTGGACAAGACAAGTGAATTCCAAAAAAAACTCATTTTGAACCCAACAATAATTCTTTTTAATTCATTCCTAATTATTCAATTTAGCCTACGCGGTATTTTTAATGGTTGAAAAGTGGCCACCCTGTGTATATATCATATCCAATGTGTTCTTCAGTAGTAATAATCCTAAAGTTAAATTGACGAGTTAGCATTGACAATTATTGTCCTAAACTGTCATCCTAAACAATACACGGTGAAAAATTGAGACAGTTGATAAAAACTTACCTTAAATGATAGCTGGGGGTCGACTGCAGGTTGTCTCGCAATAACGGCTAATAGTATGAACAAAGCACCTAAACTGACAACGAATCCCACGAAATAGAACGGTTCCGTAAAAATTGGTTCGGTCGCATTTATGATGATAGCGGCCAATAACGCCGTGAAAATACCTGTAATCAAATTAAAAATAGTTCATAATTCACTCAACTACCTGATGCAACGTTGTTTTACCATGTTTTATTATTTAATTGTTGCAACATTTTTCGGTGCTAGAAAAGGAAGTACTATTTTTCACATTTTAAATGCATCATCTCGGTTCTATTCTATCAAACCACAAGATTAAAATTGTCGAAAAAATGTTCAATTTTTTGATCACCAGTCATTATCGAAAACGAAAAACACTTTGGCAAATGTATATATTTTTTTCTATTCAACTTAATTACTACTGAATCGTCTTGTATCAGTGCGCTATTTGAACAAAATGTTTCCATCTTTTAGAGGCTATAAAAAACAAAACAGAAATATTTTAATACTTTACTATTATAAAAAAATGCCATTCAGATTTCAAAAATTATTGAACTGGATATATAAAAAGTAAATATCAGAACGGTCTTGTATTAAATATTTTTTGTAGCCCTTTCCATTTGTTTGATCGGATGGTGGACTGTTGTACATGGGTCACGCTCAATTTTTCGTGGTTATACTGGATATATTGATTCCCCAATTGGCAAATCTGATCATGTCGTGATTGAGTTTTGTATTCAAGCCTTATGTTATCCCAAGCAGGTCAATAATCGCAAAATGTTATACAAGACAAATTATGCAAGATTAGCTGCAGACCTTTCCCACCATACATGGAACTTTCCCGATAGCGACGTTAATGATGCGTGGACATATTTTCTGTCTAGTATGGATTATTACATAGGCACAAGCTGCAAAACTCATTTTGTTAAGTTCAATTCTGAGAAAGCTTGGTTAACTGGACATCTGTTCAAACAAATAAAACATAAGAGACCTCTGTGGCGTAGATTTAAGGCTTCTGGCTCTACTTCCGATTATGCTTTGCACAGAAGAGTTTCTAATAGTTTATCCTTGGAGATTAGAGAGGCGAAGTCAGCATTCGAAAATGACCTCCTCAATCGGCCCAAAGCGTTTTATTCTTATGTCAGACAACACGTATCGTCTCTGTCAGGACTTCATTTCAAATGAATTTGCTTCATATTTTGCTAGTGTCTTTGCTGATGAGCCAGCTAATCTACCGTCTCACTATGAGGGTCCTATAAATTCAGATTTATTAGAAGACTTTTGACGAAGAGGACGTGAAAAAAACTCTTTCTGAGTTAAAAGAATATTCCGCTCCCGGACCTCATGGAATTTCCAGTAAAATCTTAAAAGCGTGGGCCCCTATGCTTGCATAGCCTATTTATATTATTTTGAGAAAATATTTGGAGTCTGCCACACTCCCAACCCACTGGTTATCCGCAAATGTAACACCGATTTATAGAAGGGTGATAAGCTCGATGTTTCAAATTACCACCCTACCAGCCTAATGTGTATTATATGTAAGGTTCTGGAACGCCTTATAGTAAATCAGCTGTTACCGTTTTTGATCGACTGCGATATTATACCTACATCGGAGCATGGTTTTGTTCCCGGCAGATCTGTCATATCAAATACATTGACATGCTTGAATCACTGGATATCATCTCTTGACTCAGGTGATCCGGTGGATATTATTTACCTCGACAAAGTGCCACATCGACGCTTGTTATTCAAACTTGAAAAGGTTGGAGTGAGAGGTAAACTGCTAGAGTAGATAGCGGCGTTCTTAAGCCATCGGTCGTTCAAAGTTCGAATTGGTAACTGCCACAAAACGTGCCTCGTGGTGTTCCCCACGGATCGGTGCTGGGACCCGCATTTATTCTCATGTGGGCTTATACTGATGACACTAAATTATTTGAAAATCCTTTAACACATGCGGACGTATTTCAGAGAGACTTGAATACTAGTTCCAAGTGGTGTTCAACTTGGCTATTGCCGCTGAATGCTCAAAAGTGTTCTGTGCTGCATGTTGGCAAGAACAATCCCGGTTTGAATTATTATATCAATGGAAACTTTGTGTCAAGTGTGGATTTTCAAATGGACCTAGGTGTGACAGTAACTAATGATCTTGCGCGGTCTATACATGTATCAAATATTGCAAAGAAAGCAAACTGCGCGTTATTTTTGTTAAAAAAGACTTAAAAATCCTAGTCCTCGCATCGCTTGCAGGCTTTTCACCACTTACATTCGCCCCATCCTGGAATTTGCTTCCCCAGTCTGGAACCCATGGCTATTGCGTGACTGTGATGTTCTGGAAAGAGTGCAATGAGCCGCTACGCTCTGGCCACTTCAGCTTGGACATACACCTTACGATGATCGTCTTAAAATACTTGGTCTGCCAACATTAACTCAGCTTCGGCTGCGAGGGGATCTCATTCAAATGTATAGGTTTGCGCATGACCAATTTCCATCTGACGTGCCCCTTGTGGTTTTAAGCAATGATGAACGCCTACGTAGTCATCCATTTAATATAAGAGAGGAACAATTCAGGGCTTCACATCGCATGCATTTTATAAGTAACAGGACTTTCGATTATTGGAACAGTTTACCCCCAGATGTTGTGTGTGCGCCGAACTTGTCTGTATTTAAACGTAGCTTGGACAGTGTATTGCTTCACAGCAATAACTAAATATTTATTACATGTATTATGTTACTAACTATCAATGTGCATAATAGGTTCTCCTCTGCACTTTATTCTTTGTAATAATAATAATAATAATATCAGTTCTTAGTTATCAGTTAAGGTTTTTTTTCAAACTTTGGCGACCAGTATCCCAGAAACTAGACACAAATTACTAATTATATAGCATAATAACTAAAAGCCATTTTTCCCTGTATTTCGTGCCGGGAAATTTATTCACCGAAAACCGAAACCGAACCGATGTTGTGGCATTTAAAATAAGATCGAACTTTAGCGTTAAACATTTTTTTTGTAGCTCTTGTGGCTCTCCGTTTATGAGATGGGGTCGTGGGTCAACTTACAATGAACCACCCGTACACTTACTGTAGATAATTATACTCCAATTTGTTATTCTTGATGTCCTCGTACTAGCTTCTTTGTTGTTGTTCAGATTGAATATCTCTATGAAGCCATTGTAGACGTTGGAATGTTTGGAGGATTCGTGTTGCTGTAAATGGGGCTTATCTTCGTCCACTTGGTATCTAAAAGTGAAGTTCCACGAAACACTCAATGCCAAGCACTAGTTAAAATGATAAAATGTCTTACCTTAATATTATAACGCTTATCGCTACAATGGTATAAGCCATGAGGGTGCCGATTGACATCATGTCGATTAATTGGTCCAAATCAAAAATCAGTGCCATAAATCCTACATTCGAAAAAAGCAGCTCACATTAGAACACTTACATCATTTTTAACATGAGCAGAGATATAAAGTCGTCATAACAAAGTTACCAATGATTTTAGATCAGTCTGTATATTCTCAACCAACCCGTTCATCCCGTTCATTAAAAGTTTATTGAATGTAATTTAGAAAAGCTTTTCAATTTTTGTGGTCAAGGCAAATATCAAGTATACTTTTAAAAAAAATTTTTTTCGAATGGCATACCCCTTATATTATTACATTTTGAGATTCTGTGTGAAAATCTTGGTTTATAATGAACCTATACCTATACATTGCATTGCATTGCATCTTCGGCTTAACTAACTTTGACCATACATATTTTTGTGATTTCTCTTCTTTGATTGATCCTCATATTTGGCAAAATATTAACAATGAGGATTAAATTCACGTTTTTGTTATTGTTGTTGTCTACTTTCATTCAGAAGGTTCAAAATTAGACCGCAAACATTTACATGTTTGCGGTCATTATTATTATTATTATTATTATTATTATTAACAAAAAAAAATTTTTTGAATTTCGCGGTTGTCGCTATAGATAAAGCTATGGTATATTAATTTTTACATAATTCACAATTTTTCATATTAGGCCTAGAAAAGGTAGCATTGTATATTTTTCTATTTTTCTTTTCGAGAAAAAAAAACAGAAACCGTTCAAAAAATATAGAGAAAACGAGCTTGTTAATTTCTCGAAGAAACTTCGACATGCAACCATAATACTGTTTACAAATATTCTGGCTTCCTCCTGCTTCTTACTCTTGGTTTCTTCGGAGATTAACTGAAACTGGTTTGCATTCTACTCTGCAGTTACTTATATACTGTTTGAGGGTTTGAAGGTGAAAGATAAACACCTGACTCGCGGTTCAGATTATATTCGGCAAATGCCGATTAGTTTATTTGTTTAAGGCTCCTGTTCTTTTAGTTAATATTTGTCGGTTTGTTTCTTCAATGTATTCTTTACCGCATATGTCGTAAATTCCTGGTGTCTCCAATTTTGTATTTGACAGATCGAAGATGTTAAGAGATTTTTGCACAGATGATAAATCTTATCTTAACAGTATATTCCTATATAGAAAGGTTTTGAATGTGAGGACCATATTGGCAGGTGTGGGGTTGCTTTTGGACTCATTTACTTAAGCCGATCCGGCGGGCCTGTCAATTCGAACTGAACAGTCCGCCTGCAGACCGGCGGCCTGATGGACTGACCACTCTCCTCACGTTCAGGCGAATATGATATATTAGTCTCAATCATCATCGTGGCCTCTACCGACTACGACGCGTTTGCACTTTTCGGCTTAGTAGTTGCTTTGGGTAAAAAGAATATATACACGTTCAGGCGACTGGTCTCCAGGCGGACTGTTCAGTTCGAACTGACAGGGAGATTCTGGTGAAGTGTATTTTGTAATGGAACGCTTTATAGCTCTAATATGGAAATTATTTGAGGTAAGAGCTGACGTTAGGTGTTTTAATTATAGGTTCAGAGATTAGGGTTGAGATAGTTTCACTGCTCCGTAAACAAGGGAGTTGATAATAGATGATTTTTGAGATGGATAGCGATGTTACAATGCATTAGGGTCTGTGTGCATAGGTTTTTTATAAACTGAATGACCCAATGATAGATCTGATTTTCTATTAATAAGAATATCTAAGAATGGGATATTAGTATTGCTTTCTAATTTAAGGGTAAGGCGTATAGAGTTTGAATGATTAAGAAAATCTCAATGGGATGATCACCAAGTAACAAAAGTAATATCAACGTAGCATTTCCATAGTTCCATTATGAATGATTTTAAAACCACCTAGGCATTTTCCTGTTTATGTATTATCATAATATCGTGCATAATTATGTGTACCAGTCTCAGATAACACCCTGTATTTAACTTGTTTCCAGAACTATATATATTTTCATATTTTTTTCTGCTTATTTATTTAATGAATCTTTGGTTGCTTTTGTTTTCTAATTCAGTGGGGTAATCAAATTAGAAAAGAAAACTTTTATTTTAAACGAAGAAATGGCCATAGGTTATTTAAAAAATAAAAAATAAATTATCCTAAAAATATCCCGTAATAAGCACAGAAGAGTTTCCATTAACTCAAATGTATAACATGTATTGTATTAGTTTTAAATGAGATCTCTAAAATTACCTGAAAGAAGTCCGGATAATGTGGTGGCGATTATGGGGGTTTTGGTGCCCGCGTTAACTTTAGCCAAAGGTTTGAAAATGATCCCATCCTGGGCCATGGCGTAAATGACTCGTGGCAACGGAAACATGGCGCCCAGCATACTCGTACAAAGTGCGAATACGGCGCCGCTGGTTACTATCCACTTGATTATTGGCCATCCTACCTTGTCGAATACATAGGGAAAGGGTGCATCTGAGTCCTGAAAATATGATTTCTCTTAATAGGTCATATAGATTTTAAATTCTTCTTCAAATGGTATTCGAAACATGTTGCATTTATTTTCAATGGCTTAAGAATTTTTGTCTTGCGCATTATACTGGCTGTTTATATACGCCACTTAAATGTCTAAGCGTATTTCTAGAATCCTGGAGATTATGTTTCTCTTAATAGACCATAAAAATTTCAGGTTCTTCTTATAATGGTATTCAAAACATGTTGCATTTATGTTTAATGGAGAGATGTCAGATATTGCTTTCGATGTTTCTCTTATGCATTATACGGGGTGTTTATATATATTATAATAGTTCCCCTTAACAAAGAGAAAATTGATAAACCATAGAGACATTACCAGAAACATGGTGCATTTTTATTATAGGGTGTTTATATATGTCACTTAGATGTTTAAGTGTATTTCTAGAATCCTGAGAATGATATTTCGCTTAATAGACCGCAGAGACTTTCAATTCTTCTTCAAGTAGAATTGGAAACATGTTGCGTTTATTTTTAATGGAGAGAAGTCAGATACGGCCTTGAAATTTTTTCTTACGCATTATATGGGGTGTTTATATATGTCCCTTATTTTTTTTAAGTTATTATTATTATTTTTATTTATTATTAGATTTTCAAATCGTTAAGTGATTGATTTAAGAAGCGTTTGATCTGACGATGGTGCTATTTCAAAAAATTACGATACATTAAGAGGTATTGTTTACCATAATAAAACATTTTCAACAGTTCTCCCGTGAATAAAAAAAAAAGTGTGTTTTTTTCTATCCTCTATATGAGCTGGTTAGAAACTTCTACATGCGCCGTATATCAGCAGCATATCAATTTTTCCTCCATTTCAAAAATTGTTTATTTACTATGACAATACAAATCAATAGCACAAAATTAATAACCGGGTAAAAATGAAGAGTTAGATACAAAGGTGCCGGGATTTTATCTATTAACTTTTGGCAATTATAGAATAGAAATATAAATGAGGTTAAAACCTATCAAAATGACAACTTACAATATTTTAAATATAACTTTCTTACAATACCTTTGGTTCCCACAAAATACAGTACCCTGGCATTACTACGTTTTGATTTACCCATTTTGAATTAATTTGTTATTATCAACAATTTTCTCATTAATAATTAGATTTAGTGAAATAACCGAAACTAATACATTGTCAAATACTAAACAGTTTTTTTAATTATTGAATTACTTAAATTGTAAAATGTGTATTGAAATAATTAGTATTTTTGTTCGTTCGTAACACTTTGATTTCTTTTAAGCACTGGATTACAGCGACTCTAAGCAAGTCATTTTTAAGGCAATAAATATTTTTACAAACTTTAAGTAATTAAAACTGAAACCAATCGAGAGAGGTTGACAAGCATTAAATAACGACATGGAAGATGAATCCAGTTTGATCAGATAAAAACCAAATTTGTCTTCAGGCAATTTTGATAATTGGAACTAAATGATTAGAGTCCGAAACTAAGTTTTAAATCGACTAAGCAAAATAATTGAGATCACGTACAACGTCAAAAGAAGGAAATTAAATTATTTCGGACGAAACGCCAAATATCAAATGCTCCAACTCATTATGCAGTTTTTGTTTGGTAAATTCGGGACTTTTTTTTGGGCCTCAAGTTCTTTTATTCATATTTTAGGTTAAGTTATGATGTATCTTAGCTTTATAATAACCGTGGTTAATATTAGTAGAAACCGTATTTTAAAGTTGCAGATAACAATTACGTCCCGTGGTTCGCCATTTCAGAAACTCGTTTTTTCTATATTGTCCTTACTGGGACACCGGGAATAACCAGAGTTTTAGGTACACGGTGATTTTCGAAATTTTCAGACACCGTTTGGTAGCTCGATTATGCGTTAGCTTATCGAAATGGTGAACATTACTCTGGATAGGGCTTTTCATGTAGCACTAATTTATTAAATAATATTATTACCTGATCGAAATACGGCGACATCATGGTCAAAACCGTCGAAACGCCGAAATATGCGGCGAAAATGATCAATAACGAGATCATAATCGCTAGCGGTATGTTTCTTTGCGGGTTCTTCGCCTCTTCACCGGTCGTAGCGACCGCGTCGAAGCCGACAAAACCGTAAAAGCATTTCGCTGCCCCCGCCATCACACCGCTTATGCCATAAGGGAAGAAGCCGCCTGTTCCGTATCCTATTGGAACCTTACTTGACGGTATGTTCCAATATTTGGTAGTAGCTGCGACAAAACAAATTCAATATAACCTCCCGTTGTCCCCCCTAATTCTGATTGTAGTCAGTTTTTCATTAGCTTTGATAATGTTTTATCCTGATATTCTATTGCGATACCACCATATCTGTACAACAAAATTAGATTTCGGCCGATATAGAGGTCTTCGTTATCTGAACTTGTAGCTGAAGCTGTAGATCATGTATATAAAAAGCAATAAAATCAGGAGTGACAGAACCCTACCCTACGCTTTTTAAATATAGCAGCCATTTTAATTAATTTGTGATTTAAATAACAAAAACATTAGTAAGACATTTATAAACAACTTACCTTTAATCGATCCTGATACCAGTACTATGCAGACGGTCAACAAGTTAAGCACAGTAAATATATTGTTCAATAGTGACGACTCCTTTACGCCAAATGACAGTAAAGCTGAAACAAGATACAGAAGTTATTTTTAGTTAAAATCACCTATCTTGAAGACATTAAATGAAATTAATTGTCTGGTTTGCAGACGTTTGTATTAGTGTTTGTGTGTTGTGTGTAGTGTGTAAGGGTATAATAGCCTGGCTTCTAAAGTACAGAATTTTTTTTTTCATTTTTAAAAATTTCACAGTTTTTTATGGTTGTTATGGTTGCTACGTATAATTATCTTGTTAGGTTAGACCTTTTATGTTCATTTTGTTAATAAAATCGGCATACCAGCAGAAAATTTTTGATGAGAATTGTTTTTGAGATATTGTACTCTTGGTGTGCCGTTTATGTTGAGATGACACCTTATTTCAAAACATATAAACAATGGCAAAAAAATCTAAAGATAAAACTTGTTTCACTTATTCCCTTGTCGGACAAACAACAATTTATCCATTTTTAATAGAATACCGTGTATAATAATACATTTTTTGAAATTGTAAACATATTTCATGCCGTTCCTAGCATATTTTCACTTTTAAGTCAAAAGCTGTATTTGCATATCTAAACATATCTATCGATTTGTTCGATTTGTGTTTCAAAACTACCCATTTTAGAAAAATAATTTAGTTAAGTGCTACGGAACAGTCGTTTTTTGTACCAATATTTATCAATTATCTTCTTTACAATTAAATTTTAAAAATAATATATCAACATTTCGGAAAGTATAAAGACTATCAAAACTTTTTCGCTTTGCACGATCGTATATAAAATGCAAATCTACTATTTCTGCATTAGTGGACTTCACTATTATTGAATTAAACCTATTATTATTGTACAATTAAATGATTAGAAGATTAAATTAAATTAATTAAATTAATTAAATCTAACTGAGTAATGTCAAATAAAGCAATAAGAAACGCCTTAAAAAGAGCGCTGCCCACTAGGTTTTTTTAAATAATAATTTTTTTAGTTATGCGTTATACGTATTATGAAAAAAATGCAGGATACAAAAGTTTCGACATAAAACATAAAATAAAATAAAAATTTATGTCATTGCATAAGTAGTTAAGAAGAATGATTGGGGAATATTGGATTTTATAACAGTAATAGTTCCGCAATATTTTTATTGTTCTATCTATTATTTTTTCGCCATATTTATAGTCTGAACGTCAAAATAATAAACTAGGCTTTATTTTAAATTTTTCGCATTTGTTTTGAAATAACCTTTCTATGCTTTATAACTACACTTGTTACAATTGTTATCAAATTTAAAAATAAGTTCTAAGACCATGAAAATTTGTGGAGGTAATAGGGTACAGGACATCCGCTATTATGCCATTGCTAGTGTCAGCAAAATATGTGAACAACTGGGAGATTTTTAAATGAAAATTTTATTTTTTAATTAAAGTCCGATGTCGTCATGTATTACAGAAACCGGACGCGAAAATTAAATATTGTTAAACAAAAGTAACACACAAAGAATCTGTCATTGACCCACCTTTTAGACCCACCCTGCATATCCGCGTCTCAAAAAGTTCCAAAACTAAAAGTTCCATGTTACCTACCTACCTAAGGCATATACGAATTTTTTTGTGTTAATTATACATTATTGAATATTTATATTTTATTTTTGGCATAAATTAAATAGTTATTTGCATAAATTTAAATTCCGCTTAAAACGACTGCTCTTTTTACCTCAGATACATAAATTTAGTTTGGAAAGTGCTGTTTGCCAATTCACACATTGCATTATTTTTATGGCGTTACTTTCGAAACTCTTTTACGTCGACTTCGAACAGTACAAACAACAGAATATTTAACGATTTTCTTACCGGTAATTAATATCACAAATGCAAAGGCTAAAAAGTCTGGATATTGAGACAAGAAATTTATGTCCATCGGTGCAAAATCGCGCAACCCTAGTCTAATATGGTTACCGGCCAGGGCATCGATGTAATTACTTAATCCTCTGGCAACGCTGGCGGTACCTAAAACCAAAATAATATAATATTTAAACTGTTATGTCCTGTAACAAAAGAACTAATTATGAGTCCCAACAACTGTGTGTTGTTACAAGCAGTTATTTTGCGAATAAAATGGCAGTTTACCGAAATTATTTTATTTAATTGTAAATGAAACTTACAACTTTTTTTATGAAGCATCGAAAATGGTACAGATTCTAGCTTCGGCGAAAGACAGCTACTAATATTTATTTTAAGCCAAGAAAAACAGGGTGTTTAAGGATAAGATGTTGTTCCTTAAGAAGAATGGTTTAGATAAATTTGTCCCAAACCTTTTTTAATTTTTAATTTTTGAACACCTATTTACTTCTAACCACAAGAAAACGAAAGGACCCAAAAAAAAATCTATATTTTTTCTTGCTTATCACTTTGTAATATTCCCGTATTCCATATTACAAAAACTAGTTTTTGGCATTTTTAACATATTAAATAATATTCAAATATGCAAAAGTAAAGGCGAAATGCGTATACAGAGTGATTAATACAGAATGGGTAATCCCTAAACTGGAGATACTAGAAACCAAAGTTTTATGATTGAGCTTAACGTCGCTGGTGTTGGAGATGCAAAGCCATTAATAATTTTAATCACTAATTCAGAAAAATTTTAAATGATAATAATAAAAATTGGCAGTTTTAGGTTTTTTGACATGACATGCTATTTCTTCTGATTTTTATTGATACATAAAAAATGAAAAAGTATGGGGAGCAACGAAAAAAATGTTTTTAACAATAACAATTTCGGTAATAGCGATAAAGAACTTCAAATCAAATGTTGGAATTGTCCACCACCTACCTCAATATATTCTACAATACACTCTACCATTTACAAATATTCCGGATTCTTCCTGCGTCGGTTGCTGCTAGATCGAACTTTCTGACGTTTCGCCAATTATCCTGTTAGCATCATGAGCTTAACTGAAACTGGTACTGGTTGCTATATACTGATTCACGGGGTTGGAGCTTTGCTCGGATGATTGTTTCACATATGGATGAAAGGTAAAGGACCTGACCCGCGGTGACTTTTGGTTTTAATTATTTGGTTGTGTGAGTTAGTTTGGTCGAATAAGATTTGTTGTCCAATATCATGATTGTGTTCGGCAACTGCTGATGAGTTCATTTGTCGTAGCCTTAAGGCTCTTTCACGTTCTTTCATCCTAGTTGTCTTCGTCGGTTCTCCAATGTATTTTTTGCCGCATATGCATGGAATGCCATAAACTCCTGGTGCCTCAAACGGAATTTTGGTGATGGAACACTTAATATCTCTAATGTGTACATTACAAAAGAGCAGAACAAAGTGTTTTAATTCTGTTAGGTCTGATTTTGTATTAATTGAACGTGAGACATTTGTATGATGCATTATATTTTTATTTGTTTAGTATCTCCAAGTTAGAGACTTACCTCTTTTATGAATCACCTTGCATAAGTGACATCGACGGAGCAAATTACTAAATTTTAAATAAATGTCCATTGGCCTTGGAACACCTATATTTTTCTCACCCAGTATATTATAATGTTACATTCTTGTAGCGCACGCTCGAAGAACATGGTTTGAAAGCGAAATAAAACTCACCTATCACGTATTCCAAGATAAGGTTCCATCCTATGACAAAAGCAGCGAATTCTCCTACAGTTACGTAACTATAAACATAAGCCGATCCTGCTTTCGGAACTCTGGATGCAAATTCTGCGTAACATAATCCTGCAGCAACAAAAAAAAATAACGTCTTGATGTTAGAAGATTTATCTAATAAAAAGGGCAAATTCTCTTAAGGAAGGGATCCGTTCTTTAGAAAAACAAGAATTTTATATAATGACATCATATGAACTAATTGATCGAAATCATAAATCATAAATGAAGAAAAAAAACAGCTCACATTAGTTATAAAAGATGTGAAATTCCTCAAAACTTAAAAATGGACTTGTCATACGGTGTTATATTGTAATCAACTTTAAGAAAGAACATGAAATTTTATTATTTATTTTATATTAAAACACTTTTTAATTAATACTACTCGTGGGAGAACCGCGTTTGAAAAAACCCAAACAGTTTCCATTTGGTTCTAGAATGGGCAAGGGGTTCCGTTTTTCTATCTGAACCAATGCTCTATTTCCTAATGCGAAAGAGGTGTAAATAATTATTGAACTGTAAAATTTACGATATATAATTATCATGGGCATCTAGACGTACCTGGGCAAGTTGTTGGTAAAGTTCGTTCATAAAAATGGCTAGTGTGTCTGAATTTGTTGCAGAGAAACGGATTCGTAAAAAAAAGAAATATTGGGTTGTTCGGAAAGTCATTTCGTTTTTTTTGGGGAACATGAAAGACAGTTTTCGTATAATGAATAAATATTTTATTAAATTATATATTGGCCATTCTGGTCCAACACCTTTTGCCATCTTTCTGGCAGTAACATAATTCCCCTCTCATAAAAGTTTTGGTCCTTGCTGGCAAAAAACTGGTTCAGGTGGTTTTTGACATCTTCATTTGAGGTAAAGGTTTTGCCATCCAAAAAATTTTGCAGGGACCGGAACAAATAGTAGTCGGAAGGCGCCAGATCTGGAGAATATGGTGGACGTTGCAGTACGTCCCATTCAAGCTGTAAAAGTTTTTGGCGAGTGACCAAACTTGTGTGAGGTCTCGCATTATCCTGGTGGAACACTACACCCTTCCTGTTGATTAATTCGGGCCTCTTCTCTTTAAGTGAATCATTCAATTTGTCCAGTTGATGACAATAGACTTCTGAATTGATCGTTGTATTGTCCGGCAAAAGCTCAAACAAAAACGATTCCTTTGACATCCCACCAAACGGAGAGCATCACCTTTTTTTGGTGAATGTTGGCTTTTGACACGCTTTGAGCCGGTTCATCTTTTCTGCTCCATGACCTCTTGCGTTTAATACAACCCATTTTTCGTCCCCAGTAATAATCCGCTTCAAAAATGGATCATTTTCTTGACGTTTGAGGAGCGAATCACACACGTCAACGCGACGACACAAATTTCGCTCCGTAAGGACAGGGGGCACCCACACATCCCACCCGAGCTTCGAGGTTAAGCCCACGCCTTTCAAATGGCCATAGACAGTCGAATTCGGCAAATTTAATCTCTCACCGATCTCTCGTGTGGTTATTCGCCGATTTGCATCAACTAATGCCTTTATCGCATCTTTGTCAGCTTCGACCGGCCTTCCAGACCGTGGTGCATCTTCGACATCAAAATTGCCGGATCGAAATTTTGCAAACCAGTTCTGGCACTGGCGTACTGTTAACACGCCTTCTCGATACACATCCGTCAATTTTTTTCTCGCTTGGACAGCATTTTTACCTTTTCTGAAGTAAAAAAGTAAAATATGACGAAAATGCTGCTTATTGCTCTCCATATTTAAAAGGGCACCAACCAAAAACTACTGCGTAGAATTAATAGAACTTTTTCACACACAAGCCTTGCAATATCAGATCTCAAGACATATAATGGTTATGCGGCTTAAGTGTGAAGTTGGTTTCGAATAAACGTAATTAAGTCCTCTGACGGGAAAAAACGAAATGACTTTCCGAACAACCTTATACATACCATGGACGAAATAATGTCTGAAATGACATATGATTTCATTCTACCCATGGGTAAGAAGTTGTCGAAAACTTTAAATGAAATGAATTATCGTTGGGAAAAAACTCAAAACAGAAATATCACTTAATATAGAAAGAAAAGAGACACCAGAAATTTTAAAATGAGCGTTGCAAGTGCTTCGAACATGTGGTTGAAGGAGAATACAGAATGTTGGAAGCTGATAGCATGCTAGAAAACACTGTAGAGTCCCTTAGCAATTCTTTGGACTCCAACAACTATAGTTCGTCGACTGGGGACACGATGACTAAAATTTACAAATGTTGTATTTTAAAGTAGATTTTTTAAATAATAATAATAATAATAATTTATATAAATCTTCATTATTCTTACTTCTAATATAAGTTGTTATTTACTTGATCTTACAATAATTAATACCTCAATTAATGTATGATTATTATTATATTTATTATACTAATAAACTACCAAACTCGTCCTTCTCGTATGCGTAATTTGCAATTTGTCTGAACTTTATGGTATGTCCGCCTTTGTTAATAATACTTATCATCTTTTCTATACTCCGTATAGCTCATCCCCTGTTCAAAAAAAATCTTTCTGGTTTGGCAATAACAAATCCCCAACATTTGACTGTTATGTTTCGCAATGTATAGTTTTCTTACTTTCAAATTTTAAATTAAATTATTTTATTAAAAAAAATTGCAATATATTTAAATTCAAAATGACATTAGAGGCACTAAAGCAAATATTGCCGGGTGGGCCATTAAGAAAATTAAATCATCTGTCCATAACTTCAAAAGTTTATGCTTCATCTTTAAAGGAAAGTCTAAACAATTCCACGAAAAAACTTAAAAAGAAAATTAGCAGAAAGCGGGTAGCCTTTGTTGCAAAGTAACAGAAAAGTAGGCACCGAGAAACCTGAACATTTTTTAGTAGAATTTAAAAATTAAGTGATCTCCGGAAAACGATCAATATAATGTTTTGTTGGTTTTCTTCGTACTTACGTGAAGAGCTTCAAAATAGCATCACAGGGCCTGAGTAGTGGGAAAGCCCTCTGAAAGCGGAGGTTTGAAATCTCATGATCTAACGTTCAGATTTCAATTTTGCGCTAAGCATAGAACTGGCTCGAACAGATTCGGAACAGGTGACGATCAAATTTGAACAGGATTCGATCGGATTTTTCCCTCTTGTTGCTGACTTTGCTGCAGTATGTGGTGTAATCTATTACTCTGCAGCTTATTTTTAGAGATGTCATTGTTTACAATTTGCTTTTTCTCTAGATGTAGGTGCTTCACAAATATTTCCTTTCTCTTCCTTTTTTTTTGTTATTTAATTAATGTAACGTCGAAACAAGTTGCTATGAGTGTGCTGAATGTACACATCGTAGGAACATGTACGAACAGATCTTGGTCGAGTTTGAATAGACCTCGATCAGGCCTCGATCAAGTTCGATTACGTCTGAACAGGTCTGGATCAGGCCCGTATCTATTCGAATCTGATCTGGTTAGCGGAAAAATTAAATCTGAACGTTAAATTTTGAGATATGAGACCTCCATAACCAATGAAGAACTTATAGGCTTTTCCACTACTCTAAAGATACATAACATCTACGAATTTTTTTCTCCTAAGTAAAATTTTAATCTTAAACGGAACCTTTGTTACAAGTTATAGACTTATCATAGATTGCACCACTGAAGCACTTGTAGTCATATTATTATCTTAATGGTATTCTGACAAGGATTAAAAATTTTATCACGTGAATAACCAGCTTATCAAAAAAGGATCTATATAAATTCTCGGAAAGTCGGGATCAAGAACGAAAACATGAAACATCTGGAACGAAACATCAAACTTGAGATCCCATTTCTGTCGTTCGAACGGGGTAGACAAGGTCCTATATTTCGTTTCTTCATGCCAGAGGATAATAAAATATAAATGTACTATAATAGGGAATATCAAAAAAGGTGGACAACTTAAAGGTTATATCGTAAAGTTCAGTTAATTGCAAACATAATTTTTAAAATTTCCGTATTTCAGTTCTTAAGACCTCGAATTGTTCCTAAATTAGGGTCACACTAATATTGATACTATATAAGGACGAGTTTGGTGAATGCAACTAATGCAACAGGGGCGTTACAACGGGTAGTTTTTTTGGAATCATAAATACATATCTATAGATCCAGCAAATAAAAACTTATATAGAAGTAAGCAAAATATGAAAAAAATATTGTAATAAATCTTATTATGTTAAAAATGTCTGCTGCTTTCATTGTCATTTCATTTTCATCAACATAGTGGAGCTATAGTCGAATCTCGACGAAGTAGAAGCTCTACATTGTTTCTATTTCAATCCCAATTACTTTGCTTAATTTGCCGATCATTGCGATATCAATTAAATTAATTAAATAAGAGAGAAGTAAGATTAATATGAAAGTAAATAAATTGTATTAAGTATTATTATTTTTTAAAAATTACTATTAATTTCAATTTTAGTGTTTTTTAGCATGTTTTATCAGTTTCTCATATCCTTTTTTCTATTTCAATCCCGTGTTCGACGCACTTGCTCCTTTTTTCAATGTATCAGTTTCAGACATCATTTTGTGCAAGTTTGGAATTTTTTTTTAAAGTAAAACGAGTTTATTATTGTTGGTAGTCTATTTGGCGACCCGATGGGGCCGCGTTTATTCTTGTATACAAGTCAGTATATTCTGAGCTGTCCAACTTCAGTCATATTTGAATCAGTACAACTATTTTTGTAACTCCAAATGTTGAGTTTTTCTTGTTTTTAGAAAATGCAGTTTTTCTAATCCGTTTTTTAGCAACAAATTTTGAAACACTTGCCAGTTCCAGGAACGAACTTTAGTAACTGCCGAAAACTAGCTATAATTCTAATTTTCAAGAGTAAGCAACCCTTCGACCCTTAACTCGTTTAGAAATATTAATATAGTCAGTATACAAAGTTTTAAATATTAAAAAAAAACATTCTTTTACAATAGGTTACATGGTTTTGTTGAGAGCACGGAGGCTGATTTTGCTTTAACTAAATTAAAATTGTGAAATCTCGTGCTGTCCCGGGAGGTCTCCAATTGATTCTTGAATTGATTTCTTGGATCTTTTGATCGTAATAAATTGAGTTCTAGAAAATGAACATTTACTGGCATGGCCGTCTGAATTGACAAACGTCAAAATTCAAGGCGTGGAAAATATCTCCGAAAACATCCGATTGCTTCCAAACCCGTGCGGTAAAATCGCGGAAATGTCCGAAGTGGCTCGGATCCGTGGGAAACGAAACTGTCGTGTAAAGCAACGCTTTCCGCACGCTAGATCGGTGTGTAATTAGGTATTTTACAGGCGGGAGTAAAAAAACATATTTATATATAGATATGGGCTGGATGCAATTGGAATTGCCTAATAGAATGCGTTGAGTAGTCCTAGACCCAGTTAATTGTTATCGTTGTTGTTATTGCCACACTGCATAGCATTTTTTAGATATGCGATAAGTTTAAAGTGGCATCAACGATTGTAATTGCCGAAAAGAAGGAGAGAAAAATGACATGAAGCCGTCTGATTTTGCAGAAATCCAGACGGCCTCATCTTGGAAATTTAAATTAGTATCCCTGACGTCACTTAAAACTTATTGCAAATAGATCATATTTCGTTTAGGTGTAGCACTTTAAGTACAGTTATTAAGTACTCCAGTAAGAGATATACCATATTTAGGCATATTTAGAGATCAATTCACAGAAGTTCTAACGTAAACGAGTTTAGATCAAAAGTATGCACAAAGTTGATGAAAAATCGTGTCATTCGTGAAAAACACTTTTTAATCTTTTTTTTTCACAATATGTATATTTTCTTGTTTTATTAAATTAAAAATGTTCTTTTGAATACCCTGTACCGCCATCATAGCGTGCCTAAAAGTCAACCTGTTAGCAACGAGAAAAAATTCTTATTATTTTATTATTTATTTACTACTTAAATAATTTAATAATTAATAAAATTGGTTAGTCTTCATCAATTGAATAGTTTTTATTAACTAATGCTAATAATAATTATAATAAATTATTATTATTATATTATTGCTTTGACCAATTTTAAGAATAATATTTTCAAAATTGTTTCCCGTATTAAATTTGGTAGGGAAAGGCCAAGAAAGACATCTGGCACAGGCAGGTTTTGTCACAGCCCGACATTCAGAGGAACAAACACAGCTTAGAGTGGGGGTGCTAGAGAATTAGGGGCAAGAAAGTATGGATTTAATTAGGTAAAAAGTAAAATGAAATCTTAGCATGCGTTTTGCTCATTAAATTTATTAAGCAGACGCAGATTCAATTTGTAAAATATAATTTTGTTGTACAGAGTTAAACTAACCAGCCTTACTCAGCCCTGGCGAAATATGAGTTCTCCGTCTATATCCACATACCACACCAAGACAGGAGTTTTGATCTTTTTGAAAACGATACTTCTCTATATTATCTAGGCAAGGTATGAATATGCTGTTACAATGATTAAACTGTGACGGCATTGGAGTCTCGCAAAGAAGCAGTTTAGTATCTTGTGAGAGACAGTGAGGACTTCCATAAATTAATTTTAGATGTCTGTATGCAACCTTTCACTTGATTGTAACGTGCTCTCTAGATTTTAGCCAAGAATCTAGGGGAAGACCTAACGTTTGTAACAGCTATAAAAAGTCAAAATGGAATTCTTCATAGAGAAATTTATCATTTTTAATTATCAATTTGATTGTCATTTGCAAGTATCACCACATAAAAAATAGGAATTCTTAATTGTAGATTATTTGTATATTGATATGATTTTTTTAAGATACATTTTTCATTGTAGTAAATAGTCTCTTTATTTGGAAAGTGTTTCCTGTTGATGCTGATATATGATATATAATTTTAGGAAAAAACCTATTATTTAAATAATAAAGACAAAACGTAACATACTGTCAATTTGAGAATATAGTTGTTAGAAAATATAAATAATAATAAGTTTGACATCCTCAATCTGAAAATGCTTTTAAAATATTATTTGTTTGAAATGTATATGGGTTTTTGGATACAGTACCAAAATCCCTCCTATTTTTACAAAACTAGATACAGACCAAAAAATGTCATGACACACAATTCAAATAGTTGCTTTTGTTTATACTTTTAATAAATTCAAGGCTAGGAAAGAATCTGTGCAATAACTTTGTTTAGATTAAGTGCAATTAACATGTTCATGTGCTTCTTAAACATTTGTTCAGCTTAAGGGTTAAACTTCATTATCCTTTTCTTGTAAGATTTACTATAAGGAGAAGCAGAAAACCAAATACAAGCAGAAGATTTAAAATATGAAAAATTGCCTATACAAATTGCAAGGTCCTAAAAATCTTTTCTAAAGCCTACCCTCCTTCGATTTTCCAGATTAAAAGAAAAAGTTGGTAAATAATTTTTTGTATTCGTCCAGAAGTGGTTTTAAAATAGATTAAATCTGCATTCTGAATCACAAAATTTTCCTGTATATAGTAATAGAAATAATGAAATGTGTTATTTATCACTGGTCTTTAACAATGGTAGAATTTAATTTTTGTCATAATTATTAATGTATCTTTAGCAACACCTCTAAAAAAACACATTGTTAAAAGTATTTCTTAACTATCTTATCAAAAATCATTGATCAATAAATATCACGTTTTAGTAAAAAGATATGCCGAAAAGCTATTTATATTTTTTGCATGCCTATCTCCCAGAATTAAAGTTTTTAATTGGTAGAATGGTCTAAACAAAATTATAGAAAAATGATCTTTAAAAATATCTCGATTTTTATGGTAAAATTGCCACCATCTCAATATAAAACTGGAATAAGATCAAGCAGAACAGTTATAAATTGTTGGATGCAATTGACATAATGTTTGATTTAAAGCAAAAGTATACATCTAACTAATTTAAAACTAGCAAAAATTCAATATAAAATTATGCTCATTTAAATTCAATCAATATATTCAATTTATATTTTTATTTGAAGCCGACATAGTCTGGAATATATGCAAAGCTTACTTATGCTCAAATTGAGCTTAACTTATTTGAATCAAGTATTTTGTTTTTTCCGTTGCTATATTCAGAATTGTAAAATCTATTCAAATCAGAATTAATACTGTTGCTTGCTTCGTTAAGGCATTTCTCAGAAAAAGAAGAATACAGTTGAGTGGCACGGGTATAAACGTGGAAAATACCCAAAACTGTAATAATGTGTGTAAAATTGGAGCTAAAATATTATATTGGGGTACTCCCTTGTTAACAGCCCTGGCTAGAGGTTGATTCGTTAAGTATGGCTTTTTCTGTTAATTAATAGGAATAATATGAATTTACAAGATATGCTAAAAGATTTTCAGATAAAAAAATCCTTTTTTGTATGCGGTAAATCTTGAAAATTGATTTCGGTCGTATCAGGATTTGATATACTATATTTTTCTAAAACATTAAACAGGCATTCTCTACGCACTAGCCAGATTTTTTCCTTTAGTCTGTCTTTACCTGCAACTGCTGAGGCGACAGCCGCAACCAAGAACGACAAGCACACTGCGGGGCCTGCGACCGTCTTCGCCACCGATCCAGCCAAAACGTACACTCCTAATCCCAAAGTAGAACCCACACCCAGACCGACGAGATCTACGAGATTTAAACATCGCGCCATCTCGCTGGTAGATTCATCTGAATCGGTTTTTCGTCTCGTAAGGACTTTGAATATGTTCCTGCCCATCTGCAAAATAGAGTATAAGTAAGTATTAAATATCATCTCTTGGATAAAAATTTCTCTGTAAACCATTCAAGGGTAACTAAGCCCAAGGCCCCAAGAATATTAACCACGTTACTAAATATTAATAACGTTCATGGCAAAAAATAACCTTTGTGACCTTAACCGTAGGAGAAATATTGTACCCACGGTGATTGTCGTGGGCCCAAAAGTGGCAGATCGATGGACCTACCGGACGGTAATTGACCCACCTGTGGCTTAGTCTTGAACATTAGTTAGTTTCTGGCAATTGCTGGCAAAGTACGTTTTTGAAAATAGCTAGTGTTTATGAATTTGTTGCTGAGAAACGGATTGATAAAACTGCGCAACTCAACATTCGGAATTGCAAAAATAGTTGACATATGTTCGAATATGACTGGAATCACTGGAGAACAATATACAATACATAAAGAGAAGTACGGGAAGTAAAGAAAATGTAATAAATGAAGATGAAAAGCTACAAAAAATGGGCAAAAATAAATTGGAGGAAACTTTGAAGGAAATGAATTTTCGTTACCAAAAAATTCAAACAGAAAATCGTTTTTAATAGAGAGAGACGAAATTATCTGCTGGCGATGACGATATTGAAGACCAGTTAGATAGTTTTCGAAAAGAAACAGGAAAATTTGGGTAAATGAAGGATATACGCCATAACGCATGGCATAAAAGCACCCTCAGGAAAATTCAAAGATTAATAACTGACTGACATTGGTAGTAAAAATGGATTTATGAGTGACGACTTATCACTTTAATCAAAACTGACTGGAGAAAATCATAAAAAGGTGAATGGTAATGTTTCTGAAATATACTTCCAACAAATGCTGGGTCTTATTCCTACTGGGTGTTTTATAATTACGGATAATGCCAGCTAATACTTAATAAAATCTGAAAAAGCGCCCACGTGACATCATTTATTGTCTGACTTTAAGTAAGAAGCAATTGCAGAAAGTTATGCTGCTACTGTAGATGATAAATTTTATAGGAAATTTGTTGTAGACGAAATCGTTCTAAAACGAAATTCACAGTGCACAAATCATAACACCACTCTAAAAGTGAAGGGAATAAAGCCAGTGAATTGTGAAAAATGAAGTACGTGCGCCTAATACGTGATTGGAATAGAAGAAATAGAAGAATGTGGGAAGCTGATAACATGCTAAAAAAAATGTAGAACTGTAGAATTTATCTGAACTCCAATCACTATAGTTCATCTGACTGCTCGGAACATGAAGTCTGAAGTTCACAAATGAAGCTGTATTGTTAATAGTAGATTTACTTAAATGATAATATTTAATACAATTTATCTACTTCCATATTATTCTTACTTGTCGATAAATTTTTATTTACTTTATTTAATTGTTTATTTTTTATTTATCTGTCGAATATAGGATTCAAATATATTGCAAATGTGGAAAGCTGATAACATGCTTAAAAACACATGTTGACTAAATTTTACAAATGAAAATAGCAGATTTTTTTATTAAATTTATCTGTTCTCATGTTTTGTTTGTTTTTGTTGTTTACTTCGATAAGTTTTTATTTACTTGATCTATTGATTTTTTTTTGTTTTTTTTTTTTAAATTTTTATTTATTTTTTGAAAATTGTATCTAGGAGGCTGTGACCATCATAAATACTTTTTACTTTGATATTTTTCATTTCTTTACTTGTCTAACGGGAAATAGCATTTAATGTAATGAACAATTATTTTTTAGGATAACCTAGTTTTTTCAAAGAACACTCTAGTGGGAACAAAAACTTTTAAAACCGGTACTGTTTTTGCAAATATTTAAAATCCGTTAAAAAATAAGCTCACAGGACGATCGATTTAGATTATCATGGAAAACAATAATCAATAATTTACAAATGGAGATATACGGGAAATGCACAAGAAAACTCTCGACAGGGCCGTGCATTATATGCAGCCCTCTATCCGGGACGTCGGCTTCCTGCACATTCTTTCTTTAGAAAACTGGATAATTTTATTATAAATGAAGAAATGTTGTGGGATACGTCAACGTAAATCCAGCTGCGTCGCCAAGAGAAGTGGCGAGGAGAGAATCTGTATGTATATATATATATATATATATATATATATATATATATATATATATATATATATAGTCAATACTTAAAAAGTCGCTTAAACAGCCATAAATATGACAAAAAAAATAACACTGCTCTTTCGAGCCATTCCAGGGAGAATCAGCACTCGTTTGACTTTCAAAGTGTGAAAATTTTACGCTCAGAAAGGCACACAAAAAGACGGGAATTTTATGAAATGATTGAGATCCAAAAAAATCCAAACGCCATAAACTCTAAGATCTAAAAATCTCAGCAAAATTTATCACAACTTAATTAAATAAAGAGACACATTAACCCGTGAATCTCACACAAACAAAAAAAAAAGCTTTAGAAAAAAAAACTCCGTTGTCCTACTGTGAACAAACGTACATCCAGGCTTCGCATTATTGTTTTGGTTCGTCGTCTTATCAATGTGGCTTGTCGATTTACATATTCAATATGTCTGTTGTGAATGTTGTAAAACTGTAAATTACCAAACAACTATAGTGAACCGTTGATTTTTGGCTTAAGGTATGTATGTAATCGTAATATAAAAAATTATGTATGTTTTATTGTTGTGCATCTATTTTTATACAATTTTTAATCACTTTGTTTGTTCTATTGACTTGCACTAGTAATTTTTAATCATTTCAATGCTGACCCCTATACAAATTTTTATCTATGTTTTAATTATGACCAGGAAAACAATGCTATAAATAATTTTATTTAAAAACACATTTTTGTAGGTTAAAATTAAATGTCTGAAGAAGGTCTTGAAGGCCGAAACGTCACAAAAAATAAAATGTTTCACAAGTAACGGAAACTTATTTTAATTTCACTAAAAAAGGACCAAAAAAACCCAAGAACCATTTCTTAAGTATATATATATATATATATATATATATATATATATATATATATATATATATATATATATATATATATATATATATATATATATATATATATATATATATATATATATATATATATATATATATAATGCAAAGTTTAATACATTGGAAGGATAAGCGCGTTCAAAAAATCCTTTATAATATCGGCCTTTACGATAAGAGATAATGCCGAACGACGGTGGTAAAAGTTGATAACTATTTTTGCGACTTGTTATTTTATGTGCCAAGTTCAAGCGCCACCATATTTCCTTCGATAATCGAAAAGGGCGAATTTCGGAACCGTCGGTGTACCCTGAAGACGGTTGTGCGCGCATTCGAAACGTGGAGATTAAATTTATCGTTTAGAGAACATATTAGTTAAATAAAGATTTTGTTTCAAAAATCCGGGCGTATTTTTACCGAAATTATTAATTTTAAATAATTTAAATCATTGTACGTAAAATCTCTCTTAGCAAAAGCCACCAATTTTGGTAGATTTAAGCAGTTAACAGATTTTTCCGTATCCTAAGGTGACATTTATATAAGAAAAATCCACATAATAGTATAAAATTTAATAATATAACGAGAGACTTACTTTCGTACTTAATAAAGGAAATGTTTTACGGTCACAGGATCACTGAAATACGCGAAAGCGGCCGGCAACCATCAGAACATAACGTAAAAAATTTGTTTCACTTCGCTGACAAACGAAATCGTTCAAAAAAAAAGATTAAAACGTGAGAAACGCTCCAAACAATTGTTTTATAGATATGTATACCTGACGTGTATCGCTAAATTGCGGTGATATAAATTTATTTGGATCGAGATTTGAAAGGTGATAACGGCAATTTGATTTGATTCAACTGAGTTTGACGCGGTTTGACTGAATATTATAGGCCGTTACAAATAAATGAAAATTTTCCGAAACGGGTGAGTGTCAAAAAGTTAGAAATACAGCTACCGATTTTTCCAAAGTTTCAGCAAACGTCTCGTTTAATGGTACGTCTGCAAGTTGAGTATACCTTTTATAAAAAAAAAATGAAAAAAGAAAATACCTGGCGGTGTTTCCTTTCAGACAATTTACTTAAATTTTACATTTCTCTGCATTCTCATTTCCCTATTTCACTACAAGTAAATATCTTCATTCTACTCTAAATGGAAAGCACAGTCTTTAAAGTACCCAAGATTTTTCTATCCACTTGTCGCTCTATCTGCTACGCTGTGCATTAGACAAAAAAAAAGTTATTTTCTCGTAATAAAGATTATAGTGTTACATTTCGTTTTAAAAAAGTTTCTTTCTATTTTTTTTGCCGATATCATACAGGGTAAAAGTCGGAAATTCCAAAATTGGTAAAATTAAAGAAACAAATTATATCATAAAATATCTAACACAGATTTTTTTTTAAGAGAGCTATTTGGGTAAATAACCTATTTACCTATATACGGTTTATGGTGGTTATTACCTTATTGATGAGTTTACTTCTATATACAAGGCGCAATGTTTTTTTAAATAAAAGGTCTTATTGCCCAGAAATGTCGGCATAGCTCTTTATGAAATCTAATGGAGAAGCATGTCTTCTAATTAAATCTAAAAAAAATTAAATACCATCTATATGTATGCCCATTATATATTTTAATTGTTTAATATTAATTCAAAATTCAAATTAGCAATTCAACTTTAGTTGAATTTGTTTTAATGCAGTACTCTACAGTTTTTTTCATAACCTTTTTCGGTGTCTTTTTAAATAAATGTAACTCTCAACAATTTTATAAAATCAGTTCTAAACCACCCTGTATATTAATTAATTCGGCTCATTTTTTTAAAATTTTAGCCAAGGCAAGAGGTCAAGCAGGAACGATATTGCACACTGTAGGTTAAAATAAGCAAAGTGTTGAGCAAACTCATTTTTTAATTTGACGTTGTAATTAGCATCAGTAAAGATTAAATCATCTATTGGAGGTATAATGAGATGATTCAAAACTAAATACCTACCTAATTCTTAATACCGACCATCTCAATGTATCTCGTTTAGCATTATGATTTTTTTTTCTTGCAAATATTTAATAATGCAGTATGGTATTATTAACCGAATAGATATGCCAAAAAAAACGTAGAAATAATTGTTTTGGAGGATTGAATTTGATAAATATGCTGCTCAAACCAAATATCTTGGGCAAAACCATACATGTAGATACTAGAGATATAGAGCGCCTGCCTATGACTATAATACAGAAAGTTATAAGGCAACTATAAAAGCAGTTTTGAGTAGGTCCATTCGACATGCGCATGCGCGAGATTTCAAAATGTTTTTTTTTTCACCGATGACCTTGCGAATAAGTGAATAAGTTTGTATGCAGTATTTGCTTAAAATAAGTTAAAGATTCTGGAAAAACGAAGTTAAGGGTGTGGAAATCATAAATCATAATCGCAAAGTGTTAGTTAGTGCGTGAAATGTAGAGACATGCGCGGAAAGTCATTACCTTCTCTAAAAAAATATCAATGTCGCCTGCGGCATATCAATTTTTACAGTAATAGGGTCACCATATGGGCGAAACCACTGAGAAAAAATCATCCTAAATTCGTAATGATCGCTCTAGCGTTATGCGTAGAACCTTTAATATTAATTCGAAGTATTTAATTCTGCGGCCATTTGTCTGATACTTGTCTCCGATTGCTCTTCAATAATATTTAACACAAATTCTTCGATTTCAAAACTGCTTTTTTCAAAAATTCCATATTCATTCAGGCAGTGTTGAAGCCTGGTAAACAAGCTGTGATAAAAAAAATCTACTTTCAGGATACGCATGCGTATAAAGACGGCAAATTTCCAAAGAATTTCGGTTTGCACGCCGGAAAAAATTAATTATTAAATAACAATTGTTTTATTAGTGGTATTTTCTATTCAAGCTAATTGAGCAATATCAAATAAAACAATAATAAGAAACGTCTTAAGAAATGTGAGTAGCCCGCTACTGTTTTTTTACTTTTAATTTAATTATTTTTTATTTCGAAACGGTATTATTAAAAAAATGTAAGAGACAAAAAGTTTCTAAATAAAAAAATATATATTTTATCCCATTTTTCATTAAATTAAGTTAGCAATCATGATAGGGGTAGTGTAATTCAATTGAATGAATTCAAAAATGAAGAAAGTGTGTTTTAATAATGGCAATACTTGTAAGATAAAAAGTGAAAACATTATTTTCCGCTTTCTTCCCTTCCCTATGTACTAAAACTAATCAAATTTGGTTCCTTTAAATATTGTGTATCCTCCTCCAAATATTCAGAAAATGCAGATCGTAAAGTTTAGATTGAACTTCACTGACAGATAAGTTCGCTTGATCTCGCCTATTGGAAGCGCAATGAGAAAAATTCGAAACGAAAATTTTCTTAGTTTTTTTATAAAATATAGCATTAATGTTTGCACTAACAAATTTTTCGCAAAACAAATAGCACCCTAGTGAGGCTCAGATAGTTTTCAAAATCGTCCAATTTCTTTGCAACATTTTGAAACCGAATTTTTGAAAAACCACTTTAAATTTTATAATATTGCATCTAAAATGTTTCCTCTTGCGGCTTTATATCTTACTCCGTAAAATCCATAATAAATATTTTACAGCTATTGCGAAATTGGGGGCTTAGAATTTCGGTCGAAGACGGTGCTGTTTACCCAACAATTTGAAAAGGCGTGATTTGTTTAATTCTAAACATTATCCAGATATAGATTAACTGAGTACACTTCTTTCAAGCACAAATAAATAAACAATTGAAAGTGGAATTATCAATGCATAATTGAAATTTGAAATTTGTAATACTTTAAACTTATAAAATTATAAGTATTGCAAAATCTACTTACGTTTTATTGTAAGAGCAATAATTGCCATAAGACACCTACATAAGATTTATAAACGTTTCTAAGATGTTTAATATTACTTTTTACCTCCCTCCTGCGTCGGTTGTTGATGAATCGAACTTGCTGACATTCCCTAATTATCCTGTTCACTACTTGAGAGCTTGACTGAAACTGCTTTGTGAAAAATTGTTGGTTTGTTCTATATTAAGGCACATAAATTTCAAAGCGCTGCGTCGAGCCGTTTAAAAGTTATAGTATTCAAACTTCCTTGTGTCACCCGGTGTATCTAGAGTTTTATTATAGTAGAGCAATTCGCAGCCACAAAATGCTTAGACGACGACGATGTAAAAAAATTGTAAAACGTACTAACCTGTGGTCGTTCATGCTTTACAATTCTTTGAAAACAAAAATATCATGTTTGTTCGGAAATCTGCAGTAACGAAAAGTTTGGAATGTCGCGGCTGAGTGCTCGCTTATGGAGTGGCAAAACGTGTGTCGGACACGCATTTAATTCTGTTTAGACATGCCCGAAAGCTTATCGTTAGGTGACTTATGTTAACTAGCAATTCCATTCTGCTATCACAATAATTATCACACAATTGTGCGGAAAAACTGAAACAGTCTGATCGACCAAAACATGCGAAAAGTTCTTTTTTGTCGCGAAACTGATATCAGACGAATAATTCGGAGTGTTCCAAAATTCATTCTTTATGGCACATTCTACGTCGCTCTACAGGATATTGAAATTCTAACAAAGAAAAACATCATTATTGTCAAACCAGTGTTGCATATTTCATTGACATTTTGTGCGATCCTAGTAAGTAGCAAAACATATTTTTTTATGCTAAAGAAAGATACAAAGACCACTGAAACAGGAACCCCAAAACACAATGGAAAAAAGGGGTCTTACAGATAACGATTGGCAAGATAGGATCTGTCACGTTTTCCGCCCCGTGTGAAGTACGAGAAGAGATATTTAAATTCATTAGTTAGCTAAAACATTCCTTCCTGAGATTAATTTTTAGAATTCATTTTTTGTCCTTCTCCAGTTCTTCTCTTAACATGTATGAAAAATCGTCTGCATAATTTGCAATAATCACCTGGTCAACCACTAAGACGCAAGTGAAAGAGGTAATCGTTATCTATTTCAATATCCATGTCATTACACATTTTACATGTGTGTGTGTGTCTTAAGCATATGATATATAGCATACCGTTTTTTATTTGTAAATAGTAGAAATACATCTAACCTATGCTGAATTTAGTAAACTCTCAATATTTCGATAAATTTTGGCATGGCAACACTGTCATAGATCTTTTCTAAATCTACACCTAGATACGTATATTTGTTGCCATTCTCTTTTCTATAAGATGCGGCATGGTTCTGTTTCTTTTTTGAAATAAAAAAAAGTTAACTTTTCTTCGAATTACTGGTGTGTTTAGACTTTGCAAAGCCCTTTTCATTTTTGAGATCCAGGGTGTTTTTGGAAAAGTAAAAAGTGGGGTTTTTGGCGGTTTTAACAGAATTCAGTGCCATACTCAATATGTTTCTATCCTCAATCCTTTTCGAGAAATAAACCAAACTTATATTTTATAAATGGGTCACCCTGTATATTTTCGGATAATACGATTGAGTTTGTCAAGGACATCTGAGAAATATGTAAAACTTTATGATTATTTTTGATATTAATCCTAATATTCAAGTTTTGGTAAAAATTATTCGTTTTTGTTAGTTGGCTATGATGGGTTATTTTAAAAACAAAATAACACAGTCCTGTCATATTCAGAGATTTTTGCATTTCTGAAAACTGCCGTTTACGTTTTTTTAATTTTTAATTTCAATTAAAAAGTCAAAGGCAGGTATAACAGGTAATGTTAAATTTGAAAATTTTGAAAAATACGGCATGGTAGTTTCTTATATTCAGTGTAACGAAAATGGGGATGAAACTTTAGAAGTCTATTGTAACTAACCAAAACTATTTATAATGATCTATTACTTATAG